GAAATTCGCGAACTTCCATGACTATCATTTCCAAATTTGCTTTAATAGAAATGATTCAAATTGAAGTCCATTTTCTAAGCGTTCGTCTGTCAGAACCAATCGATAAGGCGCCCATATGAAATAAAAATTCCCACAAATATGTTTAGGCATAGGCGGCGTTGATAATAAACTGGACTCAGATATAGGTTTTGCAACGCAAAGAGATAGAAATTGCTTGCACGAACCGGATTAAACTAAATCAAAAACTTCTTTCGCGGACCCCGCACTATTCAAAATTGGCACTCCTCCGCGTGCCGCACACCCATTCGTAAGGTTTTACTAATTCCCTTACTTATTCCTGCATGAAAAATTGGCCGTCGACTTGAAAAAGGCTGAAGTAAGACTATTTATATTATATTATTAATACTAACAATACTATTCTATGAATCGGTTTTCATCGGTTATAAAATCAATTAACGAAGGAATACTGCTCAGTAGGGTACCTTTGATATTTTTTTGGTACAAAAATGCATATATAATTAAGATTAATAAGGAAAAATACTTAAATATCCGCCGCGTGGAATAAACATGGCAACAAGGAGATATTTGATATTGCGTGGTCGCTATTTCGCCAACGCAAATACGTAGCGCGGGCTATCTTTGGCTTTCTGTTACGAATTCTTATACGATGTGTCAATACGTCGCTTCAACAAACATTTTGCTCATATTTATCGCAACTTTACAGAAAAATTTGATCCATCAATCAACTTAGGCATGTGACATGACTGAGTCATCCGTGAAACGCGCAGCAATCGCCGCCAACATTTATGTACGGCCAGGTAAGATATAACAGACGCATAAAAGTACAAGAAGACGTTACCAGGGGAATCCCCAGGTCAGGAAAGACGTAATATCCCGGGGCGTTACGAAATCGATATTTCGAAATGATTGGCAATATATCGAAAACATATGTCATGGGAATCCCCAGGTCAGGAAAGACGTAATAGCCCGGGTCGTTACGAAATCGATATTTCGAAATGATTGGCAATATATCGAAAACATAATTTATATTCGTATTACCTCAATTTAAGATTGTTGACTACTATGGCCATATTATTACCAATTCAAACAGTATCTATATAAACATGGATAAAATGAAACGATAAAAAAAATACGAGTTAAAGTCAATCAAGCTTAACATACATTATATGTTTCTCCTGTGATCAGGGACGTAGCCAGATAATTTTAAAGGGGGGGGGGTCTGAAATTTTTATTTGCCAAGTTAGATCGAAACAGCTAGCGGGTCCGATCGAGCCCTGGAATGCGCGTGTTTTTATTGGTCTTGGGGTCTAAAAAACATTTTAAGCTACAGAAAATTGCTATCTATGATATGAAAAATGATTTTATTTTTCTGAATTTTATGTAAGGCTTTTCAAGATAGTTCCCTGATCAAGCATGATTTCCATGTGAGGCTTTTCACGATTATTCCTTGACCAAGCATGAAGTTTATGCAAGGTGATCCAACATGCTTGCACGAACCAGATTAAACTAAATCAAAAGCTCGTTTCGCGGGCCCCACACCATTCAAAATTGGCTCTTGGTAAGGTTTTACTAATTCCCTTACTCATTCCTGCATAAAAATTGGCCATCGACTTGAAAAAGGCTGAGTGTACTATTTATATTGTACTGTAAATACTAATAATACTATTTTATGAATCAGTATTTCTTGGCTATCAAATGAATTAATGAAGAAGTACTGCTCACTGCTCAGTATGGTACTTCTGGTATTTTTTTGTCCAACAATGATCAAGATAAATGAACCTATATTATGGCATTGAGAGATGCCCATAAAATCTTACATTTCAACCTTATAGTACATGGGAATTGGTCAATAGGATTAAATGTAATGTCCTGATAGGGCCAAATATTTCCTATTCATGGCTTGCCACTTCCTTATTTGTATTAGATGGTTTTTATTAACACCCAAATCTATAAAATATAGGCAAATATTACTCGAACTCCAAATAACTATTTGTCATTTAAGAACAGACAAAACCCTTGGTCGAGTTTCCTTTTTCCCCCCAAAGATACAGAATTCTAGAATTTATAATCGCTTTATAATAATAAATATTTTTACTGTGAACTTATTCCAATTGGTGCGAACATGGTGGGAGCTGACTCTGATGACCGCATGGTCGTATCGCTCCCTCCAGTCCATACCGAAGAAACGTTATATTATTATTATCATTGTATTTATGTTTTTTTCTGGTTGACAAATAATAAATCTCTCTCTCTCTATTCTGACATGCGGAAATCAAATCTTTAAGGTTTCTTCGCAGCGACCGTATTTCGTCACCCCTAACCTGACACCACGGAACGACCGTATTTCGTCACCCCCAATCCGACACGCACCGACCGTATTTCGTCACCCCTAACTTGACTCGACGACCCTATTTCGTTACCCCCAATTTGACACGCAACGACCGCATTTTGTCAGCCCTACTTTGACACCCCTTATATGACTTTTGTGCTACCACCCCTGTAGAACTTTTCTACTCTTCTACTTTCCTCTTTGTTCATAAACACATGCTGAAAAGTTTTCATATCACTCATTTCAGCGAAAAGTTGCACCAACAAAATTACTGCATTTATTTGCCTAAGATGGCGCCCATGAGCAGCCTAGTAATCAACATTTGGTGTAAATATTTGTTCGCTAATCTTTATAAAAAATCAAACCTCAGCTAAGGCAAAATCGATATTCATCTGAATACGACTAAATTTATCTCTAATATCTGAACAGTCGAATGTATAAAATGCATATGACAAGCACCAATAGAAGGACCGAATAAGGAATTACAAAAAAGCGGAGGAAAATGGAAACCCACATAAACAGCAACTCGCACAATTCTGTCGAAGTGATTAAGCCGATATATGTTTTTTCAAAGGCTTTCGCGTTCTGAAGAAATATATTTACAAGAATTACAATTTTTCCCTCCTTGAAGGAAGATTCTTCCTTTGAAGATAAAAAGCAATATTAACTGCGAATTCCGAAATAAATCAAAGCACATTCGTATTGGAATGTAGTGAGCAGTGATTTCCCTACACCCCCCCTATAGGGGTGAACACCCCCCCTAAAATTTCAAATACCCCCCCCCCCCCTAATTTTGAGGTGCGATTCTACATTGAGGGGTTCTAAACCGCAGTCTGCGGGCCAATTACGGCCCGCGTGACGATTCAAAATGGCCCGCCGAACTTGAGTGAAATAGTTTAACCCTTCATGTGGTACCTTTTGAGTTTAGATACCGTCTATTGTTACATCATTATCACAGTTTAAGCATGTTTATTTCGTAACAATTGGATTATTCCGGTATCTTATGTATACGTATGGGTATTAGGATTACACTCTGCAGTATTTTAGATATCAGCCGTATATTAAGAAAGCTTAAAGATGTCACAAAACGAAAACTAGGCACTGAAAACAGACGTTTTTTAGATGAATGACAGCGTTTCTATTTCTTTATTGAAAAGAATCAAACTTCAGCGATTTGTCAGCGAAAATTAGAAATGTGTAACAAAACAAGCCATAAGTAGCCATTCATACAATGCCAGATGAGCAAGTAACTTCATTAGTCACTATCAGTTGCAAATTACTTGTTGAAACGTAGTAGTATATATTTACGGTTGAAAGCCGTGCTTGTTATCTATTCCCCGGGAATTCTATCAGCTAAATATTATAATTATTGATTTCATTACATAACAAACTGCGATGCTAGGTGTATCTAAAATCAAGATTAGAGCCTATTTCTCAAATTTTTTTCAGGGCGCTTAAGCGCGCCCTGAACCCCAGCCGTGTCGTCCCGCACTTTTCCTCGCTCCCCTTTTCTGGCACTACAATTTAATTCTGCTGTGGATTTTGGCTCGCGTCAATCAACTTGGGGGGCCCGTGTACATCGTTTCCATACCATTTTTAGAAATACAAATAGCCTAGTTTTATCTCTAATAGCAAATTAATTACCACCCCCTAAATTTTGATACACCCCCCCCCTAAAAAGAAAAGCTGGGGAACATACTGGTAGTGAGCTACACAAATACCATGGGAAAGTACAATTAACATTGTGGAGTAGCCGTCGAAAACAAGCGGCTGTGTTGTAATGTTCGAACATAGAAGCAAGCCAGTATATTCCCAATACCGATTCAAAAACTGTTGTAAAAACAAATATAAAGGTTTCGTTGCCGGGAATGGCTCTGTAGCGAGTACATGAGGATAGTTACTGTGTATTTTAATGCTTTCAACCGTTTATCGTTACTAGTGCATGTTATTTGCTTAAAACGAGGTCGTTGCTCGATGTCATTTCCCTTTAGATTTTCACACAACGTTTTATGTGAAAGAGTTGATGACGTATTTCCTATCCTAGCTCAAGTGTTGATCATTTCTGTTTTATCGTTCTTTGTCAGAATTGATTTCATCACTCATATATATATATACCCGCGTTCTGGTTTCAAGTGTATTGCGTTGCGGCTTGCTCAGTTCAAGTTCGTTAGATGGTACGAGGGTAAAGACATGCAGATGGGGCCCAATTTCTTTACAGTTGCCGGAGGATACTAGCCTAAAGCTATAGACGACTAGGTTTCGACTTGGGTAAAAACGCAATCTTCCCAAATTTAATTAAAATCACTGCGCTAGATGTTTTATTTAACAAGACGCTATATCGCCCACACTCCGTGAAAGTCTAGACACGAGATAATTAAGCTACATAAAGGTAGTCCAGTTGTCTGTAAAAACATATTTCGATGTTAAAGATATCAAGCTCGTGAATAGATCTTTTTTAACCGATACATCCGGCGATGAGTTGATTCAATTTTTCCTGTGTGCGTGAAAAAAAAAGAGGTTGAAGTCTTATCGGTGTGTCGATGCGCGATTCATTACAATCGCAAATGTATTTTATTTAAGCCGCAGTGATCAATTACGAACTCTTCCTTGACATTTTACCTCGCCTGATCTGTCATCACATGTTTCCATATACAGTTGTCGAAATTCGGCTTGAATTTCCAAATATAATTAATAGGAAAAAAACAGATATGTATAATACACTACTGATTAGCTGTTGAAATAGCGAAATAGCATCCCAACGACCATAAGAATTGATATCATAAGGTTCTGAATGAAACGGAGCCAAATAATCATAACAGAATCTAGTGTGTTGTTATACTAATTAACAATAGCAATATAGAGCTGAACAATCGGTGCGTTGCCTGTACAGTACGACTCCAATACATAGTTAGCATTTACATACACAAGTCTTTTTTTGCTTTTGCTTTATCTGGGCCGAAATCGTGCTGTTCCGCGGACCGAACCGAATGCGCATCCTCATCTCGATTTTAGTCTTATCAAACATTTAGGAAATATCGAAAATTAATCTAATTTTTTAAAGAGTGAGCGGACCGTGCGATTAGAATAACACAGATATTTTACTGCAGCGGTTCCCAAGCTTTTTTCCGTTTATCACCCCAGTGGTATTTTTAATGTTATTTTGACTGGTAGACTACAAATCACATTATGTTCAAACAATTAATTCTCAACAAAGTGAAAATACCCTGTCAAATAACCTTATCAAACAATGAAACTAGGAAAAACAGTTATCTTATGAAGGGAAAAGTAAAATCAGTTTTGTGCCTAGCATTGCGGCCCCCACTGTTGGGAACCACTGTTCTACGATTTCTATTAGAATTAACTAGAAAATAATTGATGTTCACACTACAACTGAAATGCATGAACCGACTAATCCAAACTACCTCGATTAAATAAAGTCCACTTAAAAGACAGTTAAAATAGATTTAATTTTCGATACCTTTCATTGCCGCGTTAACGATTCAATCCCCAAAATGCACACAATTCCGACCTAAAAATATTCAATAATTGAGACTTACCATCGGACCACAGCTACAGCGCAACCACGTCAACAGGCGGAGGAGCGCATTAAGATACGGTTCAACAATAATTTTCGAATCGGAGGAAAAAATATACAAATGCAAATAAAAAAATTGAGACAAAATTCTATGATTGCAAATTTGAAGAAAAAAAAGGTCATTGTTACGAACCTTGCCATAAAATAGTATGGTCCATATACAAGAAAGCTAACAGAATTTGAAATGCACTTAGTCGCCGCATCTGTATTCGACTTTTTCTGGCAGATCCCCATTCCAACGCGCGTCGTTGGAGTGAGAATTCGCCAGCCAAATGGAATTCTGTAAAAAGCCAATTTTGCCGATTCGAAAAATAGTGCGTGAAACCCGCGGAAACAGCACGATGCAATCGGCCCATTAAAGCTAAAAATTCTCCAAGTCCCCGGTATCCACCACGATGCGAAGAAAAATGGTGTCCTCCTTCACGTAGGTGCTGTTGTCGACCACTGTGTGAGAGACAAACAATGGACATCCGGATGCGATGTTCATGTCCGATGTTGGACGCTTGAACGAAGACGACGAAGGGTCCGGACGAAAAGTATCTGACAAATGTCGTCGATCTGGGCCCTGATCCAGCAGCATCAAAGTGACCTGAATATTTTGAAATGAAATTTTTAAATGTTAAAAGCTTATTCCGGACATAATGATATTAATGCTGATAAATGTATTATTTTTGACGCTAGTTCGTGAACTAGTATTGAACAGTATTGAATAAGGGAAACATGCTTAGGAAAATAAACCTTTCTCACGCAATGTTAAGAAAATAGACCTGCCCGACGCGTACTTAATTAAATAATAGCGGATATACTGTCCAGTGTAACAATATACCGTACACAGGTTTACACCAGGCAACTCTGTCTCAAATTGGGTCAAAGTCATTTACGGACTCGTACGATTCACGTCATATTTCGAGAGTTGAAATGTATATAATTTACTGAATTGTTATTTTTATTGACATACAAAACTGAAAATCAGGTGTTTTGGAATACAACTCATAAATGACGAGTCGAGGCCTATAAATTTCTTAAAAAAACTGCTATTCTTATTTATTGACACACCGACTTCAAACGAATTTAGCTAAATACTTGCCACTTCCCACGACTACCATTTTCAAATTTTCTTTAAAAGAAATGATAGCAAATTGAAGTCAATTTTCTAAGTGTTCGTCTGCCAAAACTAATCGATAAAGAGATTCCATGACGCCCATTTGAGATAAAAATTGTTCCCACAAATATGTTCAGGCATAGATAATAAACTGGACTCAGGTATAGGTTTTGCAACGCAAAAAGATTGAAATCGCTTGCACGAACCAGATTAAACTAAATTAAAAGCTCGTTTCGCGGGCTCCACACCATTCAAAATTGGCTCTTGGTAAGGTTTCACTAATTCCCTTACTCATTTCTGCATGAAAAATTGGCCATCGACTTGAAAAAGGCTGAGTGTACTATTTATATTATATTGTTAATACTAATAATACTATTTTATGAATCGGTATTTCTCGGCTATCAAATGAATCAATGAAGAAGTACTGCTCAGTATGGTACTTCTGGTATTTTTTTGTCCAACAATGCATAATCAAGATAAATGAACATATATTATTAAATATCCGCCGCGTTGGATAAACAACAAAGAAGTGTTCGATATTGGGAGTGCGTTATTTCGCCAACGCAAATACTTTTAGTTTCAAGAAACGAGCACGGGCTATGTGTGGCTTTCTACTAGAATTCAATCCCGATGCCTCAATAAGTTGCTTTTGACAAAACATATTGCTACTATTTATCCCAATCTTCTCGGAAAATCTGATTCATCGATCAATTTAGACAGGACTGTGTCATGTCATCCATGAAAGGCGTAACTAGTAAGATATAGCAAATCTATAATAAAAAAAGTACACGTACGATGTAACCAGGGGAATCCCCAGGACCAGTCAAGAGGTAAAAGGCCAGCGGCATTATGAATGACGAAATTTCGAGAAGCTGTATTGATGGCAATATGGCGAACACAATTAAAATATTCGTATACTACTAATTTTTGATTGGTGACTAATATGGCAATATTATTATTATTTTGAGCAATATCTTTTATATATGAACAGAGATAAGATAAAACGGTAAAAAACATCCAATTAAAGTCAATCAAGCACAAGACACATTATGTGTTTTTACTGTCATGTTTTGCTCTTGATGAATTGCGGAAACTGGATCAATATAAGATTTATGTAAGGTTTTTTAAGATCATCCACTGACCAAGCATGAATGGATAAAAACTTACGCATTTCCAATTAGTTGAACAGACAAAAATTGGAATCTGCAGTTACATTGAAATGATGTAAGAGACAAATAGTGTGAACTTAATTTTCACATTTTCATTGCTACTTTATATTAAATTACATAATACAATACAAATTGAATACATTAACAGTGCAAGAGTCAACCTCTTATCAAAGGCAGCATGACCTCGAAAACATGCCATAATATCTATTTTCCACCCAGGGGAATCACCGGGTTCCTGCGATGGTAGTCCAGGTAGAACAGTCCAACAGTATTATACAGCCCTTTATATTTATATCAACCTTCCAAAAAAATTACCTATACCCATTCCTGGTACTCCTACCTGGTAATAACACCTAAAATTTAGACGAGTAATAAAAAGCAATATACTGACCTTTTGTCTGAATGGCCATGGCAACAAAGCATCGTATTCGCCTTTCATCACCACAAAAAATAAAGATATATGGGTACCTTTGCCTAAATACAAAGTATGACATACAATCTGATTTTAAACTCGGTTAATAGGAGCCCTTCATAGAAATCTGATACCTAAACTAAATAGTAAAAAACCATTTGAGAGATTTGAAGCAAAGTGCTTGTAAATATGATTAGCTATCAGTCGGGTTTACGCAAGACTTAGCAGTACCTTTCCTTGCTCTATGCCTTTGTTTGAAGTATACGTGTAATGAAAGAATGCTGTGGCAAGAAGAAAAATGACTATACTATTTAATTAAGAAGTCAAGAAACTCATCTACATAGTATGGAATATGATTACGTTAAGAGTATAACTTTAGGCTTATGGTTAGAGTCAGGGGTGCAGCCAGGATTTTAAAAAAATAGGAGGGGAGGGGGTTGAAATTACATGCTCGTTAGGAGACATATTTTTCAGTGTATAATCTGCATCACAAAATATTCAATCCATGTCAACTATAGGAATCTAAAATATCTAACAGTAAGGTCAGTCAAAAACGAATAATCAACAAATCCATTTCTAGACATATTAGAAAAATAATCCAATAAACGTTTAGCTTTCCTGTTTTATGTTTCTTATCTGCAATCATAACATGCTATCACACTAGGCGGAGGCTAGATAAAACTAACTACAATAAAAATGCACATACTCGGATTCAAGTTCAGCGTATCTTCGAATTACCTAATGCCATGCTTTTTAATATTTGCAGTAAAAATCAATACAAAGCATTATATGATTTATGGCTCTGAAATTTCATTTAGTATGGTAGTCTGATACAATACTATTGCTCAAAGTATTTCAACTCCGGGGTGAAGCAAGCTAAGCTATTTCTAAACATCTCTCTAATTCAATTAAGGAAAATGGAATTATTAAGATAATTTGTTTGACAACCATCAAGCCAGGGTAAGACAACATTTAATATGGTAGAAATATACCAATTAGTCTCACCCATGCCATCTCCGTTTAAATAAATCCTTGTGCACATTTTGTATCCATATCTTGATGTATAAAAAGGTTGTGAATACAAGGATAATGTGCGACCCCTTTTCGCATCTTCTTTTCTGCGTTCATAATCCCTGATTCGCCAAACCAGGCATCCATTGTAACTGGTTGTTTCAAGCACCTAGATGAGACATTCATGAAGTCAAGCAGGTATACTTTGGGGACCAAGTTTATAGCGAGCCCAAAAATGGTGTAATGTATATCAACTCATGCCATTCATAAATATTTGATTCAATTTATAAAATATGTATTCAACTAGCAAATACAAATCAATTAATTGAGGAATACATTTTAAATTTCTTCTGTGGTGGTTTGTACAAAACAAATTTGAAAAATTTTCATATATTTCAAAATTACAATATTTCATTTGACACTGTAATTTATAATATATCATAAAACATATTTTTTCATATTATTCACTTCTTGGGAAGGTTCATGAAAACCATATTTAAAAATGCACATCCCTAAACAAGACTAAGTTTTTGAACAATATTTACCATTTCCTGACCAAACCCTTTTTTTTTCATTTCTGAAGACCTTAAAAAGTATTAATTAGAAAAACTTTCTCCTACCTGAAATCTCAGGTCCATTTCAGCAATTCTAACATCATACATTCCCAATTGTCTTTCAAGAGCTTCCAACATTTGAGTGAGATTTTCTGAAAAAGATTATTAGATTAATTGAATTATTGAAAAAGTAGAACACAAAACTATGCCGTTGAACCGAACAGAACAAGACTTCAAAGAGATATTTACATTATATTACAGTGATTCGTAAGTATCAATGCAGAAGTAGGCGAATTTAGTCTATCAAAATTATATACTTACCTTATAATTAGGGCTGTCCAAAATCGAATAATTTTTTGATTCTAATCGAATCGAATATTTTTGCCGAATCGAACCGAATAATCGAATATTGTTGCGCAATCCTGAATCTGTCTCTATTATACAATAACCGCCTACCCTTCAATGTTATGGTAACATATGTGCAGTTACATCTTACTTACTGCATTTAACAAATTCAAAGCTAGTTTGATGACTATAATATGCAATCAAAATTCAAGAGTGCAATTATTTGTCTTGGTATATAGATGGATAATACAGTGTTGCCATCATAAAAAATTACATATTCCATTGAAAGAAGGTATTGCCATCATAAGGATCCCAAAACACTCAAACTCTAACTCAACAGCTTCAAATCGATTCTATTTATAGAACTATCATTTTCTAATTTGCCCTTTTTTCTCCTTGTGTACTCTCTCAAAAACGTCATTACAGATTATAACTCTTAAGTTATTATGACCATGCATGAAATGGTGTACTCTCTTAAAAACGTCATTACCGATTCTAACTTTTAAGTTATGATGACCATGCATGAAATGGCTGATCATGTGCCACCGGGTGGGCATTAGGAATAACATGTTTATCACAAAATGAAGGCGAGAGAAATATCGGGAAACCAATTAAGCCGGGAGCGAGAGTGGTCTAAGCTCGAAACGCGCCGCCACTTGTCCGATGAAAAACGTCCTGCAAAGGTGGTTTCCGCTTTTTGTACCTAATTTTAGTGATTCGGAAATTAGCCGAAAAACGATTCGAATAATTTGCGATTCGATTCGATTTCGAATATTTGGTTCGCTTGGACAGCCCTAATTATAATAGTAATTCGCAAGTATCAGAAGGATTGAATTCATTAAAATTATTATTTACCTTCGGTAAAATTTACAATGCTTACAATGATATCAAGATCTATTTCTTTTCCCTACATGATAACTTTATTGTTGAATTGTTTAATTTACATAAATTAGACATATCCATAGATATTTATATTTACGGTTCAAATGTTTATTTTTCAATATAATCAAAAATATATCTCAACCAAATAATAACAATATTTCTCAAGAATTATTACCTGGTATATTAGCTGAAGAACTTCCTCCTCCAGTGCTTGATCCTCGATTTCTTTCAAGTTCTGCTAAATTTTGTGTTATTGTTTGCACAGATGCTTTTAAGTCATTTATATCTCGTGTAAAACCATCAACTTTCGTTTTGATAGCATTGTCTTTTTCGGTCGTTTCTCGTTTCAATTTTGTATTATTGTCTGTTTGGACCGCAACAACTTTCTACCCCATAAAAGATGAAAAAAAAATTAGTTTACATGTCTTAGTTCAACCCAGTATTATTCAATGATTGTTGAAAGAATATCCTTCTCAACTATTCACCAGTTTTCACTGCTGAGCATGACACTAAATATCATTTCATATATACACAAAAAAAAAAATTACAACACTCAGATTCATTAGGGGAAAAAGGGAATGATTTAAAATAAATACAAAGTAGACATGAATATATATGACACATCTCCTTCGAAACTTAAGATAACAATGAACTACATCACTCCAAGTCATAGTATTTAGAAAACAATGAATTTTAGACAACCAGCAAGGCTTTTTTCTTTCTCATGGTCCCAGCTCTCTACTACTCTCTCACCTTTCAAAAAGCTTATTATTAACAGCTCCTGTTCAGTTCTGCGACCAGAAATAAAAGCAAACCCCATATTTAAATATTAATATGTACAAAGTTCAATCATTAATAAAGGTTATGACATCAATATAGATTGGCAACTAAGTTTCTGAAACAAATGTTTTTTACAGGATGAAATATGAATAAGGGACAACAATACCTGTAATTGTGCTAGCCGTGTTTCAGTAGTTTTCAACTGTGTTTTCAAGGCATCAAATTCCTTACTCATTGTTTCAATTTGTTCTTTTCCGACACGACTACTGTTTCTTACCTCTTGAACCATACGTTGCAAAATCATAATTTGATATTCTGTCGTTCCCTTTGAAGAAAACTATATTAATCAAAAAACGAAGACAAAATTGGAACATGTGCAGAAAATATTTATTCATATTCCATAATTTTTTTGAATCCTGTTATAACTGTATAACAATACATGCCATATGTTTTTCGCTACTAAAATTACCTGCGATATTAAATTTCTGTATTCTTAGCAAACGAAAATGATAATTGACTGGCACAGTGTAGCATTGAGGACATCAAATTAATAATAGCAAAAAGACACACAATGATTGTATGAAAATAACTGTACTAATAATAACAAGATAACTGTATATCCTTATTCCTTTTACAGCCAAATTGCAAAGAACCTAGATTTTAACAAAATACATATTCTCATATATCAGTATATATTTATTTGAACAAACTTTAAATTGTTGAAATTCATCAGAAGGTGGACCAGATGATGTTGAAGGCATATCATTGTTATTTGTTGCTTGAGTGATACGATTAGATCCTGAAGGTTCCTATGGGAAGATTTGAAAACAAATTCCTATTATGCCATCCATATGCTTATTAACTTTCTAAATTTGTATGATAGATGTTTTTGGAGGTATTTGGACACATTAATGATATATATATCATCAGCTGACAAAACAGATGAATTAATTTCTCAAATATTGAACAAGACTATTCAAAAGTTGGGATAATTTAGTGCGATATAGGCTACCTTCTCATATGGGTTGAAATATATTATACATTTGAGAGTTTCAGTCGCATTATGGTGGCAGAAATGAAATAACCCATTGAAAGTTACTTTCATGTTTTGTTGATACCATCCAATAGTTATGTGAGATAGAATTGCTGTACTTCCAGCTGGGGTACCGGTAGGGGATCGGAGCAAACATATCACAGGGTTGGAAAAATAAGTTTCCCGTACATTTTACCTTAACAGCAAAAAGGTATAGAAAAATTTCAGAAAGTACCACTGCAGCAGTATTTACATACTGATCTCGGGGAAAGGGATGACGATAGGACGGGTCGATCATATAGCGAATCGCGGCCTCTCGCCGGGTTACGGCACCGTACCGGTACCGGTCTATGTCGCCGACATTATGCCGGGAACCGGTACCGGTACCGTACGGTATTAGTTAGTCAGTTATTTACGGTACCGTATTCCAGATACACGGATTTGGTACGGTATGATATTAAATGTTCAAAATGCGTTACACTAAATATAAAGTGAAGATAATTAGACTTACCATCCTGGTGACCCAGCACAGGAGTAAAAAACACAAGACGAAAGTCGGCCCAGTCAACAGCGATCTTTCACCAGCTGTATCAAAATTGAATTGGCTTTAATACTTGTGTGCTTGGCATATAGTCTAGCACTAGTGGTCGTCAAAGTGATCAATGGCCATAGGACCTTTCCCCGACCTTTGACCCCCGAAAAATTCTTCCTATACTTTACCATTGCAAAATTTTCAGTGCTATTTTAGGAGTGCTTTTGCGAGTTGGCGCCTGTAAAATGGGGCATGTGTTTCAAACCATTTTTATGATTCATTGCACACAACAATCGGTTTTTTCAAAGTACCGGTAAAGAATTTCAGGCTAGTCTATCACAGCTATTTCTACACTAATTTTTATTACTGCAATTAAATTAAAACTCCTAGGAAGACAGAGTGATCATTGAATTATCTGATTTTTATTAAGTTTCCGAAACACAACTGAAAACTAACGAATAGAGTTCAAAAACGCGATAACGAGGTAATGTTTACAACCACGCTTGAAAATCTGTCTGAGTGAGAAAAGTGTCTGAGCGGATGCAAAAAGGGGGCATTGTTACGTCACTTTTTTCATCTTGCTGATTGGCTAATGTCACGAAGTAAACAAGGAAGTCGATGCTCGGGGAAAGGTCCATAAGCCAAAGGTTGGCATACATTGGTTTTGCCGGATTCGTTTTAGTTTAGGTTCAACTAAAATGGATATATTCCCATTGGATTTAAGTTAGGGCACACTTACACGATATTTGCGTTTGGTCTGAAATGTGGTACCTGGAAGGCCCTGCTGATATCCGTTCGCATTTGATTATATAATACAGGGTGGTAGGATATAATGATATAATACAAGGTCGCGAGGTTGGAGGACGGCAAAAACTTTTGAGGATGTCTCGCGGGCCGCAGTCGGAGAGAACCTAAAGTGATCAAAACATCTCGCGAGTTTACTCACTTTACATATATTTATATATTTAGAAATGAGAGTTTACCGTTTAGTCAGTTTTTTTAAGGAAGATATATACAGCCTCTTTGTACCGATCACAGAACGTCATTCTCATATTGGCACCGTCTTGGCGTTTATAGATACAACATTGAAATTCCGTGATTTTAACAAACAAGGTTCCATTACATTTGAACCCATGACAATTGCACCTGCATACTATTGCTCCTATGGAAAATTTTTTGGTTTTACGGATATTGATTTTGGCGCGGCGGTGTGGCTCAACGGGCTAAGCGTTAGGAATACGCTCGCCACCGCACCTCTAACTACTCTGCGTGGGTTCGCAGGTTCGAATCCCATGCAGGGATGGTTATGTGCGAGAGGATTGCTGGACTCCTCGCCGTCGTTGGGTGGTTCACGTAACCGCTGGTCGGTTACGGCTTCCTCCACCACCAAGTCCATGCTTCCGAAAACAAACAATACAGTAAATCTAATCCCATACCCGACTTGGAATGGTAACCGGACGAGAGGCCGTGGTTCGCCATATGGATAAGCCGTCTTATCGCGTTTCTGTTCCCCCGAGATAAATATGTAAATCCTATCCTATTTAAACCCAGATTAACCCTAACCCATGGGTTTTAGCACCCGCATATAGATTGAATCCGCGGATATACCCATGGGTTCAAATGTACGTGGGATCAAGTGTACGGTCACCAACAAACAGAATCCCGGCGTCAGGATTAGGAAAACGGCTATACCCAGTTGGAATAGAACTTTTCTTCCAAAAATGTTCTAACAATAAATACAAATATTGGCCAATGATTTAGTGCACGCTAAAATTGTTCTACGGGTCGCACGGAATGTGTCGGCGGGCCGCATGTGGGGCTACCAAACCAACCGCCCCGGAATGACGTCGGCGTCCCGGGAATTGACGTCTGGCGTCCCGGGATGGGTTACGGTGTTATATATTATGTTTGAGCTTACTTCTTGAGCTTGTTTACTCTATGTGCTTTTGGGATGTGTTGTTACGTCACAATACTGTCTAGTGTCGTAAGCTGTTTTTCCACTGTTTAGTGGTATTTTGTTCTGAACTAAGTTGACGGATAGACGTCCGAATAAATCGCGTGCAGTTCCGTAATGAGTCTGTCCTAAAGTAGAAAGCCGTGTAAGCGTGTCGGATTCGTTTTGAGTGTTCAGTATTATGAATGCGTTTAGAACTTTAGACCAACAGTAGAAACAAACCAAACTTTAATCTCGCTGAACTGGTGATGAAATTAAACTTTCATACGTTCGTACGTTCAAAAAGACTAAATTTTGTCAAATAAATTAAATCTGCGTAGCACAAATTGTACATTTTCCCTGTTTTAGTGGATTTTTTACATTTATGCCTCGAAGATTCAACATTTAACAAGTTTCTTTAATTATGATAGAATTATTTAGAGGCTTGGAGAACGCTGTATGATTATCACCCTTTGCTTTTGAGGTCTTTCGTGTTTCACAAGCTTCTTTTGCACTGGTTTTCAAATTCTAGATATTAAAGGTATCCCAGAAAGGTTTAACACTAAGTTGGCAACCTCAGCCGCATGCGGGCGGCAGTGTGGACCACCCTGATATAATATATTCGTATGTCCGGATGTTTGGTGTCGTACCGTTCTGCGTGTTTAGGTTCAGCGTATAAATTCACATGATTTTTTAAGTTTTAAAGACAATGTAAGACCTGGAAGGCCGAGCTAATACCCATCGACATTCGACACTTTGTTGTTTGTATTCCCACGCTTGTGTGTATGCCTCATACCACCGCAGTAATGATTAATTTACCAGATTAGCGTTTTGCAATTGGACGGTGAAGCAAACCTAAGCCGACAAATCTGCGCGAACCAACTTTCGATCCTCCAAGTCTAACATATCGTTATCCCCACAAGATTCACCCTATTCAGAATTTTGTAATTTCAATTCAGTGTGTAATTTCATTATTCTGCGCATTTTAATAATTTGGTTATGTCTCCAGTCCAGACGAATGTATGTAAATTCGATATCAAACAGAACGACGCATTGCTCCTGAATTGTTTGGGCAGTTTCTCTTGATCGTAATTATTATTATCAAGTTAAGGCGCTTTTAATTACCAAAAGTCTTGTCCGACTGAGAAATACACAATAGAGTCGTTGACCATTTATTGTCAAGTGCACCGTTAACAGATAGAGGTAAATAGAATACTACCAAAGTGCGAAAAATGCGCCCTCAAACATAATATAATTTTTCATCCCACAAAATCAAATGCACGATTTTACAGTCATCCATATTTCTGATCATTTTGATGCGACATTCTCACTGGATGTTTTCACGAACTTTTGAGTGCTCGATTAGCATAAAATAATTAATTTTGCTGGTCAGTTGTCTATTACTCTATTTAGCCTGTATCGAGCCTCTCGCATCATAAGTGAACATTCTTTATTGTTTTATTATGCATTGCCAGTCTGTTCGTTGTTTATTTGCATTTCGTTTCCTTGTTTATCGTTAATTATTGCTCGGTTTATCTTTTATTTTGATATTAAATTTCAAATATCTGGAATAATAAAAAATAACAATTGTATTATATAAATAAATGAAAATAAACGAATGTCCTAAAATTATTATTGGGATTCAGATTTTTCTCATGGTAAATTTCAAGTTTTTGTATTTTGATCTACCTATAATCTTTCAATTTACCAATTTAATCAATTCAATTTAAGAAATAACGTTTTTCTATCGCCAAGTTGAATGCGGACGGTATTTCAGTTATTGCCTATACCAGGGCTTCCTAAACTTTTGAACTCGCGGCCCCTTTTGATATATTAAAATTTTTCGCGGCCCTTATCCACGTTAATAATGCTAAACAGTCCGAAATATGCATTTTTGATGTTTTATTGGCACAGCTAATTCTCAACTATTATTATATATCTACCAAATAACGAAAACAAGCACATATTTATTCAGATTAGCGTTACTCAATTATTTAGTGTAATGGGTGCGAATGCTTTTTGTTGCATAGCAAGTCCAGCCTTGCCTCAATGTATGTTTATGCAGGCCTAAATGATGAATTATGATGTCTGACCACCGACGACATGGACACGGTAAGTATGTTGATAGATATTTGGGTACTCTTGAAGTATGCGCACCCAGATGTCCCACAACCTGAACCCTAACTTGGTACACAACCTGAGTTCAGGTTGTGCGCCATCTTGGTGCGCATCGGTATTTGTCTGTTTGTTTCACTTTCGAACGTTACGCGATATCTCACGAAAGCTAATCTGCTTTCAAATTTTGCATGTGCATTCATCATATCTCGGTCCAGAAGCCTATCAATTTTGGATGAATTATGTCGTATAATTAGCGAGTGATGGGACACGCGGTGCAGCTATTGCGTCAGAGCGAAGGAATCGAAACCGCAATTTCCGTTTTGGGGGATTCCCTAACTTTCGTCGCTACGAACGATTGTGAGCGTAACAATGCCCTGTCTGCGATGTGGAGCGTTCACATGCGGGAGATTGATAAGTCTGTGATCTCCGATCGCTATCTAGTTTTCGTCATTAGCATATACGCGACTGTGTGATTAATTTAGTGCTGTTCCATATACCCCGAGTTAGGGTCATCCGGTCCGAGTTCTCACTGGAGGTTAGCAGATAACCAAGTCCAAGCCATTCCAGTTTGATCACTAGTCTTCCCGAAACTGGTGCAATGTCATTTTGTGTTATTATATTATAGTTAGAATTACATTTGTTTGAAGGAAGGCCTTCGTCACTGCTGTTCCATGTGAAAACGAAAAGATAGTCGGAACCTCGCCTGTTAAAAACATACCTGTTTTTATTTCGATCAAAGGTCCTGTAGATTCAAATGGCATCGACGGTGTTACATACATATGTAGTACCTTCAGCTGTAAGATCATTACCACCCAGATGTCATTGTAGATAAAATTCTCGAATAGAGATAAAAAAACAATTACGTTTTAAGGTGAACTACATTAGTTGTTCATATTTTTGTTTAGTTTATAATTTGATATGCTAAATTTACCTTTACACATACTTCACGGCGGAAAGGAGAAATATCGCGACGGCAATCCCAATATAAGATAGTCAAAACCTTGAAACTAAGCTAAATAAATTAGGTTTTTGCATCCCAAGACTACCTCCAGTTATAGGCCTTCTAGAAAAGCCTTTCAGTTCCTTTTTTGTTTCGAAACCCGGGGGAAGTACCTAGGTATACCGCCGTGAAAAATACGGTAATGTACCGGAGGTGGAACATAACTTTTTAGGGTTTTAATACCTTTGTATAAATATAATGTTGAATTTAATAAATTGGTAAAATATTATAAAAAAAGGTATTTTCTCTAATAGATCGCCATGCCCGTAATGGGATAAAATCGCAGGTTCGTTCATTCCGCACAGTAGCGCAGTGACCGAAAAAGCATTACCACGCATGGTCGTTACTAAATTTTAGTCTATATATTTGTACAGTATTTCAGAGATTGAAAAGCATTACTAAACAGGCCCGACTAAGGACGAAAACTAAACAACGACGGCATCGTAATAAATAACGCAAGATACCATTTTTATTTTCGGCATCCGCTCGCAGGAAGCGTTCCCTCAAAACAAATTAATTCTGCAGTAAATTTGGCTATCAATTACACACTGAGGGGGTACTTATTCACTCGAAACTAATTATCATCATGTAGCAAATGAGGAGTATAACTATGGACATTAACGTCATTCAACCACTTTGTATTGGATACTATGAAAATAATATGTCATTTTAGCAATTTCTTGTGGCAAAGGCTTTACTCTATTTGTTCATGGACAGATTTCTTCGTATCCAACGATCTGTGGCGTGTTTCGAGCCTCTTCAAGAGATATAGTGTTTTTCATGTTTTGTGCATTATTACAGATTTGGATTCAATTCAATCGTGCAACTTTAGAATATACGAACATTTGGCATTACAATCTATTGTGCGCTCATTGACATCTGAGGAATTCAGATTTACTACGCAAACGTACATATAATAGTACGGGCGTCAGGACACGCATTCCCCTCTATTACATCGTGTTTATCTATACCTTTGGATTATCAACATTAGGCATTTTCCCGAAAATCACAGGCTGTGGATTCCGGCTAACAAGGAAGCGAAATATGGTGATCTTATATTTTTCATCATAACCGCAATACAGGTAAGGATTGCATCAAAGCTTGGGTGTTTTATTTCTGTTTTTGTTTTTAACATTAACTTCAGAATAATAGTGAACTCCAGTCTTCTTTGATTTTTTCTTCCTTTCCAATCGACGTTTCTGGTAAATATAAAAATAATATAAATATGTTCTTTGATTTGATAATAAATACAATAAACTTATACCAACTTACTTGTTTGGACGTAAGGTTATCTGTAGAGATTTCAATATCTAAAAATAAACTCAATCTTAAAGCAACAACAATAGTCATGAATAAACAGATCGAAAAAGAAATAAGGAAACAACAATTGATAAGGAGGGAAATAATTGACAGTGAGATGCCAGGCCCATGACAATCGATTGTATTCGCTTTATTCAACAAAATGGTCATATTTTTCACATATCGTAATCCTGAAAAAATCATTGGAATCAAGGACATATTTAGCAACAATGAATAATAGTGGACATAGGATAATTACCTTTTGTTTCATTCTTGGCCTTCGTTTTACTTTTCTCAGAGTTGCTCATATTCCTCGCAGATGCCTCAGGATCAAAATTAAATACTGTGTCTTGCCTTTTCTTCATGTCAGTCTTTAAATACTTTCTATATTTTTCAATTTTATCATCCAATTCAGCAACAGATTTTCTTTTAGCACCAGAAAATTGAACATTGCTTTTGGACTCCACATTATCATCATTACCCATTACTTCTATATTAGATGAAACCTCTTGATTTTCATTTTCAAGATCATCTTCCGCTGCATCATCTTTATCAAAATCAAGATCAACCTTAACTTCAGACAAATTTTGCTTGATTGGTTGCAAATTTTTTTCCATTTCAGTTGCTAATGTTGGATCATTTGAATCATCAACCTCAGCAGTTGACTGGTTTGCAATTTCAACAATTAAATCATCTTTCATTTGTTGCTGAACAAATAATATAACATCTGAAAAGTCGTAATACTAGCAAGAGTATTGACCCCATCAGATTTAATAATTTGATTAAGACTTGGAAGAATGTTAGGCTGAATACAAATATAGCATAAACACTCATCCAGATACACAATCATGTTGAACACAGGTTTCATGTGTGCATAAAAAGGCCTCTATCGTGAGGAAACTTTTCAAATAAAGTTTCACAGAGCAGATCTCTATCATTGGTAACTAATCTGTGGCATCAAGTATTGGCCTAATTAGCCGATTTTAGTGTTAAAAAGCGGACAAATTACTAAAAAAATTAAGAGTATAAATGGCAACCGTGGGAAGAAATTGAATATTTTAAGGGAATATTGTCAGGTTGTTTTAAAGTTATCACAAGTCTTAAAATTAAATCAAAAGTGCAATTTCAGCCAATGCCAGAGACTGCTTTAAAAACGGAAAGTGTGGCAAAATTTTAATTCATATAACGTTTTTAACACATGAACCAGAATTCTTTAAAAAAATATGTCGCAATTGCTATGTCTGCAATTTTACCTGTTTTTCTTTCAACCAGTCTGGAATTATGAAATAAGGAATTTTTCCTCGCTGCCAATCGTTCAATATCATCTTTGATACAGTCTTAACATCTGGTTCACCTCCCTAGAGAATAAACAAAAAAATATCAAATTAAAAATAGGCATACAAAGCAAAGACATCAAAACTGCTGGAAAAAAATAATAAAATAGTTTAACATTTTCAAAACTAACTAAAATGAAAATTTAAGATAATGAAATATGGGATGTCCAATCATCAATTTTCCTAAATAAAAATGGAGGTCCTTAGTGATTATGTGAGTATGCTTTGCAATCAGTCAAAAAAGTAGAGTGTATTTTATGCCTGGGAGTGCTAAAAGCCTACTATCTCCAAAGGACTATCATGAATAATCAAATCAGTACTTTCAACAATTTTCCTGTTCTTCTCGCCATTTGTTCCAAAAAATCTTCATGGTCTGTCCAACCAATAATTTGATATTGCCGAGATATATATTCCTTCTTTACTCGATTTAAAACTTCAGGAATGTGATCTTCAGGATTTTTCACATGCTCAACTCTAATCTATAATGAGTACATGAATCAAATTGGTTAAAATCACAATTCGTCAAAACTTAAAAGTAATGTGAATATTGCAATACATTTTAATAATATAATCCATTCGCTAAAGTGAATTCTTGAGCAGTAATAAGTTAATAAGTTAGGATTTCTAAATTGAAAAAACTTCTTGTAAGCCAATGAAATGATTCCCTCAACTGCTTATAAAAAGAATTCAATTCAAACTTCATACTATCACCTATTAGGATTTAATTATGTTATTCTCATATATGAAGCTGTTTCACCCTGAATATTTCACTGAATATACAATACTTTTATTAAAGTATTCAATTTTTTTGTTTGATTGTATTCGGTAGAGTGAATTATTCATTTTTTGTGATTGTTGGTTAAAATATAGTATACCGATTGTTTCCGGTGTGGCAAAACCTTTTGAAAGCAGTGAATCCCGACTGCAAATGTAATTATATAACTGCACAAGATTATATTCAATAACAATGACTATAATTTCACAATGAAAAGCTTGTATTCGAAACATAAACATAACTGAATTGTTTATGCAAAATTTACTGGTAGGCTGGTAGTGGTAGGCTCGAACACGTAAGTGGGTATCATATACAAACAATAGTGTAAAAAAACATTTAACAACTAACCATCAATAATACTGAAGGATTTTGAATATTAAAAATTCAACTTACAACTCCTTTCAATATTATCTCAGTTTCAGTATCACCAGATGGATAGACAATTCCAGGACAATCCACCAAAAATATTTTTTTCATCAGAGTTATGTATTGCCAAACCTAGAGGAAAAACAAAACATCAATCTGTTCATCACTATAATTTAGGTCAGCAAACAAACATAAACCACATTTTGTGAATGCCCAAAACTTATTTTTGTTATATAAATATTCAATTCTATATTTAATTACAGTTTGCTGAGAGTCTCTTATTTTAATTAAATTTTGATAGTTATCAAATTAAGACACATATTATGATACCTTGGTTTCTCCTGCTATCGGAGCAACATTGCAAACTTTCTTTTTTCTCAGAGTATTAATGATAGAACTTTTCCCCACATTAGGATAACCAATAAATCCACAACTAATATTCTTCTTGTCACTATGAAGCTGAAAAACAATCGAATACATGAAGTTGCAAATAAATAAGCATTAAAATATCATTTTCCATGAAATGTCTCTCATCTTTTATTATTGAATTACTAAAAAACACAAACACAGATTACTTACTTTTCCAAACTGCCTTAGTAAATTGATCAAGGCTCCTTTTCCAAATGGGTTAGTTATAGATGCATGGAACGCTAGCGTCGGTCTCTCTTTTGATAAAGTGGCAACCCAAGATTTCTAAATAGGAAATTGGAAACTGTTACAAATGTATATGGACATTAAATCAGTTAATTCTTTCCAGAAAATTTCCCTACACGACTCTCATTCAACCTCTACTTACACTTATAACACAAAATAGAATTGATTAAGCCAATAGATTTGAAAATAAGTTCCTGGCATTGTCATCTCATTTCATCACAACCTGGTTGTGGCTAATAGTCAAATTTCATAAGAACAAAAAACAAACATCAGTTATTTCAGCATACTAATACAGATCTCTACAAAAAAGTTCAGGTATTTTGAATAGAGAGGATGATGATGAATATTATAATTACTGACTCCATAATATTATAGTTATTTCACTGTAAAATATCAAATCTACATTATAATCAAGATACTCACAGTGACCCAAGTTGGTACCAAATCAACTTTATTTAATATAAATATCAAATGTTTGTGAGGTTTTTCTTTTGCAAGATATCTTTCAACATGTGGACACCGTGTTCCCATCGGATCTCTCACATCAAGCACTTGAATGATAACATCAGAGCAATCCACAACCTGTGATAAAAATAAATTGATGGCTGTTTATCTTTCCATTTTATTTTATAATTGTCAATCATACAATCATAAAAAAGCAGCAATCAAAATAATTGTAGTTTCTAAATTTACACAATATATTTGTAGGACTATCACTCTGCCCAAGACTTTGCACAGGCACCTACCTATTGCTAGGTTAGGAGTTATTATAGTTTGAAAGAACCAGAATATTTCAAATTTGGTTCTGGCTACCCAATTAATTACACCCTGGGTGAGGTAGTGGGCATGGGATTAGAACCCCAGATAATACCTCGTGATGTCATCATAATCAAATTTGAAGCTTTACCCACTAAAGCACTTCCACACTATCAACCAAAATCTTAACATCATGTTATCTAGCTAGAATAGCTAGATGGTACCAAACACCATTAAACATTCCTTCAGCAGCGTGCTGTGGTTCATACTCCTGTTCTTGTTCTGAATATAATCATACCTTGTACAGTTCATTCCAAATGCGCTTGGACTGCCCAGCAGTGAAGTACGCACCAAGAACAACATTTTTTGTCCCGTCATCCTCTCGTACTAAATCCAAATCTTTTTCTTCTTTATAGAGATCTGACGATTTTTCAACCTGGAAGGAAAAGATGTAATTCGAAAAAATACTGGATGATTAGAACATGTTCGATAATTCTACCTAAAAATAATCTCACCTCAGCAGACAACGATTCTAAATCTGTAAATTTTAAACTTGGACGTTTCCTAGTTGATTTCTTCCCAAATGTTGACCCAAAACTTTCAGTGTCAAGAATATGTACCCGAGCATTCTGTATAAGAAGAAATTGAATTTGTTAGGAACAGTGACTTTTCAGTTTGTTACTGGCTTTTTAGTGTAAATTTAGTTTGGCATAATTAAAATTTCAGATATTCATTACTAATGTGCCCAAGAAAGGTCCAACAGACTTCTTCTGAAGTGAAGAAAAGTAATACCAGATGCAACTAAAACTATATGGAACTTGGAAGTATGATGTCACTATCGGCCCCAGTATATATGGATTAAGGTGATTTGAAGCAATAAAATGCTGAACAAAATACTCGTACACCTAAAATTTTTGTGATTTCTCCTTGAAAAAGTTTATTCATTTTTTGTTCAATTTTCAAAATCACACAAAAAATAAATTATTACCTTGGCTCTGTCATGTAATAATGACATTGGTAATTTCCCAGTTCTTAACACAAGTTGATATGGATCCTTCATAACATTTCCAATTTCTTTCTGAAATCTCTGAAGATTTTTTTGAGCGATGACCCTTGTGTTACCTGCAATAGAATACAAAACTCTTATAGCCCATACAATTAAGCAATAATCTCAATTCCAAAACTTCCCAAAGAATTTATGAATGATGGCTGACCTGGCCCAATGTTTCAACAGCCTAATTCTGGACAGTGTCGCGGGCCGAGGCCTTACTAATACTGATTAATATGTTATAAACCTGTTCCAAACCATATTTCCATAAACATATAGATATTATATAAAATTTATCAAACTGTGAGAGACCAGAAATATACGCAACTGTTCCTTTCTTCAAAAAAATATAGTGGTTGTCATAAATAATGATTGTTTGTTTTAAGAGCAATTATGTCACAATTAGACATAATTAATTTTATTATTAGACAAACTAATTTTATCATAAAATTATTAACAATTGCCAGATTAATATTCTATTTATTGAGTAAAATATGTGTTCTTCATGTCTCGGTGAAATAAGACAGTTTAAAATGAAGTATAAACTTATTGAAACTCACCAAACCATCTTCTGTTTGGTTCCACTCGTGCTTGTGTACCAGATGGAAGCTCTCCTTGAAATTCAGGAGGTTTCACAATTTTTCCTTTACGATTTCTAGAAAGATTGATGATATAAATGAGACGAGCTACAAATGAGTTAAATTAAATGTGCAATAAGAAGAAATAAAAACATAGTTTCAAATTAGTGGTAACGATTATAGACATTAATTAATCAAAACCAGACTTTACCTCACAGCCTTTCCACCTCTGTACATATTAAGTCTCTTTATTGTTGCCTTGGTTCTCATATTTTGACCTCCTTTGCCAACTTCTTTAGCTCGGTCTGTATATTTTTAAGAAGGCACAAAAATATATTTATTCACAATTGTATATATTCACTGTACTTAAATTTGATTCTAGGGTGAAATGGACATAATATGGTAAATTAATCCCAAAATCTGGATAATTCGAAAACAAGAGATTGGAATTACATGATAATAATTATTTGTGTTATAGGATTCATATACCCAAATAATAAAGTAGTAATTGCAACAAAAATACTATTTTGAAAAGTTCAAGTATTTAGCATTCTCGAACCAGTATAAATTGGATTGCCAATTGAACATACGAATACTGTGTATTAAAATATTAGATAGCTTAGTTTCAGTTTAGAAATGGCGTACTATTGATAGAAACATGCTATTCCTAAGAGTTTTGCACATTGATGTACATACCTGGATTATCTCCAGATGCAGATTTCCTTATCCTTCCTTCATTCCTTTTCTTAGTTTTGGCCATTTTTTGTTGTTACAAATCAAAACTATTAGTAAAGTATTATTGTCCTGTTGTCCTAGAATAATACTTTATACTGAATACATGATTATAATTAATAGGATTTATTGGAAATGAAAAATTACTGGTACAGAATTGCCAATAAAATTTGTATTGCTATTAAGGATAGGATTTACATATTTAAGCTGGGGAGAGGAAATCCGATAAGACGACCTATCCATATGACGAACCACGGCCTCCTGTCCGGTTACCATTCCAAGTCGGGTATGGGATTAGTTACTTTGTTTGTTTTCGGAAGCATGGACTTGGTGGTGGAGGAAGCCGTAACCGACCAGCGGCTACGTGAACCACCCCCAGTCTGGATTTCATGGCCTTTTCGAACGAGAAATCGGGCGTGCAATCAGAAATTCCCGCGTGCAAATAAGAATTTCTGGCGTGCAAAACAACTGCGCCCGCTAAACTGATTTCGAACTAAGATACCTCTCAATACATCCGCGAAAAAATAAGTTGGATCATAGCAAAAATGGACGTTTGACCTCTGACCCCCAAAACATCATTTCTATATTTTGTCACTAATTTTGAGAGTGTTTGTGCGACTTTAGATACCGGTACTGTTCAGTACTTCCGTGTAAAATTATTGTATTAAAAATACGCTGAATCAGAGCCATAACTGGCCAGCGTCGGTGAGGAGGCGATTTTTCTCACGGGATTCCTATCATTCAACACGATATGGTGATTTTTGCTTCGCATTTTTCGATCAGGCCAAATCTTGCAAGCAAGTATTAGTCGACAATTGTAAAGTTATAATTTTTTGGCATCTTTATATTACTAGATTATTGATTTAAAAACTATTTAAACCGATTTACATTGGTGAGCAATTGCAAATTTTCGGCGTGCAAAATTGAATTCGCTCGCGTGCATTTTTGTGGAGCGCTAGCGCCCTCGGGCGTGCACCTGCCATGGAATCCAGTCTGGAACCACCCAACGACGACGAGGAGTCCAGCAATCCTCTCGCACATAACCATCCCTGCATGGGATTCGAACCTGTGAACCCACGCTGAGTAATTAGAGGTGCAGTGGCGAGCGTATTCCTAACGCTTAGCCCGTTGAGCCAAACCGCCGCGCCAAAAATAACATCTATTAAATAAAAATGTCAAGGGCTACATGCCTACATATATACAATCATATTGAAATTACACACACAGGCTATACGAATATTAGATATACATGTCCAAGTGGATATAGGTCTCTAAAATAAATATACAGTCATCTAATAGGACCGGTATGGTTCAGTTTTAGATGCAAAATAGGGCTGGATTCAGCTATTTATTTTCATTGTACAAGAGTTAATGTAAAACAATGACTACGTAAAAAAATACCAAAAAACGGAAAACATTGAATCTAGCAATTGAGGAGGGTGGCAAACTGAATATTATCAAAATATCTCAACTGTGAGGTTGGGACAATTCAACTTACATACGATTTCAAACCATTTCGAAAAATTCAAGTGCAGGTTAAAAAAATAGCCAAAGCGTGAAATCGTGTGTCGTTTCGTACCTCAAGTTGGAATAGCATAACGATCAATCTCAACCCCACCATGGATGACACAGTCAGGTGGGGGTTGGGATTGATTTATGCAAATTTTACAGGTCACCGAGGCTCCCGACCATTTTATTTATGCTGTGATCAAACTGTCAGCATGGATTATCACACTATGAAATTATAAAATAAAGACAGAAAAATGAGTCGGCTAATAAGAAAAAAATTTTCTACTATCCAACACTTTACATCAGATTTATTGTATAGTAAGTAAGTAAGTAAGTGTTTATTTCAATTTTCCGTTACAACAAAACAAATAGGCAATACAGGGCAAAACAAACAAATGTACGGAAAATCAGGAAAGTGGGCAAAATCTAAAAAAGATTTAAGACGTGCCGGTGCACGTGCCCACTTACCCCACACAGCAAACAACACATTGAAGTAAATTAAAAAAAAAAAGGGAGACACGAAAAATAATCCGGGCGTAAATACTTGACTGTGGAGGTGGACTGTAGTTCAGAGGGAATGTGTAAAAAATGTATATATATTATACTACACTTTAATCAAGTGAAATACTGATTCCATATAGAAAAAAAAAAGATATTTGTCATTTTGTCAACCAAAATGCAAACAGTCAACTTCACGAGAAAAAATTTGGCAAAATTTAAATAAAAAATTGCTTTGGTATGAACAGGAGGAAGCGATACGAGTACGACCATGGGGTGTGCGGTCATCGATGTCAACTCCTACCTTATTTGCGATGTACGATTCATGATATCAATCCCAGCAGCCGGATGCCCAGTGAGAGATGATGAACACCACTCTGAAAGTATAAGTTACATCATTGCCAGTCATCAATGGATACATAACCCAGAGATGAACACAGGAATAGAACATGCCGTTTAGTAGCTGCAATAACGCAGGAGTCAATTTTAGATCGGACATGGTGTGTCCGGTTTGTTACATACATGGTGGCTGAACAAGACTCATTCAAGACTGAACTCCAAGTTACTGGTACCGTATGTATTATTCAAAGGTATATATATATATATATAGTATAGATCTTAGTATGCTGCATGCAATTCAAAATACTATAAACAAACCAACAAAAGAAAAAATGACACTGTTACAATTTCGGTACAACCTACTGAACTAACCGGGTAATGGCACAATTCACCATGAGCGTTGGCCCAGAGCTTAGTGTTTTCTACCGCTGCAGATGTTATTTTACCAGAAATTACTACTCTGCTGAATATGGGAAACATTTTGAGTTTGAAGATAACAGTCAAGAGTTTTTTCAGCAAAATTCTGAAGTGAGTATATCTGTCAGGTGTCCAAATATTATATTGTTTGCTGGTTTGGGGCAAGAACTTTAGATAATACTTCAATATTGACCCAATTTCATTCCTGTTTTGTATATACATACCTTTATATTTGGTAAGTGAGCGAAGAATCTCTGTTTATGCTTCTATTTTAAAATATACCCAAGGTTTTGTCCACTCCATGATTTCTAAATTTCAGTTTTGTTTATATGTAATCTTGTATAATACTATCAATTGAACTTTGATTTTATTTATACCATCAGCCTCTTTTTTATAGCTCTTAGAGGAACTAGGGTGTTCCACCCCAGAAAAGAAGAATAAACTGCTTTCTGTACTTGAGAAAGAGAGTACAAGAAGAAAAAATATAGATGCACAATCAGTACAACGAAAGTTATGCACCTTTGCATAAAGTGAATGTCTTAAAGGTATGATGTTATACATGCATCAGATGATATATTATTGCAATCAAATTTCCAAAAAAAATACAATTTCATTAAGTACATATTAGGTATGCATTCTTCTTAATTTAGGAAGAATATTTGGAAGAAGAATTTCTGGCCATTGTTAAGCATGCTAAAGGAGATGCCACATTTGCAAGCTTGTCGAAAAAATTGAATAAAGAAAAAGTAGAAGGCGTATATCGTTTGCCTGTTTTTAAGAAGACATTTTGCAAAAACTTAACAGAGGAACTTAACAATTTTGAAAATAGCAACATGCCAAAAGGTCGTCCAAACACAATGAATAATGGTGGAGTGAGTATCCCATGCAGGGTCCACTTAAAATTGTAACGGAAAAAACTATGTGCTTGCTTACCAACAGTTTTGCTGCGTCTGTACTGTATTGAACAAAATTACGACCATCTGCTAAGAAAACGCTTCCAATATGACGGCAATGGATTGGGCAAAATTTTAGTAGTAGAAATTATCAAGTACCATTGGATTGATGGTATCAGGTTTCTTATTGGTTTTTATTAATTTATAACAAGCATGATTCTCTCTCCTTTCAGATATTACTTGATGAATTAGGATTCAACGAGAATTTTATTACACCGCTGCGTGAAAGTTACCTTGACCCTATTGCAAAGATTCTATTCCCGGATTGGGTGGACGAAAAACTAGATTCACATAAATCGTTTACAGTCAATTATAAAGAAGATCAAGATTTAGACTTGGGATTTCATTATGATAATGCAGAGGTAACCTTGAATGTGTGCATTGGAAAAGATTTTGATGATGGAAGCCTATATTTTGGTTCAATGAGGCAGGTATGGGTTTAAATAATAATAGTTGCCCATTCTTTGGTGTTCTGACAAACGACGGATCATTAGTTTTTTTGTTCGACAGGAATGCAATAGGTCTGACAAAACTGTGGAAGTCAAACATAAAGTTGGTGAAGGAGTGTTACACAGAGGACAACACAAACATGGTGCCATGCCCATTTCATATGGCGAAAGAACCAACTTGATTATATGGATGAGATCTTCATCAATTAGAAACCAGCTTTGCCCTATGTGTGATAACAAACCCACACTTGCACCTGCTATTGGCTTGGGTGATGGATTTACAAGACATGACACACCAACAGTGCAAGTATGCAGTTTACATTAACGACTCGTGCCACACTTAATCAAATACTAGAATGTGAAAAGCTGTGAGGCTAATCCAATTTAAGAATGTTTCAAAAAATCAAAATCATGTCATTGCTACAGTTTCCTTCAATTGCTCTTGCTAAGTATTTTTAAATAATTAATTGCAATAAATATATTTATTTATAATAGAAAGCATAAAAGGGTTTCATTATTATCTGTGAAGAGAGTCTACTGAGAATATTATTTTATGATCCTAGCAGCCCGTCAATTCTATCTTAGATTACCAGTTATTGCACACACATTAAGCACCAATTGAGGATAAAAGTATGCAATCGTTGCAGATACCTCTGAACCGTGCCACAGGTGCAAAATCAATGCATTGCACTTGCAGTATAGTCGTTTTGTGGACTGAGCTGGGAAAAAAGCTCGCTTTCAAAGTGCTGGCCTGTTTACACTGACATTGGAAGAATAAAGCATTAACCATTATAATAAAAATATAAAACAATGCCACCGATGAATAAATATATAAGCAATCACCATATGGATACCAATGCGAATAATAATTGGACTAACTGTTACAAAATGCTTCAGTAAACAACATATTACCTAACAAACATTTGGCAATCTTATCGGCTTCCATGAAAAATTGCATTGATATTTCTCTAAACAATTAGCTATAGTTTTGTCTCTAACAAAAGCATTATAAATCTATAGTGTTCTATTTGAAAACTTGCATCAGTGTTTTCAGCTTGTATACAAAGACTTGTCAAGGTTATCAATGCCAGCTTCAAACGACGAATTTTATCCACTCGAAATATGCAGCTGTTGCTATTTAATGTTTCAAATCGTGTAATCACAAGATTATGTATAATAAACTTTTGGTCATGATGGATCCACTTTTAAAAGATCATTAATTTGTTGCCGATACATTGCCTTTACGTCCGCTAGGTCCATCCTCAACTCTTCATTCTCTTCTTCCTTTTCTCCATACATGGTTAAGATTGCAGAATAACGTCCTTCAACATCAGCAAGTTTATCTTTCATGGTTTGGAGCTCCTTGGAAACACCTTCCAAATCTTCATTTAAATTTGTTAATCGAACGATTTCTTCAGCCATTGATGATCTAGTTCTTTCAAGCATGTTAATGTCACCTCGTAGCTGAGCTATTTCACCATCACGAAGCTTGATCATCGTCTGAAGATTTTCTAAAACATTTGACGAGGACATGGGCTTTCCAGAGTCTAATGACAATTGACTAGCTAATGTAGGGAGAGAATTAGAGCTCATATGCTTGTCAAATGTTTCAGTAGAATGGAATGCATCATTTGAGCTTCCAACTGACTCGGTTTCAACAAGTTGATTGCTGGAAACAGAAGTTATCTCAGATCTACTCCACATCATTCTCTCTTTCTCTTTTTGAAGTGCTTCATGCTGTGATGCAAATTTTTTTCGTTCCGCTTCCAATCGTACCTTTTCCATTTGTAGTTGATTTTCTAAGAAAAGACGTTCTTTTCTAGATTTGTGTACAGTTTCTTTTTGTAAAATTCTCAATTCTTCTAATTCCTCAGAAACCAAAGATGTTTGAGTTTTGTATTCATCAACTTTATTTTTCAATATATCTATTCCCTTAAGTTGCTGAGATATAGTGTTCTGAGCACTTTCGACTTGTTTTTCATAGGCAGATGCTTTTGATTTTGCTTCAATGGCACCATTCTGTGCAATTCTTTCATTTTCCCGGGCAGTTAATAACTCTGCTTGTGCTTCCCCTAATCTATTGTTCAATGTTTTCTCAAGCGCATTCCATGAACGTTGTTGCGATGAATGAGTGGCCTGAAGGTTTTCAATTTGCCTCAGGAGGGGCCTTGTAGTATTTGAAACATTATCACTCAAGTCTTGATTACGTCCCTCAGATTCTTGTATCCTCTGTTGTAATTCTCTTATTTCTCTCCTGTGATCGTCATCTTTTCTGGATGCCGCTGCTTCAGACCTTGACACAGTGTTATTCAATTCCATTATTTGAAGCAATAATAATTGTTTTTGATGTTCATGTTCGCTAGATAGTTTTTTCCTTTCAAAGTCATGTTCACGCTTTATGTCATCTTCTTTAGACTTCCATTCAAGACTCGACTTGCTTTCTTTCTCAGCTATTTGCTTATGTAAATCACCAATTTCATTGTAGGCAGCATCTATGTTGACTTGTAATGCACGTTGTTTCTCTTCTGATTGTGACAATTTTTCTTGCAGCATTTGTGTCTGTCTCTCCCGTTGTTCATAAGCATCGGATATTCTCAAACTTGTTTCTCGTTCTTCCCGTCCCTGCCCTTGAGCTTCTTTGAGTTCAGTTTTTATTTTTGAATTTTCACCTTCAATTTTTGCAAATTTCTCTTTTAAAGTTTTAAGTTCAGCTTCTCTGTCTTGCCCTTGGGTCTTTAGTTTCTTTATTAAATTATTCTGTTGAAGATGCTTTTTCGCAAGAGCTTCACCTTCTTCCATTAGACCCTTGATGGATTCTTCCTTTTCTGCTATCGCAGCTTGAACTTGCTCATGTGTCATTCTTGACGCCAATTGACTTTTTAAAACAAGTATTTGCTTTTTTAAATTATCATTTTCTTCTTTTAAAATTGTATTGCTGTTTTCCATTGCTGCTACAGAGTTGGTTAGTTTTTCAGATTTTTTACTAGCTTCCTCTTCACATTTCTTTTTTGTATTTATGATTTCAGATTTTAAATTATCATTCTCTTCATTTAATTGGGCATTTTTGTAACTTAATGTCATCAGCTGTTGTTCATAAACCTCCATTTTTTCACATAATTCTGTGTACTTTTTATTTTCAGATTGGTGGTCATTTTTATGTACAAATTGTTCAGCAGCAGAAGTTTCAATTACATTACTTGATACAATATTATTATTATCGTTATTCTCGAAAGCCAATTCTGCCCCGATTGTTGTTGAACTACTTGTGGCAGAATCTTGAGAATTAGGATGGATTGGTTGGGAATTATGATTCATTTCATCTACCAATTGTGGATCATTATCTTGAGAAGACATTGGTAGAGTTCTATCTGTGTATCCATCATCGGGAAAAGGAGACAAAGCTTGGGAGGCATCAGATTCAACATCTATGTTAACCACCTGCACAGAAGATGGAATAGAAATAAGTCCATCATATTTTGATGATACTTCACTCGCTATGCTATCATGGTCAAGAATATCTATTTCACTAGAAGCAGCTGTTGATACACTTGGTGAAGTTGGTCGCTCTAAAGACAATCTTCTATTTTCAGTAGTTTCAATCACTTTTTCTTCATCTATTTTTATAGTGTCATCATTAGATGTGATTACTTCAAGAGAAATGCTTTTATGCATGTTCCCATCAAATGAATCATTGTCATCGATGCCTGTTATTTCACTAGAATCATCGACACTAACCACAAGAGGAGTATCTGAATAATCAGGGTTGTCAACCATAGTAAAGTTTTCAGGCATATTGTCAGAGGCTGATTCATTGAGTAGAAGTTCAGAAAAGTCAGATTTCATAGAACTGATTTCCTTTGAAATGATGGAATCCTTTATTTCTGCCCCTCCTAAGATGTGTTGTGCATCTTTATTTTCTGAACTGCCTGAAACTTCACTGTGATGCACCAACTTATCCTGTGGTATCTTGGTAGTTTGTGATTTAGGGCTGGCATTCTCAGAATCCAAAATCGAGAAGAAATCTTCACTGAAGTCATTAGCATTTGATTTAGCGCAAGAGGTGGGTTTTGTTGGTCTACCAACTCTTGCTTTCCTTTTTGTGGAAAAATCAGCTTTTTTGATTTGAGTTTTATCAATATTTATCTCTACATTAGGTTCATTCTTTTTGGGATGAACAGTTGGAATATTCTCAATATGATCTGTTACATTTTGACTTGATTCTTTAGCTTGTATATCCAAAGCCTTGTCAATCTTCTTTTGTGCTTCGCTAAGAGCACTTTTAGCATAGTCGGTGATTGAAAACCAACTCATTTTATATTTTTACTTTACCATATTTAACTGTAAAGGTGTCAATAAAATGGATTTTCAAGATTACATGGATTAAGACGCTAGTTCTGTAGTTAACAGATATAAAAAAATATATTCATTTTACAGGTAATGAGTGCTGGAGGGTGACCCACCCTGTGGTCGAGTCGCCACATACCTACCACTACCAGTGAGGCTACCACCTGAGTCTGTGAGTAACATATGTGATCGCCTGACATTACGGTACTGGTACGGTATCTTCTTATATAGGCTAGGTACCGGTACCGGTATGTATTGAAAGAATAGCATAAAACGAAAACAATTCATACCGTACGATGGTCCCCACTGAAGCCTGGAAAGCCTGTAACAAGCTTTTCAATCAACGTCATGTGCAGACCGCTGGATAGCAGCAGGGCGCATTACTGGATTGCGGTATAGAGGACTTGCACGGGTCACGTGACATTGTTACTGGACGGCAATAAAACAAAAACGTCCATTTGGCTCCTGTCAGTTGCAAGTCGGATTATACGTTTGCGTTTCGTTTGGCTGTTGAAAATGGTTATTTCGTTGTTCTGTTGGCTGTACGTATAGTATAGACAACGAAATGGATCTTCAGTAATATTCCACTGATTTCAAAAGATCCTGAACGTCGCGCAATGTGGATATCATCTATTGCCTATTGCTGTATTGGCAGAACTGCTTGGTGTCAAGTCCAGAAGCCATCTTACTTGTGTTTCACTGTTTGCGGACAGCACTTCGTTGATGGTGAGTGATAGTGTGCCGTTATCAATTTCTTTAAATATTCACAAGCTCCCTCATTTCAATGGAAAGCAGATGACAAATTACTGTTATCAGTGGGCCTAGTTGCAGACTTGACTTGTGTAAGACAGTAAGGAATTAATAATCAATAATCTAATAATCAACTACTGTTATTAGTAGGCCTAGGCCTAGTTGCAGACTTGACTTGTGTAAGACAGTAAGGAATTAATCTAATAATCAACTACTGTTATTAGTAGGCCTAGGCGTGGGCCTACTTGCAGTTGCAGACTTGACTTGTGTAAGACAGTAAGGAATTAATAATCAATTGCTGTAAGGTATTGTTTCCCTAATTAGCAGGTAATCTATTACTAAGTGTGAAAGGTTGAATAGATAACTAAAGTTTAACACCAGTGGTCATGCAAAAAATAACCAGAATTCAATTGAATTCGCCATCTAGGAATACGCTCGCCACCGCATCTCTGATCACCCTGGTAGTTTCACAGGTTTCAATCCCATGCGGGGATAGTTATGTGATAGAGGATTGCAGCTCTACTCCCACCGAGGGTGGTTCACATGATCGCTGATCGGTTACGACCATTCCCCACCATCCAAGTCCATGCTTCTGAAAACAAATAACTGGCTCCCCCCAGATAAATCTTATCCTAATGGTGCTTGTACAGCTGATTCAAAATGTCTTTTTATTGTCATTGGTAAAAAAGATATGCTACCCGGAATCAAATTCATTTACGACTAGTCGCTGTGGTGGGATATGGATATAAATTTCACACTCCTTGATCGTTAGATTTTATGAAAACTCTTATCTGTATCCATTATCTTACAGATATGGGTGCGACCATGGAATAGATGGATGGCAAAGTATAAGTTGCAACAAGACCACAGTGGCACAAGACCTCAGCTTGCGTGACTTGATAAATACATCCTCAGTAGGCCTATCCATTTATTGATGCTTATCGTAATGACAAAGTAACTTGTCATTACTGTGGATTGGTGGAGATAAAGTGTCCATTGTGCTTTAACGAAATCAACTTCAAGACGACCCTATCAAGAAAAAAAAATTGTTTCGGTGGGTCTGGTCGTGAAGGTTTCAGTCTAACGTTGGACACCGATACTACAACCAGATACAGTTGCCAATGAAACTTAAGCGAGGCATAATATTGCGACTTTGTGATCTGAAAGGAAATTCTGATAGGTAGCCGGCTAGCCGCAACCTTTTGTTTAAAGAATATTACGAGATACGACTTAAGAGTCTAAACTTTTATTTGAGAGGGGTGTAGCCCAAGCTAATTTGCAAATAGTATTCATGGTACCAAATGTATCACACACTTTACAGTAATTATAAATTATATTTGAAAAATAAAGCACATCAAAAATGTATTTTTAAAAAACAATTGGTTTTATCTGCAGATACTAGGTTGATATTGAGATTGACCATTTCAATGCTAAATTTTCTTTAGTCAAAAGGCACACTTGATTCGCAAAAATTTGTGTATGCGCACAGTACACCAATTTGTCTAATGTTTTGATTCCATAGGCAGGAGGTTGTGGATCGGTGCTGCTCAGGATGGGATATTTTTGCCTCTAAATGCATATTACGTGCTCAGATTCGACTGTTTTCAAGGTCTGAAGGCTCCAACAGCCTTATTTTATGGGTACACAAGAGAATTTTCAGTGTGACATGCATGGGTCAGTTGGACCAATGACATTAAACAACATGATGCGCAACTCCGGCATTTTTGTCCGAAGATCGTATTCGATAGCACGCTCCAATGCACATACTTGACGAGACGAAAACGAGCGGATGTGTGCTGCTTTCAAGGCGTAGCACGAATGGTGTTCGTGCCTGCTTTGACAGTTGTTGTCGATTTTAATGATATTTTTGAAAGTTGGGGTAAAAAGAAATCGGTAAAAGGTAAGGTGAATACTATTGTTGTATATCACACCCGGGCATCGCACTGTTAAGTACATGTGGGAAAGTCAGCCTTTGTCAAATACTACGAAGTTATTAATTCAGTACGGTACGTAGTTGCTCATTTGCCGAAATTACATATTTACTTACCCCTTATGATTTCAAATAGTTCATGCACCTCCAGTTAGATTTTTTTAATCAGTGAGGATATATACTCATTGTTGATTGCTGCTCATTGTAACATACTATTACGCATTCACTTTTATTTGCGTATTGAATCAAAGTGTTAACAAGTTCACCTAACATTTCACTCATACCGGTCTATATTGTATAGTCTGATTTCTCAAGTATTTGGAGCCACGAATGCTTGTAATTTTCTGACTAAACCCTTTTATTAGTTGGTTCATATACCAAATTCAGTAAAATATTTTTTAAATAAAACATGAGATATTGGATTTATTAGCTTTTCCATTCTGAATCATATAGACTGCTTTATTTATTCTTAACGAAAATTAATAAATCTCCTCTCTTTCTTCAGATGTGAAAGTTGTGGACAAACCTGTCTAAGCATTGTGAGACTCTTGCAGCACAAGAGGCAATAGCAGAAATAGTAAGTATATCAATCAAGAAATTAAGCCGACATAAAGCTAAACTTTCAACTATTCGTCTAATCTCAATTTCCTATTATTTATTCACAGGACAACTATAGCAGACGGGGAGATATCAGAAGTCTGGCGACATATCAGTGACAGTGTGATTCCAAGAAATATAATGCAATTGAAAATAGAAATTTGCAATAGAAAAACAACCTATGGAGGCATGCAAAGACATTTGACCCTCCGGTAGAGTTGTGTATGGCCCCCACATCCTGCAGGGCTTGAGGAAAATAACTAAAAATTCCAAAGCGTAAGATTGCATAAGCGGTCTTATTTGTAAAAAGGCACAAAACACGCCAGACATACTTAAAACAGCTTTGGAAATGAGGATTACGGGTACCTCACTGCACCTGTGTTATATTTGGTTCATCAACTTTTGGTAGTACTATAGAAGAAATTCCGGAAGGGGTATAATCATCATTCATGATAAAATACTATCATATATTTTTTGAACAACTTCAATCTAGACCAGGGATCTCAAACTCGCGGCCCCAGAGAACTTCCAGTGCGGCCTTCGAACGCTTAACAATAATTGTAATAGTATTTTGGAAGTTTTTTTTTTTTTATCTAAATGTAATAGATTTTTCAAACCTTCTAAAGTGAAATTGATTATTCACACAGAAAACAATTTACTGAAAGTAATTTTGGAATATTAATTTTTTTTGTCCACATTTTGACCCAATTAAGAATACACATCAAGCTAGCAAAAGAATACTTGAATAAAACACTTGAGTAATTAAATTAAACGCAAAGTACATGAAGAAGGTGGCATTTTCGAAGAAAATGGGGAGTTGTAACATTTCTGCTCTTCACAAAATTCTGAAGCACATTGTTTAATTTGTCATATTTCCATCAATACAATCAAAAAACACAATAAGCTCAGCAGTCAATATGACAAATTCGAAGACCAACTTCGAACAGAAAATTTCCATGTGTTTGTATATTAATATAATTATACAACGACTTAGTTACTAAAAATCAATATCAATAATAATTCAAGCAATCCTATGCCACGCAATGTAGTGCGAAATGTCTTGTCGAAAAATCTGTCATTTGTTTTTTTACTGATCTATACATGAAATGATAAAAGTAACTTTTTTGCATTACTGGAATTAATTAAACATTCGTAAAGATCCAGATAAACCCATGATCATGTGGCCTCGTTAGTTAGAGTTGGTACTATAAAATCATTTCAGACTGGCCTTAGTATGCTGGTGACACAAAAAAGATGCCAAACGCCAGGACAAATGTAATTATTAAAACATTGAGTTTATACTGTAGTATTTTTGTTAATTTTAGGTTCATATATTTAGATTAAGTTATTTTAGTGTATGTATTATTCTTTCCTTATTCAAAGCTTGTTCAAAAATGATTTTGATGGTTGTACATAGAATTTTACGATTTTTTATAATAAATACTGTAACTTGCAAATGTTGCAATAATGGTGGAATGCAAATATTAATATGTAATTGCATTTGAAATTGAAGAAAATAATAAAACTCAATCCAACTGTTTAGTTGCATCACAATATATGTCACAAACTAAAACTATCTTAAAAATATCTTTTAAGTATACATTATCAAAAACTGTTTGCGGATCTTTTTACAATTTTCAAAATGCAATGCGGCTCTCGAAACCCATGAGTTTGACACCACTGATCTATTCTAGACGATTCAAGCATTGCTTTGGGAAATTATATCACTTCAATTAAATTGAAATAATCTCGCTATATTAAATACAAAATCGTTGCTATCATAAAGGTAAACCAATTCAGCCACTCGAAATATATTGGCCTTCACAAAGCAATGGAGGCAAAATTGAGAGTTCATGAGCTATGAACATTTGTTCTTTTCTTTGTCTTGAACTTTCCATACTCCACAGCCCCTATTAATTTTTTTTAATTTTAATTACCATGTGATGGTCATACATATCTTTAACTTGTATTTTCTGTCATGATGTATTATCTCAATGTGCCAAACTATTAATTAGTGTGCATATTTTGCTTCCAGATGACATAAATGTATTGTCATGTTTATTACCTCAGCTTGGAGTATTGACAAGAAAAAGGTGCTAGTAAATTAGGTAAAAAAATTTTCAACTCATTGTTATAATCAGAATTCACAATCAATAGGAATTATAAACAGCCAACAATCAGTGAGAATTATATGCGAAATCCCTCAGAATAAATTTGTCTAAAATCGGAGGAGGGCAAAAAATATAGGTAGTTTCCATCCACACAAGCATTTCAAGAAGACTTGCTCGAGCCAAACTAAATGAGCATCGTCAGGTGATCGGTAAGGCTGCAAGTTGAATTCAGCCCTGCAACCTCCTGCATAGAAGATAATATTAATTAGTGGGCTATGAGCTAAATTCCTAAATTTAAACAAACCTATCTACGATGCATTATGTACCAGCAATGTTACCTACGATTGACTGAATATGTAATATGTCTAATAAATTCACCTACAAAAGCAAGTTCGATAGGTGCAAACTTTGTGTTATGGAATTGTATCGCAGCACAGTTTTGTATGACACCCTCTTTAAATGAAATTTCAATGATTAAGCGCAAACATTAAAATTACTAACTTTGTCATTATCTGCAAAATGTTCCACACAAATCTTTCCGCTATCGCGTTTGTAATCTTCTCTGATAAAAAAAAAAAGTCTATGATGTCCAGAATTGCTCTTTACAGCTTGCCTGTTATTCCAGCTTTCCAAGTAAGCAAAACTTCTTAGATATAGAGATTATTTTGTTTCGTTACAGGCGCAAAAAGGCAGGTACTACACGTAAAAAAGACGCCGAGTAGCAAAAGCGAGCGGAAAACGGACGCGAAAGGCGACGAGAAATATGTGCATTGGAGCGTATCATGAAATACAATGTTTTGCCTGTAGTCTTATGGAGTGACGTCAGAGTTGCCTATCATGTTGTTTAATGTCATTGGTTGGACTCACTAACCTCAAGATATCTATAAGCAAGGATAAGATAACCTGGAAGTAACATTCCATAATTTAGAGTAAAAAATGTATCTGCCTCCACAGCCCTTTCGAATGGAAGATATGATGCCTCGGGGGTAATTTCTATCAAATATTTTACAGTATGGTTCTAGTGAAAAGGGGTGTTGGCGGCTTTTTTTTAAAGTGTGGTAGGTCTAGTCGAAAGACACATAAATGTTTATGCTAACAACTGCGAATTAATATTGCAACGCATACAAGTTAACAGGATTTGTTGAAATGGTCCTGCCTTTTGCCTTTCTTCAAAATCCTCCTTTTTCTAACTATTCTCTTCTTCTCTGGGGATGGCGAAAATTCAAATATCGATGGGACATGTGAGCAGCTGATAATGGGTTATCTTCCCTTTTTCCTGAAAATAAATTAAACACTAATCATCATTTGACAGTGCCAAGTTTGTGTATCAGATCAGTAATAAATTACCTGCTAACTAACAAAACAATCAGACAACACCTTCTGACCATTAATGAAGATTTGTTTCAATTTAAAACGCAACTATGCCTACCAAGTTTGTAGGATAGAATTTATCTGTGGTTGGGGACAGATTGCAAGGTGCAACATCGTACGATTACCATTCTATGTCGGGATTAGTTAGCCAGTTATTTGTTTTAGAAGCATGGACTTGATGGTGGGGGATGTCGTAATCGACCAGCGGTCGTGTGAACCACCCTTAGTGGGAGGAGAGATGCAATCACCTCGCACATAACTATCCCCGCATGGGATTGGAACCTGTGAAACTCCCAGGGGGATCAGAGTTGCGGTAGCGAGCGTATTCTCAGAGAATTCAATTGAATTCTGGTTATTTTTTGCATTAGCACTGGCGTTAAACTTTAGTTATCTATTCAAATTTTCACACTTACTAATAGATTACCTGCTAACTAGGGAAACAATACCTTATGGCAATTATTGATTAATACCTTACACGAGTAGGCCTACGCCTAAGCCTATCAATAACAGTAGTTTGTCATCTGCTTTCCATTGAAATGAGGGAGCTTATGAATATTTAAAAAAATTGATAACGGCACATCATGACTCACCATCAACGAAGTGCCGTCCGCAAACAGTGAAACACAAGTAAGATGGCTTCTGGACTTGACACCAAGCAGTCCTGCCAATAGATGATATCCACATTGCGCGACGTTCAGGATCTTTTGAAAACAGTGGAATATAGCTGAAGATCCATTTCGTTGTCTATGCTATACGTACAGCCAGCGGAACAATACGAAATAACCATTTTTAACAGCCAAACAAAACGGAAACATATAATCCGACTTGCAACTGACAGGAGCCAAATGGACGTTTTTGTTTTATTGCCGTCCAGTAACAAGGTCACGTGACCCGTGCAAGTCCTCTATATAAGGACTTTGCTGGATTGTATACGTAATCAGCCGAGATACCTGCTGTCCTGCTGTGGTCCAGTATCCGGTGCGCGATTAAGCCTTTAGGGGTGGTAGCACAAAAGTCATATTGGAGGTGTCAAAATAGGGCTGACAAAAAGCAGTCGTTGCGTGTCAAATTGGGGGTGACGAAATAGGGTCGTCAAGTTAGGGGTGACGAAATACGGTCGGTTCGTGTCAGATTAAGGGTGTCGAAATACGGTTGCTGCGAAGAAACCGAAGATTTGATTTCCGCATGTCAGAATAGTAGCAGCACGTTTTGAACTGGACATATATAATACCAAACATAGCGTATATTCCGGTAATTTTATGAAAAATATATATGTATCATAGTCAAACGTGGTTTAGTATTTAAACTTAATTTACCACAATTATCTTTTTACTTTTTAATACAGCGATATTGGACGTCTAATACATTTAAAGCAAGTATAGGGGTGGCGAAATACGGTCGGTGCATGTCAGATTGGGGGTGACGAAATACCGCCGCTGCGAAGAAACCCTAACTATTTGATTTCCGCATGTCAGAATAGTAGCAACACGTTTTGAACTGGACATATATAATACCAAACATAGCGTAAATAATTAGTATAAAGCATAGGTAATTTTATGAAAAGTATATACGGTATGTACCTTCATAGTTAAAAGTGGGTTTGTAATTCAACTAAATTTGGTAAATAGCTGAACAATTATCTTTTTACTTTTCAATATAGCGATATTGGACGTATAATACATTTAAAATAAGTATCGGAGAGTATAAAATAGGGAAAAAAACATTTAACGTCCCCTCGTGGGTACTTTTGAAAATGTCGAAAAATTAAAGTTTTGGATGGGCGACTTCTCGAAAACTTCCAAAAAAGTCAGCATTACGAATTTTAGATATATTGATCGTACCGTAGTTTTGAGGATTGCTACAACAGGTAGTCTTCAAACCATAAATGACAGAATTCTTTGCAGCGAATGCTAATACACCGACTCTATGGGGATTAAATTAGCGGCAATTGCTGAACAGCACTCCATGCTCATAGAACCTAACGCTTCCAATGCTACTACTCTACATCACAAAGCCTGAAAACTATCAGGAAGCCTCACAACATAGGCAAAGATAATTGTCTGTGCAATCTATCTGTAAAGTTATCATTATTATCAAAGATTCTGCACTGTTTTAACCGAATTTCGTAACGTCCTAATCGTCGCCATCTGGAAGTAGACCATCGAGAGTTATTTATTGTTTAGACGGTATTTACCACTCTGTGATACATTTGAATAAAAACTAACTGCTGACCCCATACATAGATTTATGGCTTAGTTTACCTTAATGGTGAATCAGAGACAGTAGTTTCACTCCACATACTCAACTTTTGAGTGCAAACAATTAACAAGAAGCCTTCAATAAACAAATAAATCCACCATCTTTCTCTTGCCAGTTAAAAGCAGTTGCGCCGTAGGAAAAAAAAAAAAAATTATCGGTGGCATGTTTTATCTGTGTTTAGTTTCAATTATAAACAATTTCAATAAAATGTTATTTCATCAACAGCAAAATACATACAATTTCAATAAATTATCAATGAATAAGAAGACACACAGTGACTTTGATCGCAAGAAATATGTGCAATAAGCATAGGATTCACAATGCATATTATGAATAGCAGGCAGAAATGAAACCAGCATAAAAATAAATTGGGTGATGCAATGATAATAGAGATCAGTGACACAAGTACATTCTTTTTAAAGGAATCAATTATATCTGCTGCAAAAGTGTTGATGAAAATAAGTTGCTTTTATGTTGCATCTGCATAAGGTATATCTGTAATATAGAAGATCATTTATTATACCCTTGTGAAAACATACACAGACATAAAGTTTACATGTAATGCTACACTCAATTCATAGTGCTTTCATGATGAAGATGGAGAATGTTGTTGCAAATTACATTTATTCAGTGACAATTATAATGCTGAATATGGAAATATTGACAATATTAAATATATAGAATTAGTTCAATTTATTTTCTGACGTCACTGCTTGGGTACATGGCTGTCATGGCAAACAAGTCTAGAGCATACAACTCGACAGGGCCTAGTCAAAGAAATGAGATATATAATAACAATAAGTATTACGTACCATCATAAACATTAGGATTGATCTTAAGTGGTGTGAAAGCATTCACTGGCAAATCTAAAGCAGGTGGTTTGCTAGGTACTGGTGGAGGTGGTGGTACAGCAGCATTGGTTCCCTTCTGAGAATAAACAGATATTGGTGAGGGTGAAAGCAAAAATAGACAGATATCCTTCATTAATTGCATTCATTTTGTACAATACAAACCACACAACTAGCTCGAACAGGTAACCTTTTTAGATTTATATGGTTTACCAGTAGTCATGATTTGGTTTTAACATAAAGTATATTAAAATAATACTCTTAAGGAGGACTTACACAGGTAATCATATCCAAAAAATCATTCATTTGTTTCAGTGACAGAGAATTATGAAGAGTTTCCAATGCTCTTATAGAAGGTACCAGTGACATATGATCAGATACTGAAAATAAAACAAAATATTCCATTACATATTAAATCTAAAATTCATTGAGCTTATAATGTGTCCAAGACATACAGTATAAAATTAAAAATACATAAACATGTAGAACAATTATTACAGGCACAATGTTATGGATTATATTGTATATGCAATTGAAAAATTAAATATACTTGTCAAATACAATTATTCCAGGATCAATTATCAAGTTGATAAGAAAAAAGAATTCAGTCGTGACTAGTCTTGTACCGATTACTAAGCAATACATGTTTTAATAGCAAAACAACATTAAAGGAATATAGAAATATGAATAATGAAATATGCTCAAATCGATCATTGTAAATATTTGATTATGTGCTAGCGAGCTATTCGCAGTTTTTTTTCCTACATTTTGAATGACTTTCTTAAAGCCTACCTGCAGACATATCAGACACAGTATATGCATGGGCGAATTCATTAGGAATATTTGGAGTTGAAGATGACGATCTACCTCCTGCTAACACTTTAGTACTGAACAGGCAACTTTGAGATCCTGGAAAAAGGTTTTGATAAATGAGGAATTGAAATTCTATCGAATAGCATACTGTCTTCCAATATTTCAGTCTAACGGCATCTTGTGTTAGAGTCCAGGGTCTCTGGGTTTCTGTTCTTGCTATATTACCTAAACGACATGGACTTAATGTCTCAATTAAACATGGCATGTTAGTCTCACCATAATAAAAAATACTCTTTTATAAAACAGGTATATTCTATAGCTGATAAAAATATTCCTTTATCAAGAGTTTTATTTTAGTGAATAGACAGATTATCTGCAGGTTTCTGCTGTAATAATAAAACCATGTGTTAAAACCAATAAAAAATTGTAATAAAATAAAAACTGTTTTTTTTTCAATCTCAATGAGAAAATATTGCTACTGATAATTTACAACAGCAGTAAAAGAGTTAACATGTGCAGTGGTATTAGTATTAGGTAGTGGTTACTGAAATTTAATGATCAGTACTCCCATCCAAAGACTCTTATCAACCTTGAACCTTGCTCTTCAATAAAATAAAATGTGTTGGACCTAGTGAAGGCCTTTGCTGGCGGCCCCCAGAAAACCACTCTGTGGTCCCTAAGGATCAGTTTGAGAAACTGCAATCTAAATTGATTGCAATGGTACGACAGATAAAAGTTACTAATTTGCAAGTATCCCTACCTAATCCACCCTTATTTTCATAAGATCTGGAAACATGAGGATGTCTTCCAGTTTGTGCTGAATGTTGTCGATGTGTTGATCGCCTCCTTGATCGAGAAGATGGTCTTTCATGCTCAACCGGAGCAGGTGGTGCACTGCGATGAGGTTTACTGTTTTTCAGAAATCTTAGCACAGCTTCAGATGCATCTGGTTCTTCTTGATCACTTGTACCAGGGGTGTTGTTGTTGTGATCAGAATCAACAAATGTACTATCAGAAGCAGAACTTGAACACTAGAATAAATACCACATTTTTCTTTGGTTATGAATTAGAGAGAGTTATGTGTATACAGGATCTGGATATAAAAATTTGAATATTCCTGTCATAGCCTTAACATAAACTAGTTTTAATAACCAAGAGTGTGGAGTCTGAATTGCCACCTAGAATTGGGCATGTTATTATGATATTGTTGAAGTCGCACCGGCCGTTGTAATTTCCTGGAGAATTTCAAATTATTGAGAGTTTTCAGACTTATAATTATCCAACAATATTTTCGACAAAAACTCAAAACATTAAGTTGGCGAAGTATTCTCTATATAGACAATAGGAAAATTTTGTTTGCATACGACAAAGTTTTTGAGATCCATATTTGGGTTTTCAAACAGTTCTGAGACGGAGTTGCTTAATTGGTCTGGAAGAACTCCACAGTGCTCTTGGCAGCCCACAACTACATGCACGCTTACAGCATTACAAGTTAAGAAAAGTTTATCAATTACAACTGTATACAGGACCTATAACACAGAAACAACTATTAATTAAATGAATAAACTTTACCTTCTTCTCATCAACTTCTTTAATCTGTTCAACCTGCCTCGTACTTCTCTCAGAACTAAAAAGCAACTGCATTGAAATATATTCTGTGCCATAACAATATGCAAATATGTACTTATTTGCTTCTGTTTAAGTAATAACATGAATGAAACAAGAACTGCATTACTCCATTAAGAACTGAAGAAAGCAACAACTGCAACAACTAAAAATACAACCATTCTCAAGTTGAACATAGAAGTAAAATTATGAAATCTTACTGCACAAATGACTACTGAAATGACTAAAATTACTTCAAGTATATACACTAAATGCATCTGAACTGTACCAGTTTTTCATCAATTTTCTAATCTAGGCATATCTAACACTGAGATCACATTTGAGACACAATCTTTCAAGATACCGTACTCAAACAATGCTGACAATATTTTCTCTACAAAAAGTTTCATCCATTTTTTCCTTTAATCTATTCCCAAACAATCATTTAATTTAACAAACATTTCCGTACTAACACTGTTATTACAAATTCTATTTTCCCACCCTTTCTCGTTTTGTTTATTCTGAAATGCCTGCTGCATATGTTGTGTTGCACTCCATGATGCAATATTAATTGCATTTTGAAGAATTCTTGCTAAACGTCTAATATCTGGTGCAGAAGGCGGGCAAACTTCTATAACTGAGCTTTGTGATGTTCTAGACATCACTGAATGCCTACTACTCGTTATGCAAACCGGAATTCTGGATGGAGATGAATCTAAAGCCTGCTATATAAAACTAGATATACATATATTGGTCAATAAAGAGCACCTATACTGCTATACACAATGATCTTGTCATAAAAATATGCCCCATAAACAAAGTACAGTAATTATAGCGGCTTGGGTTTTAAGCATCGAATTTTTTAGCCCATGTTGGGTTAATTTTCAGATCATACTTGTGTGAATGCGCAGGTTAGACTTACTGTTTTTTACGGACCATAAGACGCTTCAAAATGATATCGAGAGTGCGTCTTATAACCCGGCGCCTCACGTAATGACCAGGAAGTGATTTATTGCAATTCAGTGTGTCTTATGTATAAATAAAAAACCCAATCTAAGGAGTCTATTGACAGTGCACCCTATAATACGGTGTGCCATTTGGTCCATAAAATACTGATATTGTGATAGAATTATAAAAAAGATCTTAGATTTTCTTGAACATACATTTAATATTTCCCAATCAGACCTTACTTAGTTGTATACTAATCGTATTAATTTAATTGATTATACAGACAAACATTAAACTCCTACTAATATTAATAAACTGGGCATACCCTTGATTTCTCTTCTGAACTAGAAGGACGTTCCGGCACTTTTGGCAATGGTGATTGCTGAAAAATTCAATGTACTACATATAAAAGTGAAGAGTTACAAAAGGGAGAAAGATTTTACCTTGATATGATTTATTTAAGGGCAATTGTTTGGCTTGCAGGCCACATTGTCTCCAAAGAAGTTAGCAGATGGCTGCTCTTTTTATTAGGCACTGTGGTATAATATTCTGCTTAATCGTCATTTTTATTTAGTATGAAAGTCATCATGCGTTTGGCGAGATTGTAGGCTATGAATGATGATGTAGATTCCAACCATATCAAACCATGACATGAAAACAAGTTTGATTTTGGCTCTGAATAAATTTGATGTTCAGGCAACAATAAGCTTTCCAATTAATGTGATAATTTCAGAAACTTACTCCTCTTGATGAAGGTCTCGACGCAGGCCTGAATCCTCCACCTTGAGGGAAGTCAACATCAGGAAAAGTTCCCCGAGCACCAGGACTAAAATGTAGTTCAACATGGAATCTTTTCTCCGAAGATGGATCTTCATTTGGATCTTCGTACAACATTATCACAATCTAATAAAAAACCAAGGGTAATAAATAATCTTGGTCATCAACCAGGATCAAAACAGTCTTGAGACTGTTACTCGAGAAAAAAGTTTTTTTAATGACTTTTTTACAATCGGAAAGGAATTACAAAAGGAAGCCAACTCCGAGTAAGGAGCTTCTAATTTGAAAGTACTGGAAACTATTTCTGGTGGCATCGCCTAATATATTTTTTACACCCTGGGCTAGGTGATGAGCATGAGATTTAAACCCAATATATGATGTTAGCGTAGTTAAGCTCAACTCTTTAACCAAAAGTACATGCAGCCGAATAAACTGTGATTAATTGTGCGAATATAATGCATATTTTTTATGTTTAAACTTTTGAAAAACGAATTGACATTATAAAATAGTCAATATCAATGAAGAGGTGTTTGAACTGTGGATAGTGTATCTCCTAGAATAAAATTTCCACAAGATTTTGAATACCTACAATGAATGTATATTCAAATACATTCAAAAGTACTTATATTCTCTTGATATTGTGAATAATTTGAAATAATATCATTTAAAAATTGATATTTTGAGCATCTTATGATCAAACTAAATACAGCCTCCTTCATCGATAAAAAAATAGATGACCAATTGAAGAAATATTACCTGGGTCATATAGTTTAATTCAGAAACTGCATTTACATATTCCATAGCTCTTTTCCATTGGTCATCATTTACTTCCTAAAAAACAAGTGTTTGAATGAAGGCAAACAAACATGCTTTAACAAAAACTTGTTTCCAAGCAGAGTAAAATTTATGACAAACTTATAAAACTCACATTACATAGACCTCCATATCTAAGTATAGTCAAAAGAGAATGAATATGACTTTCGCTTGTGAAATATAATCTTGTTCGAACGTGTCGACCTGGTGATAACACTCCTCTTGAATACCTGTAATTAAAATATGTTTGTTCTCACACACTTCCAATACAATTGAAAAATAAAAAGTGATATAAATTCATAATGTTGGGGAAATCAAATACATTTCAAATCAGTTATATTCAATATAGAAAAATTAATATTTTTCAGAATATATTCCTTAAGATTCTATATAATGCTGCGCAATTGGTATCCAGTCTATCAGGCCTATTCATATTCTGATAACTGTACAAAATTGTCTTTTCTGTACTACAAAAAAATAACCTCTATGAATAATGAGGTCAAATTTCTCAGTTGCGCAATAAGTTGAACAATTTTCAGCAAACGCTGTGCTTAGCCTCTCAGTACGAAGAACCAATGCGCAACCGTTGTGTCCATATACAAAACATTATTTCAGAATACAAACCTTGGATTCAATCTGTATGTATCATCTTCTAAATTTCTCTCCAGATCAACTTTAATTTTGCGTAAAAGTGGGATACAATATCCCAAAGCAATATCTAGTTTTTGATGTTTGGTTATACCATACTCCTACAAAAATAAAATATAAAAATAAAGAGCTATTAACTGTATAGTAATGTGGAGAAGTAGGAACAAAAGGGCAAAGCGAAACAAAGAGCAGTACCTGTGGTATAACAATATCAGCAAGAGTTTTTGACAAGCTGTATAATTCTGTGAATTTTTCCAGTTTTAACTTGCTGTTGTGTTGCAGATCATACCTAAATAAATTCAGCAGTTTAAAAATGATTCAGTTTGGCTGCAAAAGAGCTCTACATAAGAAACAACTTGGAAGTGCAGTGTAATCAGAGATGGTCAAAACTAGATAACATACTACATTCTAAAAGTATATTCTCAAAACAAAATAACAAATATATTTTAAATTGAATCATTTTTGTCAAAACGATCTTTTTACATTCATAAATTGAAGTCAAAATAATTTGGTAATGCAAAATAATTAAAAATATTTGTCAATTGTAAATAATAATTGTTATGAATTCCTTTACATTTTAAAATTTTTAAAATTAAAATAAGTTTGCCCTTTGTATCAGGTGTCAACTGTTCAAAATGACAAGTTTTTGAATACAATATTTTATTCTTACAATAAATACTATATAGAGAATGAAATGAGTTCTAAATGTTTCTGATTTGTTAAGGACATCCCTGTGTGTAATTGTGTTTTTGGTAAAATTGTCATCTTTCATCTCTATAATAAGCCTAAGTTTGCTTACTTTATGCAGTCATAAATATCAGGAATTTTGCTGATATCAAATCTCTTCTTATGAATTTTAAAATCTTTCTCTAATTTTGCCCATCTCTGCAACATCAGTCCTAAAGTCTCATTATGATAAAGCTCAGTATCTGAAAGAAAAAATATACATTCAAATTATGGTTTGACATATCATTACATCTATGGTGAGATTTTCCTGCATTACAGACTTGCATTACAATTTACATTACAGACTTCTTAAAAACAAAGATAAAAAAACGCTACAGATAGTTTGAATCTTCTTCCACTCACGTTCTTCTGAAGGATTATGTAAACGATTTTTGATTTCTTTTGTGAGTTCTTTTATCAACGTATGTACTTTTCCCATTGTTTGTAAAGGATTTTCTATGCTTTTTGCAGCTGTTACAATCGATGCTGGCTGGAGAGGAACCAACTGAAAATATAAATATGTGTTGCAGACCAAGAGACCTTATTTCATAAAAATTTATCATGCAAACTATTATATAAAAAATATTTTGAGAAAAATAATTAATAATTAGAAAAAGTCGCAAGGACAAAAAAATAAGTGTAAAATAGCTTGACACCAATAAACAGTCTTGTATAGAGAAAAGCATCTTGTTAAATTTGAGTGTTTGTAATGTTAAAAATATTTGCCCACAAAGTTGATTCAAACATAACTTAAATGCAACTGAAAATATATTTCCAGCCTATCCCAGTTTCCAACAAACAGTGACAAAATAGATAAACATAAACAGTATGGTCGTCTAATAAAATTATAAAAATGTATATTTATTTTAGTTTTAGCTACAAAGTTCCTAAAAAAATTGTGAATTTTTTTGAAAGTCTGGGCTGTTTTTTCATCAGGTCTAATAATCCCATGAAGTTAAGCCATACAATAACTAAAATAATTGGATTTAACTACTTTAAAACAGGGGTGTGCAACCTTCAATACAGGAGGGCCAGATAGAAATAATTGAGTAAAACCGCAGACCGGTAGTTGCAGGTACAAAAATCGTTATTGATCTTGTACCATGCATTGTACAAGCCAGCTGTTGAAGCATTGTAAAGCCATAAGCATATATAATAAATTGAACCCAGGGATAGGCTTCGCAATGCAAAGGTATTGGAATTACTCACACGTACCAAATTAAATTAAAAACTCGTTTCACAGGCTGCACATCATTCAAAATTGGCACTTGGCGAGCTACACAATTTTTCCTTGAGGGCCGAATGCACAGGTTTCACACCCCTGCTTTAAAACTTAATACTTCGTCTATTACATTAGAAGTATTACTAAATACTTACGGCATCTAAGTTTTCAAGTTTATCCTGATTTAACATGGTTTGCAGTTTCTCTTTTACACTGAAAAAATAATGTGATCATATGTTTTAACATACACATTCAATACGTTTATCAAATTTATGAAGACTTTATAAATCAAATTATAAACCAAAGTGCATAAGAGATAGAAAGCAGGGTTCATTGGACAGACTAAGTAAGGTTTGAATTGTTTTGTACAATTACCGGTACATTACTTGTTTGAATAAAGAGACATGTAACATTTCAACTACTAAATCCCCATTGGAAATTCAAATGACCAATCCGAAGTGATATTGCTGCTTAAATTGAGTGAAAAATGATTGCTTAATTATTATACTGTGCAATTCAAGAATCCTGCTGCACACTAACACAAATACCAGCAGAACTCTTGAATTGCACAGTATGGTGCTACAGCATCCTTGCATTATACGCATACAGATCCACTAGCGCAAGGGCATTGAGGAAGAATGAGGAGTTAACCTTGCGAAATCTCTACCGATAGATAATTATTAGGTTAATACATCTGAACCGTTACAATAAAGATTCGATTCCATATTCTACTTTGGAATTGATGTGTAATGAAATGTTGTGCGTAATTTCACAAAGACAGATCTTTTAGCTTTGCTTAATAGTCATACTATTACAACTGTAACACCCTCAATTAAGATCGCAAGTAAATTACACCGTTGATCAGGAAAAAATTTGAAAAACAGTAAAAAAGTCACCCAATTGAATTGACAAATAGAGCGAAACAAAAAGAGAATTATTTTGAATTTTCAACGAAGTCATATATTGTATCAAAGCAAAAGCTAGCATTTTATGAGCTGGGCTGAAAAAATTGAGATTTCACTATTGTAAAATTATTTGCATGTTGATTTGAAATCAGTATTTTATAAACAACCTGATGCATTCAATCAGATTTTAAATCACTTTTGTTCACAATATGGATGTGTGATTAGGAATATTTTGATATTTTGAATGCACAACTTATTGATTCGAGGCCGGCGGATTGCGCTTCGCAATTCGTCTCTGATTATAGAAACTAACAGACTAATCGTTATTCTAAGTGATTCAAGAGTATTGCTGCACACAAACACAAATATATTTCTGTAACGTTTCGTCTGACCACCTAATTCAGCTTTACTATCAAACTTGTGCGCAATTTTAAAAATTTTATAAAAAATGCAATTGTACTGTGTGATGAAGTATTACATAACTCCAACAGTCAAAATATTTTTTTTTTTTTAAATTGAGTTGATATTCAGATATATTTATAATAGCAAGTTAAAAAATCTGAGATTGTGATCACTTTGGCCCATGCAATATTGTATTTTCAAATTTGGAATTATCTGTCGCATGATAGTGAAGAGATTATGTCTTCATTTATTGATTTACAATTTATTTTAAAACGAAAATACCTTGACGATAAAAAATAATGAACCCCGCCAAGAAGAAGAAAAGAATAATTTGAGAGATGCAAACACAAAAAGCAACAAAAGTACATACGCTAACTGCTTCCATAGTAGACGATGATTTCCACCGTCAAAATCAAAGTGTAGAAAGCTGAGACAGATAGAATAGAAGAATGAAGAGAAAGCAACAACAAAACCACAAAAATAAATAAAAACAAGTAAAAACAAAATAATTTGAACGTAAACAACATAACAACATTTAAAAGCATATTTGAAACAGTATTAAACATAAACACAGTTCATAATGATGTCAAAACAAATCACACATTCAATGTATTAGATATAGTAAATCCTTGTTAGTAACATTTTTAGAATATTTTTATTTGTCTGATTTAAGTGATTCACAACCAAAAAATTGGCCATCTTCATCTGACTAGGAATTATAGTTTTTGCAAATCACATTATAGTCCATAAAGATCTTTTCAATGTTTGGCTAGTGTCAAATAAATAATTGGTTAACTATTTCTATACCAGACATAGACTGGTAACCATATGCAAAGCTATGGTTTGCCATATAATTATTGGCAAATATAGGCTTATAGGCTTTCTCCCCCAGGATTGATAAAAATCCTATCTTAACCCTAACTATACATTTAAAAATTGTGAAAATTTGCTGATTTCGAAATTTCTGTGTTGAAAAATAAATCACAAATCCTAATCATATATTCATGGCAACTTACTTCTGTTGGCATTCACTCAAACTGTCTCCTTCACTGTCCAACAATCCATTCATGTTTGCACTTTTGACCATTTGAACAAGTATTGGGGTTAATTCACCTTCCAGAGCAAGAAGACCCTGAATAAAGTATAAAAATTCAATATTTGATGTTTCAAAATGCAAAAAAAATAAAATGTTGAAATAATAATTGAAATAATGGAGTGATATTGCCAGGCTGGAGAACGCTGGCATAATGAGTAAATGGCTTTTAACCAGAGATCTTCCATTAGTCAGAATCAGGGCTGCGTTGGAGTTGGAAGTCTGATAAAATTTTGAATGCTCTTGGAGTTTATTCTTGAGTTGAGATTCCATTCTTTAGAGTAATGCTGTAATCGAAGTCAAAGTTATCGATGAAAAACTAAAAAAAAAGTTGCAATTTGGCTGAGGATTCCCAACAGGCAATTGGAAGGACCAGATACGCCCTTATTTAATTTGTTTTGGCGGTCCAAACAAATTTTTTTTTCAGGGCAGGGAGCAGGAGTTCAAGTCAAAATTTTAGTTAACCAAGAGCCTGGAGAGTTTAGGTATAATTTTTCCCAGATTCATCAGCATTGGTCAGCATTTTAACTTATTGCCAACTCATTGCCTGTTATATCAGATCACACCACAAGATATCAATTTATTCTAAAATAGAATTGTAGAATAACATCCATACTTTGGCAAATGCTGCAGCAGTCATTTGTACTCTTCCCTCATCTGATGCGTAAATCTTTAAATCATGACGATAAGTGCTGTGTAGTCGTAGTAGTCCACAACCAGGAAACCCAGCATAATCTCCTAATAAGAGGGAGTACTTTATGTTTATGCGAATTATCCCCAATACAATTCAAAAGAGTAGGCCATTTCGCATATTGCCTATCACTGAAAACCCAGAAAGAGGAAATTCTTGCAACCTAATGACTCATTTTTGAGGGTTTTAAATATTCAAATTTCTTATGCAGCAAGTTTGAAAAACAACTTTATAATGAAAACAGTTCTGCTACTGCCTTGGCATATTAAAGGCCATGCGAATCTAGAGTCGAGTACTAAGTAGAGTCAATCACTGCGTTAAGTTTAACTATCGTTTATTTGATGACAAGTTTGAGTAATTCTATTTAGATGACTCAAGTCACTACTAGTCTTTGATAAATGGAACTCGAGTCAAGACATGAGCCTCTCCGAAACGGATAGTCATTCTGGATAAAACCTTGGTTACACTAACTTGGTAATTAAATGTGAATAACAAATATTAAACCATATAAAATCTGAACGACATATCATTATAACACAAAAAACACACTAGTGCATTGCAAAAATGATTAGAAAACCAAATATTGCAATAGACAAAGTACAGACACAAAAGTGACATGATCTGACTTCAAGCCAACATGCAATGTGTGAGATTCGTAATCACGAATGTAACTACTTACTATTATTACTTTTATTCAAAATTGATTATATGCAGGGTTCAAGGGAATCACAGATAATTATACTGTGTGAATAATCACAGGCATGGTATTTCATTTAATAAAACATCATTTTAGCTTAATAAGCTTCATAGAAGATTAAATGAGGTGCGAATCACTTCTCAAATCACGATACAGTAAACAGTGAATTTCTGAATTTGTTTATAATTAAAGTGATTCAGATTTGACAAAGTCAAGATTATTTTGAATTGTAAATTTGTAATTTATATTGATTTATTCACACACACACAGTACATTAATTACGAGCAGAATAATGACGAATTACCAGTATTGACTGTTATATTATTTTTATAAATGTTCTTGCCTTTACTTCAAAAACGGCACTGTGGAAGCAGAAACTAGTATGCAATGAGACACTGATTTTAAAAGGACTGTAAGTTTTTCAGTTCAGCATTAACTATCCAATATATAGGGTGTCCATAAAGTCTTAAAATTCTTTAAAATTGCAAAGGGAATTTATCGATACCATATATTGTTTAGGCCCTCACAGATGTATTAAATGAAGTAAAAATACTTCAACAATCACTGATTAAAAAACAACAAACCTGGTTAAGATATATTAAGAACTGACTTCATAACAAAATTGAAACTGTAAAGGGACTTTATGGACACCTTGTATTACATTCTGGATGAGGTTTACAATTGATGTGAGGTGAATCAAACTTCGAAGGTGTTTATTCCATGTAGAAGGATTATATGATTAAAAATTGTTTGGATCCAAACTACTATGACAGTAGGGAGCTGAAGATTTCCAATATTTACAGAGATTTCTATTCTTATGTTTCTGTAGTGTATGAAGTCACATTTAAATATGGTGGTCTGATATGATTTTTCAAATGATTCAAGTGATTTTTTAGCAGCAAATTATATAAAATTGCATAATTCAGCAGAAATTATAAATAGGCCAAAATAATACCTGAACGATTTCGAACATATCTGACTAAAGTAAAAAAAAAATCAAAAATTATGATAAAACAAAGAAGATGAGAAGTATCAGGATTGACCACCGGCATAATAATATATAGCTCGGTGTTTTCACCAGAATTCTAAAAAAAATTTAAAATAAAAAGGTTTGCTCCGCTCCAAGCTTTTCAGAAGAACTAGAAAATGAGAAATATCAGGAAGTCCAGAGAATTCAAAGAGTGTCTAAGAAGAAAACTGATGGATAAAAACAAAATGAAAGATTCTACAACATAAAAAAACTAACTGATCACTCATCTAACTTTAGAAAAAGCCCACTAGAATTTTTATATCATCAAAAATGCATTTCAAACAAATTTGTACTGATTCCAAGCACTTGTGATAGCAGCTACTTTTCCCTATATCTATTCTGAACTTATTAACTAACTTTCATTTAAAGAATGTAAAGCAGGGCTCTTCAAACTTGGGGGCCTGACTCCCCGGTAGGTTGTGAAAAGGCATAATGAGTGTCACGATACAATCTTTTTCGACACTAATTTATGTTAAAACAAAAATTCGATCAAAGGTGAATGATTTGGAACCAGTACTGAGACTCACCATCACTGGAACAGAGCCAAGATTCGATCCTTTGTGCAAGAATACGAGAGCATAATGTTTCCATTAATGGTATTGTCAAATTGATTATTATTTTTTAATATTTTCTGTCTTATTAAATTTATTTTAATTTTATTTTAGTTCCTGAAGATCCCTAAAAATATTCTGTTTTTTTCTGTTGTTGTTCATAATACGATTGTGAAAAATTGCTTTTCCCCGCAACTAATCAGCCAAGCAATTTTTAAATTTTCAGTACTTGGGAATTAGATAAAGTGGCTGGAAGGGGATTACTTTTGAGTTTATTTTTTAAACTGCTTCGAGTCCCAATGGGCCTGATATTTCAAACTGACATTTTGCTGACGTTATTGGCGCTATATTGAACGTTTGACTCTTGTGTTTACATATTTGAGCATTGCTCTACAAACTATTAATGCTAGCTTTGTATACATCAAGTAGAACTAAGGCTACAATTTATATTCACATCAATCTCCTTATTATAACAGGATTATAGACAGTGTGACAATAAATACATTTGTATACGTATCCTGATTGCATAAGAAATGCATGCCTGCTTGCAGTTTGCACATGCCGATCAAATAATCATTTTGTACAAATTTGTCAAACGAAAGAGCATGGATGCATGTTTACCAATTGCATATGCATCCCCAAACTCCATTTGCAAAATTTACCTGTAAAGTGACCTTCGACTAAAGAAGAAAAGATAGAAGCAACATTTGTTCATGAATGCTGAAGAAGATTGAGAGCCATATGAAAAAAATAAAACACTCTAAAACTTTTCGAAAACATTGTCGATGTTTCATTTAATATGGATGAATTCAAAATATCAAAATAATAAGCGTCATAGGTCAGGGATGGCAAACCCTTCCTACTGAATGTGACACATATTTTAATTATTGTTAAAAAGAAAAGTGTGGGTAACTAAAAGATTTCATCAATGAGAAACTTGCTTTTGAATTTTGAGCAAATTATTTCAGAAAAAAGGTAACACTGCTATAATAAATTACCAAGTGATACAGGGGGCAGTCAGAACTTCTAGAGAGAAAATAACTTTTGTGCAAAGCATCATTACTGAGTGTTCAAGGTACACAAAACACAAGTTCAAGTGTTAAATAATTTTATTTTTGTAGATAGGAAATAAATGGGTTCTGTTTTCGGCCCACTCTGTAAATTGAATTAGCGCCGGCATTATTACAACATACGATTATACATCTTTTTTGCAATAAATTCCAACTTGACGAATCGCTGAAAAAACATGACAAGTCACTTTGGTTTGCCATCCCTGTTGCGAGTGATCATTGCTAACTTTATAATCAAATACAACAATACAAAAACCAGCGAAAATCAATCGCCAGCTTCTTTATCACACAAATCTACAACACAAAAACAAATTCAATATTCAACAACACTCAATCCGCTGTCAATAGACAATCATGTATCAATGATAATCATCAATTTATGGAAATAAAAATAGAAATTAAAAAATTAATTTCTAATATACCTTTTCCTCCAGGATACATGCAACGAAACGCTCGTCCGAGATCTTCGGCTTGTGCTCGACCAGCCGGTGTCAATTCTCCTCCCCATTTCAAAATAAGTAGAAGAGTGGGATTTCGTCGAACTGTTTTTTGCTCTGATAGATAGTTAAAGCATTAAATTTTGTACATTACAGAGTATCTGTTAGAAGTTTTAAGAAAATATATTAGATGTGTAAAGTAGGAAAAAATAAAAGCAATTTTTATGAAGTGTTTTAACACCTTTGGGTAATTAATAATAATTCCAGAGTATTAGTATCCAAACATATTTATTTACCGGATTCAGTTTTAGCCATCGCACAATAATTTTGATATTTCTATTACACAATTCATTGATTGGTGACTAGCTAGGCCATATTCCATATTTAAGTTTTTTTTTAAACTGACTTCTGGTGAAAAATAACCGTAAAATTCAACCTAGACAAAGAATAGGCTTAAGATTCAAGAGAAAGATTCAAGTTATTGAATCAAGTTATTGAAACACAAGAACTTACGATCACTGTCATCAGAACTTGATGTTATATTTTTACTTCCTGATACTTGCTTGAATTGAACTTTTCTGTTAATACCAGAGAAGTGTCCATACCTAAACAACAAATAACACTAATTTCAATTGGTGGAGCATGATATTGGATGATCTAAGATTTATATGATAAGCAGCCAATCTCTACTAATATGTAATGATTATTTTTGAGACAAATATTGAAATAAAAATAGTTGTGTACAGGGCTGTGAAATATACTCAGACTTCCAACAGAAGTTGGTAAAAATATTAACACAAACTCGGGAGTTGAGAAAAAATGGAAATCCAGGTTCATGAATATTTTGACTCCCAATTTCTAGCGCAAGATAAATAATTTTCTGATAATAAAACTATTGATGGATGACACTTTCCATGGCGTCACAGGCATCACATAAGTGATATTTTTTGTGTGATGTGTGAAAACCGAAGATCTAGAACAGTGGTTCTTAAACTGGGGGGCGCGCCCCCCTAGGAGAAGATTTTAGGGGGGGGCGCGAAAGATTTCAAGAAACCACACTTGAGACTTTATTTTGCTTAGCCAATTTAATATTTTGAAATTTCATTTAACTCGTCGTCTTGTTGCTTTATAATTTTGTGTCGTAAAATGATGCAAAATGACCCTTTTCTTTCACTACTCACTACCAGACTACGCGTGGCAAAATACGATAAGCATGCGTGAATATGCGTTGAAATTGATTACTGTGTTAACGGTTCTGCGAGCATTGATTTCCTTGCTTAGTGTCGTAACAATGACCAATCAGCATTAAGTCAACAATGACGGTACAATAGAAGTCGGTCAGACAGATGTTCGATGCATGGCTGTTAACGTTTTGTCGTTTTCGTGGTTTTGTGTATTAGCCTATTTGACAGCTTTCAGTTGTGCCTCCAAAAATAGCTGTATATCGAATACCTTAATTTTCATCATATTTTTCGATGAGCTGTAGATTAGTTGCAATAAGTAATAAAACTTGATACCGCAAACTCTGTGATGACCTAACTTATGCCATAAGTATCTGTAAGCGGCACACGGTATTTAGTTTTGGATAAAATTGACAGTTTTGACCATTTGATGTATATCTTTTCTTTGGGCTGAAAACGTACATATATTTAATTGCACTTTTCCATTTTGTAAACTGTATTGTTTGTAATCTCATCAGGTAGATTGGCTTTGAATATTTGAGAAGTTGAGCAAGCCATGAAGTCTGCAATCGTTGTGTATTGTCAGAAACAGTAGATTGACTTTTGAATATAGCTCAGTAGTGATGTTATGAAGTAGTTTAACAATTGAGTGAGTTTTTACGTAATCATTTATTGCATTTAGTTTAGATTTAGTTGAAATTTAGTTGTATTGCAAAATGAGCGGGAAAAAGAGAAAGTATGATGAAGATTATCTTAGGTATGGCTTCATATATACCACAGTGAAGGGCGAGGTTGTACCGCAATGCATTTTGTGCTTTGAAAATCTCAGCAATGACGCTATGAGGCCAACTCGCTTACAGCGACATCTTAAAACAAAGCACCCTGCAAATCAGGAAAAACCTTTAGCTTTTTTTCAAAGCAAAAAGAATTCATTTAAAAAAATGAGGACTTGTAGCATAAATTCATTTTGTCAGTCGCCTTCTGCAGATGTAGTAGAAGCTTCTTTTGAAATTGCTCATATGATTGCGAAGCAGAAAAAACCGCACAGTATAGGGGAGACATTGATAAAACCGAGTATTTTAAAAGCTGCTAGTCTTGTTTTGGGAGAGGCGAGCAGTAAGAAACTTGCAAAGATTTCTCTTTCGGATTCTACAATTAAAACAAGAATTGATGAGATTGCACACAACATTGAACTTCAGGTTATCGAAAAAATAAAGCTGTCGCCATTTTTCGCCATACAATGTGACGAAACTACTGATGTTGCCAACTTGTGTCAGTTGTTGGTATATGTCCGTTTTGTAGGATCAAGTTCAATTGAAGAAGACATGCTTCTTTGCAAACCTCTCGAGACGACCTCTAAAGCTGAAGATGTATTCAAACTTGTTGCTGAATTTTTTGAAAATAATGAATTGAAATGGGATAAACTTGTAGGTGTCTGCACTGACGGTGCGCCGGCTATGATAGGATCTCGTAGTGGATTTATTGCCAGAATAAAACAAAAAAATTCCGACGTTATTGGATCGCACTGTGTCATCCATCGAGAGGCTTTGGCTTCTAAGACTCTCTCTACTTCGATGAAAGATAAGCTTGCGATAATAATACGAACCGTCAACTACATTAAAACTAGTGCCGTCAATACACGAATGTTTGCCAAATTCTGTAAAGATATGGATTGTAATTACGAGAATCTGCTTTTCCATACAAATGTTCGGTGGCTATCGAAAGGAAACATGTTAGCACGTGTGTATGAGATGAGGAATGAGCTTACGCTATTTCTGGAAGCTCAGGAAAAATACGATCTTCTCCTTTATTTCAAATCAGATGAATTTGTGCTGGTCATGGCCTACCTTGTGGACATTTTTGAATCTCTGAATAAATTAAATCTACTATTACAAGGCAGAGAAACTAATCGAATAACTGACTACGGTTTCATTCGTGCTTACATAGCGAAGCTTGAATTATGGTATCGTCGAGCTCAACAAGGAAACGCGGCCTCATTCCCCAATCTCGATACTGCTCTTGACGAAAAACAAATCAAGCTTGATGGTGATTTCAAGAGCGATATTGTGTCCCACCTACGTCTTTTAAAAGAAGAATTTGAATGCTATTTTCCAGATTTGAATGACACAGAACTTCCAGAATGGAAACTTACAAGAGATCCATTTCGTGTCGATGAAGACATTCTTCCAAGCAACTTGCAAGAAGAATTTTTGGATATGAAATTTGATTCATCTGCAAAAGACGACTTTGAAGCCATGCCGCTAACCGACTTCTGGGCAAAATATGTACGCATATATAAGAGAGTAGGTAGCGTAGCAATACGCACTCTGCTTCCGTTTTCATCTACCTACCTTTGTGAAAGCGGGTTTTCTACTCTGGTGAATATAAAGACAAAACAACGGAATAAACTTCAATGTGAATCAGATATGAGATGTGCGTTATCTGCTACAGTTCCTCGAATTAAATTACTTGTTTCGCAAAAACAGATTCACCCCTCTCATTGACGTTATTTGTGAATAAAATCTTGTTTCGTTGAATGCATGTTTGTGCCTCAATTTAGGAGGGGGGGGGGGGGGCGCGAAATCTGTACGATTTTTCAAAGGGGGGCGCGGCTCAAAAAGTTTAAGAACCACTGATCTAGAATTTTTGTTAAGATCTTGCACGAAGGCAAATGTAATTCCCTAACACAACAATACAAGAGTGAAGCTTGTATGAAATTTAGAAGTGATAAATTGTACCCGATGTAATATTAAAATGTCACACAACTGGAAAAATACGATACTTCACTATAGCCAGGCAGTACGCAGTGGCCAGGAAGCCAAGAAACTGTTAGGAACGCTTGGTAAACTTGATTATTTTTTGACTTTCTGTAGAAAGTGATTAAAAGTCTGAAATCCTGACTCGAAATTCCAGAAAATATATGATTTGACTCAAATAGAACATGCCAAACCCTACGACCCTGTGTTTATCTGGTGGAATGACTTATCTCATCACAGTACTCTATCTCATCTTACTATCGAAATTTCACTACATAGTTTTTCATTGTAATTCCACGAAGTGGAAAGCAAATTTTGAAGGTCAGGACATGTGTTTAAAAATATTACTTTACTGTGATAGTCAACAGAGCAGAAACTATGTTTAGGTACAATTTGAGGTACTCCCGAAGTATGTGAACCATGATGACGGACCCTGGAACGTAGTATGTGTACCAGGTTAGGGTTGGGCCATAATTTTATTCCAATTTTCCTTATTTCAGTTCTATTACGAGTTTGGGGACTGGCCAAGTGACTCCCGTAGTATTTGTACCTAAAATTATGGCCTAACCCTAACCTGGTACACATACTATGTTCCGGTGTCTGCCATTTTGGTTTAAATACTTCGGGATTACCCAATATGACATACATTGTTTTTACTGTATTCAACTTAAAGTCAAGTTAAAATCATGCATCTGAAATGAACAGCTGATAAACTATTTCCATACCCGACATGGACTGGCAACCAGATGAAAGGCTGTGACTCGATCATTAACCGACCTTATCGGCTTTGACTGATAAAGAATGACGTTCAGATGAATTCAAGTCGAGATTTTGTCAGAAAATCAGATGCTTTGTAGATTTGAATTTTCGGGATATTATATACTACAGAATAAATAAGAAACCTTTTCATAGATTAATTATCAATAGCACAGGAATATTGATACAATCTAATAATAGTGTGATGTAACAAGCAGAAAAGGAACAACCACTTACATTTCCAATACTGTTTTAAGTTGTTCCAATTTTTGACGTTTTTCACAGAGAATTGCACTTGGTTCTGATAATAAATATCTGGCAACATCCAATACTTCTTGTAATTGTTTCGGTCGTTTCAGTTTCAAACAGCCAGATTGATGACCATTGTATTTTCGAAAAAGATCCCAAAATCTGAAATAAATGGTTCAGCGTAATTATATTTTAACAGATTGCAAAATACTAAAAAATTTGGAATTCATTCTCTTGGAAAATGAGATCAATGAAGAAATGTACCGAATGTAAAATGAAGGTGTGCTTGTAAATTTAAAAACCAGCCAAAATCGGGCTTCGTAGAAATCAGAAAACTCAGAGTAAAAAATCTGAGTAAAAATAAGCAAGCTTTCAAGCACATTTTCCAATTTCCAAATACTGATAATTTGAGAGTCTGAGACTCACGATTTATTAGGTATGAGAAAGCAACGAGAAAAGCACTAACGGCAATTGGGCAAAATAAATCGTAGGCACATTTTAGGTTCAATAATGCACTAATTAAGGGGAATATCCCCAGTACAAAATTTTACAAAAACAAAAATGAAATTTTGTCTTAAGAATACACCATTGATCACTCTTGGCTTAGTAATGTATATATTCGAAAATTTTACATACAATTTTTGACATACATAAAGTGCATCAGGCTATAAGACGCAACTGTTTTTAAAGCAATATCGCACTGGTTTTGAGTGCAGGCAATGAAGCATAAAGCACTAACTGATCCATTCATTGGGTGTACCAACTTATGGAGACGCCCGATCAAATTTTGAAAAAAAAAGTGGTTCAAAGAGTGTGTTATGGTCTATAGAATATGGTAGGTTATTGAATATGATTAGCAGCAAAAACCTAATATAAACAATTCAACTCAATTCCTAACTTTATGACAAGGTAGGCACAATTACTTTTTTACTGTTTTCATTTAAACCAAATTCTATGAAGATATCAACATTAGACTTCTATCATTATTTTTCACTTCCTAGGCAATGCATGTAATAAATATAATAGATAAAAAATTGATATATTCTATTTTCTAAAACTTTACTTGTGGTGTTGTACTTCCATTTTCAATTTCTGTTTTGGTGTCCGATCTCCGTGACGAATAACTGCTATCACACATCGAAGTTCCATCCTGAATTTTTCAAATAAGTATAAAATAGTTACCAATATCTTACTAAAACACCTATTTGTATTGTCATCTTAAATTTCTGAGATAGACTGTGAAGTATCCTTATAAGAATGTTTTCGTACTAATCAATTTGAAGGCAAAAACATATTACTTGTAGTAAGTTGTAGTAATAGATTGTGTGGGATATGCCAAACAAGATAATTACATTACACATGAGGATGTTCATATGAGACTAGTTAGGATTTCAAAATTTTGAAAACATCCTCGTTTATGCGGATGTTTATTAAGATTTAGGACTAGAATACAAAGAATGATTATATATGGATAAAATATTATTTTATTTTTCCAAAAATTTGTTCCAGAAAAATTAGTATTTTTATATTGTTTGAACCTAAGCAAGAAAACCAAACAATATTCGAATTGGATGACTCACATGGTTCCAGAAGTAGTTGGTACAATAGGTATATCGTCATCAGTAGGAATTGACCAAGGAATATGAAATTGAGGAGCAAGATTTCTGATGATAATATTTCTAGAAAAAGTGAAGATATCAGTTGAAATATTCACATTAATAATACAATGGATAATTTACTAATATAGTAATATATTCATCCTGAATCTGAATGAAGTTTCAAACCGCATAACAAGATTGCCAATATGTTATCATCTGTAAAGAATCCCATTACTGCAGAGCTAGTCTTCAAACTGGCACCCGAAAAAGCTCAATGGGGCACACGGTAAAATATTTTTTGATTCCAACTTATGTTAAAACAAAATATCAATCAAATTTGATAAGTTGCTAGGAATAGGTCTTATATATATGAATATATACATATATTGATCCTTGCACATGAAATCATGCAAGGTAGAAAGTATTCGATACTCAGACAAGATACAACCAAAAAATGTCATTTAATCATTGCAAAAGAACATTCAAATCTGACCAGTGATTGATATCACTTGATAGGGGTTAAATTACATTAGATCATAAACATATAAAGATTAATTACTACTTAGTGAAGGTGTCATAAAGTAATAAAATTTAAGGCACAATCATTATCACTGAAATGCTGCAATGAATTCCTGCTAATATAATTCATGAATGCAAATGAAACGGTGTGAAAAGTTTTCTGGCAGGTAATAATAACTATTCACAAACCATAAAATTTTCAGACATTGTCTCACTTTTTTCTTTTGTTACAAATACAATGGATGTATTTGTATGTAAGGAGTTACTATTCTATGGAAAGACAAAATCTTTCCGGCTCAGCATTGTCTACCCATTTTATTATGTCCTGGGAGAGGTGTCGGGCATGGAGATGATAGCAGTGGCGTATCCACATAAAATGGCACCTGTGGCAAAGTTTATTTATTCGCCCCCTCGATCGGTGGTTGACAATTTTTTCAATCGTTACTGTTGACATGAGATCCTTATTTATTATTTAATGAAAAATACTAGTATTATTCATTTTGAATTTTAAATTAGTTTAATAAAACTTTTTGATGGTTAAAACTTTTCGCTATTTTTGTGTCCCTATTCAAACGGTGCCCGTGGTGCGAGTCATGGCTGCCATACCCTGGATACGCCACTGGATGATAGCACCATGAAATATAGTTATCCAACAAAATACATACGCACGAATGTTTAAAATGAATCGAATATTTGAATCAATTTATCATCGCATTCAATTCTTAATTTTTAAATGATTCAGAATAGTTTCACTTGAAAAGAGTCTTACAACATGGCCCAAAAATGCATTTAATTTGATTAAATTATAAAATATAGAGAACAGATTAAATTGCTCTTTATCTTTCATGTATTTCTAACTCCTACTCATTGGATATACATGGACTCCTACATGTTCACAGTTAAAAAAAAACTTAAGTTAAAAAAATATTTAATATTCCAAAGATGTTAAATTTGAATGCATCCTGAATAGTGGAATATTCACTTGGTTTTGTAAGAGCCCATAACGACAAACCACTGATTCTTCGGTGATAATAAAACAAAAATTATATAGACAGTTTGAACTTACCCTAAAACTTTAGCACAATCATCATAATATTTCTTTGAATTTTTAACAAAGCTGAATCCGTTTACATCGCAAACATAAGACTTTCCATGTGCTCGTAAAAAATCAAATCCACAGACAGTTTGCTGCAAAAAAGAAGTGATTTCTTTATATGCAAAATTCAGAACACCAAGAATGTGTTCTTAGAGATGATATTGTGATTTGTGACAATACCCTATACTTTAAAAAATGAATTCAAATAATAAACTTGTTTTAAATTCTAAGCTAATAACAAGCAATCCATTATTAAAGAATATTATGAAGGGTAGTATTTTATATTGTCATTATGTGAACTAGTTATAAAATCAGTGGCTAATTGTACAGAGCTGCATAGCTGGAAAAAATTTACTCTCGACTCCGAATCCAAACTGCGAGACAATACAAAATGACTGGCTCAGACTGACTTTTGAGTCTGGCTTACAACTCAGATTTGAGGATAAATAAAGATTTTGATAACAGAACTTTGACGTAAGCACACCATGAGGCCCACTCCAGCACCGCAGAGTAAGAAAATACGACTCCAGCTATGGATCCAATTAGGCGCGCAGCCAGAATTTTTAAAAGGGGGGGGTTTCAAAATCGGAAATTACTAGTGCCGTCTGTAACTGTCACCGCGATCACGCGCTCGTTAATAGAGCCGCCTTTTCAGCTTCTATCGCGTAAAATATTCAATTCATGACAACTACGAGATTCTAAAATGTCCTTACGTATATATTAATTTTATTGTCCCCAACGCAACTCGCGGTCTCGACTTTCTATGTCAAAATAAAAACATTACTGCCGTGGACATAAAACAATGAGATAAGCTGCCTGATATATTTAATTTTGATACGTATTTTTGCAATCTTGTGACCTCGTTATCGCCGTTAGTAAAATCTCGATATCTGATATAAAATCATGTTTAGTACAATTTCACTTCATACAATGAAAATAGATATAAAGTATACCAGTAAATCAAAAATACAAATTCAGTCAAATTTAGATCGCTGGTTTACACCTTCATTTGTCTTTAGAACCTCGCCGCCGATGAACGTATAATACCTCTCAAGTACAAAAATAAAATAATCATCATGTTTATCGTGGCACAAATTTGTGATTTAGAGAGAATAAATACCGACGTAAAGGCGTTTACGGCCTAAATAACACACTGATGAAAACAATCGGCGATTTTAGCAGAAGGCAATTGCACGCTTTTTCAGTTTTCACAATTCCGTGCGAGTACAAAAATAAAATAATTATCATTGTTCCCGTGGCACAAATTTGTGATTCAGAGAGAATAAATATCAACGAGAAGGCGTTTGCGGCCTAAATAATACGCCGCCTTAATGAAAACATAGGGCGATTTTAGCAGAAAGCAATTGCACGCGTTTTCAGCGACCTTTTCTGTTTTCAAAAAAAATCAAAAGGGGGGGGTTTCGACCCCGAAAACCCCCCCCTGGCTGCGCCACTGGATCCAATGTCAATAGAAAATTGCCAAAATTTTTGACTCCAAACCCCAAAAATAAGAACACTAACCTTGAATGCAAGACAGACTTTTCTTGCAATAAGTTTTTCTTTTGCTGATAATATAACAGGAAATCGAACTTCTTTACCATCCCTATCTCTTTCTACTTTACCATCTAAAGCAGGTGATTTTCTTGCCTCGGCATGAGCGTATTCTGGACCTACCGTGTACACCTGTGAAAAAGACGAAATCATATTAGTCTATGTCAGTGGTTTCCAACTATTTTGGTGGAACAAAACCCCAAGGGACATTTCCAGAGGCTAAATAAACCACTGTGCAATAGCTGAGCTGTCTTTCATTGTCTGAATTGTATAAACTATTAATATATATAGAATCAAACTTACCGTAATACTGACAAAATAAAATTATCTTTGAGGTGTAGCAAGTTCAATATTAGTGGCTAACCTAATAGGCATTTGGTTATATAAACTTTTGGATTCGAATGGAAACTTGCGGAACCCCTAGAAGGCATTGGTGAAACACTGGTGTGTCGCGGAATCCCAGTTGAAAATCACTCACCCATGTTGTTAGAATAAGATGAAATGAGTGAAATATTTATTGTGTGTGTGAAGTTGGTCTGAATCACGGTTCGTGTCGAATAATAGGTCAGTCTAGAGTCGACTAAATCAGCGAGTTAAATCTCATTGATGGTTGATAACGAGTTTAAACCACTCAAGTAACTCCGACTCTTAGATAAATGGTATCTCGAGTTCAACTTAAGTCGAGTCAATGACTCGAGTAGGGATGGGCATTTTAAAATATCTGATGATTTCAGCATTGAATCGAATATTTTTTATGATAATATCGAATCGATAATTTCAAATATCGAATACTTGGAAAATATTCAATTGTATGCGGCTTTCATTGTGATGGGTCCACCTGGCGCATAAATTACTGGAAACATAGAATCCAGACAGTTTGCTGAGCGTTCATACACAATAAGAATCATGTTTGATCCATAACTCATTATGAAGAAAAAAGCCATATGTTAGAATTTTATTTTGAAAATATGGCTTCAATAAAAAAAAAATGAGGAATTCCACTCGAAACCTTTTGCAGACAAATAAAAACAAGATGCCGGTGATTCAAAATTTTTGTCTGTACCAGTTCAAATATTTCACTATTCAACTTGAAATGTCCAGCCCTAGACTAGAGTTTCTCCTATCCTAGTAATATAGTACTACCTTCACATCTGTTCCATCAGTTGGCATAAAATCTTCGTAAATGAACGATCCTTTCTTACGAATTGAACTTTGAGCAGAATATTGACTGCTACGATTTCCAATCTAAAAATGAAAAACAGCAAAGTCTACCAAACTATGATACACAAATGATGGGAGTTTGAATATTTTTATTCTCCAAATCAGGAGTGTTCAACATTTTTTGTCAGAGGGCCATTTAACCAACTTCAAACATCTAGATCGGCCACACAAAAAATTTAGCGAGAAAGGCAAGAGAAGAAAATACGACGATTGCTTAGCTTTATAGTATTAAACAAACCTGACAAAACAGTGGAGGATTGAACGCAGCAACAAGGGCAAAAAAACATTATGTATTTTTATCCATACCTTTTCAGACATAAACTGTTGGATTAAGATTTTAAGCTTGATGGGGAAAAATTTGAGTGTTGACAAGGGCCACAATAAATGGCCTGGTGAGCAAAACAATTGAATTTTTAGCAATTTATTGTAAAATCATGGCCTACAAAATCTATAGGCAGGCCTAAAGTCCATTTATTCAGTCGAGGAGTATAAAAAAATTATTATGTTCCAAATTGCTAGATCTGACTGAAAAAGCACCATTTGTATTTTGGCAATTGAAATTAGAATAGATGTTAACAGTGAGTACTAGGAAAATTCAAATTCGATTTAACCCACAATTCCAGATTGAGCATATAACGAGCCAATGCTAAGCTTAGGTTAATATAATTTTCTTCCATGAAATAGCAAGTATATTTGACTATAGCGATAACAGTCTGTGATTAGTTGTCATACATGTGATGGGATCGTACGGCATGTTACGATTTGTAGCGTCGGCTTATATTCGAATTTTTATAAGTTCACAATTTTAGGGCCGTTTTTAGGGGGTCGGATTATATGTGATGCGATATACACATCAGGTTTTAATTAGTTAATAACAATGAAAGCACAGCAGAATAGCAAAGAAGCATCCAAAATATTAGTAAAATTAAAAGCATGCTAAAACACTAGTACAAAGCTACCGGAACCTTTCTGAATAACTTCTGACATCCACCACCAGCAGAAGATGGATAATAGATATGTATATTATGATCTTCTGCATCCACTGGTTTTTCAACAAATGGTTTGTGAAATGTTTCATTTCCAACTACAATGTGGTCTTCATATTCTTCAAAATTACATTCTGCTAGAAAGCAATAAAAGCATTGTTTTTTTGTATAAAATGCTTTTTATATGCCTTTTGCTCTAAACATGGGTCTGTACAAGATTCCGCTTCAAGATAGAGAGTTACTTTATTTTTGAAATGACGTGAATCTTTCCACAATTTTGCCTACCCAATTCACTACACCAGAGTTTCCCAAACTTTATGGCTTGTGGCCCCCTTCCGGAAGCTTTTGCCACTCATGCCCCCCTGTTTATCATTTCAATGGTATTTGTAGTATTACTTTGATTGATAGATTTCAAATCCCATTATGTTCGAACAATTCATGCTCAACAACGTGAAAACACTCTGTGGAATAACCTTATCAAGCAATGAAACTAGGAAGAATGTGAAGTTTTCTCGTAAAGTGAAAAGTAAAATCAGTTTTGTGCCCCCTCCAACTGTCATGTTCCTCTCAGATCAAGATAGAAGACTATAATTTCACCCAATACATCAGTTCATCTAATAATCAAATCTTTCAAAGCTAGTCATAATGGAGAGCCGAAATAGATGACACAGCGATATTGTTTTGTGCTTAGTCAATAATCTTATTTGAAAAGAAAGGCACAAAATAAAACACAAAGACATATCTAGTCTTGCATGATCAGAAAATTTTGATAAACAAGAAAAGAGCAGCTTAAGAAATAATAAAAACAAGCTTGCATGAATGGAAACATGTTTTTCTCCTCCCAGAACTGTAATTTAACTACAGCCTACCTTCTTCTCCGTCTCTATTGCAAACTGCATTTCGTGGCATTTCTATTCCATGTTCTTTTAAAATTCTATAAACTTCTCTTCTGTCTTGTATGAAAAATTGAGTTTCCAAATCATTGATTAAAAATGCCTTTGTTAAGTTCGAATATTCCACAGCTTTTGAAAGCGGAAAACCTGAAAACGTAAAATTGATGCTAAAACTAAAAAAAAATTTAGACAGATGACTAGAAATGTATTTCAAATTTTTTGAATAGGTTTCGAAGTGCAAGGGGTTACATTTGACACTCAACCGCGAAGTTTAAATGCACATTTTAGTGGTCGTCCATAACTTCATAGTTTAAATTCTTAGTCTCTGAGTGAGTGTGACCCAACTTTAAGCAAAAAAAAAATACCAATTCTCATGAAATATATTCTTCACATTGAAGATATAGACCACATTAAATAAATGAAGAACATACCAGTTGAATGAAACGAGATGAATGCTTCTGACCCAACTTTGAGCAAAAAAAAATACCAATTCTAATCAAATAAATTCTGTACATTGGAGATACAGACCATATTAAAGAAATGATGAACATACCAGTTGAATGAAACGAGATCAGGCAATCACATGACGGCCAATCTTCAACGTTACGGTTCAAAATTACATCTTGTGGAAAAACTTCTAAAGTTAAATATTCAAACATTGCAAGTCTGTTTAGAATTTCTTTCATGGGCTTTGAACTGACTTTCTTGTCCATTGCACAGATTCCAACAACGATCTTCTTTCTTTCTTCCTATGATAAAGAAGACTAAATGAAATGACACAAACATTGATTGTGACAAAAAAAACTTTCGACTATCTCCTTTATAATTGAGGTATTGAGATTCATCATTACATTACAAAAACTCTAATTGTATCGTCCAACTTTTGTAGCATCTGAAACCAATAACTGACCAACTAATTCCATAACCAATTGGACTGGTAACCGGACTAGAGGCCGTGGTTCGCCATGTCATTAGGTCGTATTATCAACTTTCCTTACCCCTGGGATAAAATGTGAACCTTATCCTATAAAATAAAACCAGTAAAGTATAGCAATTATAAGTACTATCTCGTTAGTACCCAATTATACTCTAAATAAAGATTACCATTAAACAAGATAGAAGCAATTTCGTTGCCATGATTTCAAAAACAACTGTCTGCATCTGCAGCAAAGTAATTATAATGTAAATACCATAACAAAATCATCCTCGCTGAAAGAATTCCGATAAAAAAGTTCATAAGATTGTCTGGTGCCCTGGGGCATTCCTTCGCTTTTACTGTTGTTTGGTGAGCTGTCTTCCGTTCCAATAAAGAACTTTGCATGATGCCCGTTCTCTGTTTCATCCTCCATATTCAAATGTTAGAAATTGGTGCCTTATTGCTTGACAACACTGATTTGCATTTGATTTGATATCAAAACCAGGGATTATTTCAAAAGTTAATTTAGAGATTTAACGGGCGTAAACTTTTTACTATCTGTAGTGCAGTATGGTAACAAAGAAAAGGTTTTAGCATCTCATCCAAATGCAGAATTGGGAGAATAAAGGATCAGTCATCAGGATATTCATATTTATAGGTAAAGACTGAATGTCACCTGCCTGCCTGCTGCTATTTCTGCTTGCTTGTTTCTGGGATACTATATTCAGATATTACTATTATAGGGAATCTCTTCCTACATGTTTCACAACAAGATGGCTTCTTCCTAGTTTGAGTATGCCTTTTAAAATTACACACTCTTGGAAAGGTTTCCCAATACGTTTCATAAGAATACGGCTTCTCCCCAATATGAGTTTGTGTATGTCTTTTCAAATTACATGCTCTTAACTTCAGTGAGAAGTGTAACGACAGGACGTTTGATAGATCTAAGATGGTGCTGAAGTTGGCAAATGGATTAGCAGCGCAAACAAAAAGCAAAATTTGGGATTGGCTTACGAAAGAGCAATTGAAATACTAGAATGTATGTATGTTTAATCATCTTGTAAACGTAAAAAATACAAACAAGCTGACAATTATCATTAGAGATTGAAACATAAGACCACAAACTGATACTCAATACTGACAAGTGACAAACAACAGAAGTTGTAACCAAACATTGACATGGTATAGCCTATAGGTAATGGACGAGTCAAATGGAATTTGAACAATATGAACAACTTATACATTCAGACATTGCTACTGGTATGGGTTGGGAATCTGTCATTCAATTCACTGCTACTGTTTGCATGACACAAGCTTCTCGAATTTCCATCCTGTGTTTTTCTTTTGTGTTGTCGATATTTTGTACCATGTCTGCAGGACAGGATAATGCACTAATAACAGAATAATGTAATATCTGAATATTGCTGTATTGACTAGACTAGACTCAATCAGATTTGTGATCCATCTGCCAGTCTGTTTGTGATTCACTGGTTCAAGTGGTTGATACATTTACAGATTTAAAGCTTTTTTCGGTCTACAGGTCTGTGCGTTGTGGTATTTTACCGCAAACAGACAAAGTACGGTACCGTAATACAGTAATAATGCAATGCGGCATCCTCTATTTCCCGATCTCGGTATTTGCAAACGGTTACGGTACCGGTAGAGCCTGACGGCGGTACTACCGGTATACTGTCAATCAAACAACCCTGTGCGTACCGGTATCATATTATGTATTTATGTATCACTAGGATCAGAAAAGGGCGTCGATATGGCTAGCGGAAGCGCAGCCGGACTTTCGATAAAGTGTGGAAAGATGAGAGAAAGCATCACGGGCGACCTCAAGTTTTTAGCAAGTATATAAGGATAGTTACTGTGTATCTCCATACTTTTAACCACTTGTTGTTAATAGTGCATGTTATTGGACACGTTAGTGTACATAACGATTGTTTCAATATTATGTTGTTGTTCTTGTTAGTATTCTTCTCTTTCGTCATGGTGAAATCGCCTTTCTCTTCGAATACTGGACATATTGCTTTGAAATTTTCAGTGGTTGAAGATTGATTTTTTTGCCAGAAGGCTATCACTTTTAATTATTTCAAAAATTTATGTGAACTTTCTGTGGAGATTCTTTTTTTATTTGTCAGAATAAAAAATAGCGACACTTTGTGACGTGTCCATATATTTGAGCACAGCTCTCTTGTTTTCATGAAACAAAGTCATTGCCCGAATTTTATGATCATTTCCTTTATAATATTTCCATGCAATGTTTATTGCGAAAAAGTTGATGACATATTTCCGGCTTCGGTTGAATAGTGTTTTTTGTGTTCTCCTGTTGGTAGTTTTGGTTTTGAATTTCTATCAAATATACGACTGCGCTTTATATTTGTATTAAGGTATGAGTGTATATTTTATTATATCTCTTATTTATTGGACACTTTAGTGGACATAACGATCGTTTTGCATTTTATGCAATGATTGTTGCAGAAAAATCAATGCTAGGGGAAACATCCGTTCGATCGCGCAACTTACAATAAACGAACATTTGGCATTGCAATTGTGTGCATATTTTATCTCTGGAGTTCAGTTGGGGTTTACTCCGCTAAAGTACGTTAATAGCTCCGAAGAAATAACACGCAGATGGGGACCATTTCCATAAAGTTCATTTAGAATTCTCGTCTATCTATTTTGCATCTTGAACAAGGCCATTGAGGAGCGTATTGCTCATATTGTATTGTGTTAATAACAAAAATTGGATTCGAAATGTACCTATAGAATACTTTGCCTTATTTTTGCTGTTATAAAATATAGGACAGAAAACTTAAAGCATCAAATGAAGTTTAAATATGAAACATAAAACACTAGCCTACATATTGTTAAGAATAGTACATAAACACGGAAGAATTCTCCAGAAGGGTATTATTAACTTTATATTCATAAATATTTCAAATGTGTCCATCATCCCATCCCCATTAAAGAACTATATTGTTAATGCTGATGTTTTACCATAATTTCCCCGAAAATCATACGCTTTTCGTGTCCCATGAGAAATATAAAATTGTGCTGTCCCATCCCATGGACAAGCCTGGTAATGGCAGATGCGATGGCGAAGGTATTCCTAACGATTTGCATCATGTGCCACACCGCCGAGCCAAGATAACATAGTTAAAATAAACCACACATTTCAATGAAAGACCATTTAATAATAATAACAGAACAAAGGTACATAGTGAAACGAAAAATGCGGCCAAAACTGATTGCACAAAACTCAATGCCAAGGTTTGAAAAATACTGAAAATACACAAACTTTACAAATACAAGTATGAAAACAATTACATCTCACCTTAATACGCAATACTACAAATAATAAATAAAAACAATTATTTATTCACCAAGCAATTTAAAGTAAATTCCACATACATATAATTCACATATATATATGTATATAGTCATTGATAAGCACCACGCCCTGTCGATAAATTCAGAAAATACCTTACATTGACAAAAAACGAATAAAGAGTTTAAAGCAAAGAACATCACTCACACAACTGCCGATTAGTAACACTGAAAACGTGACATTCTGAATACTAATGATATACACTTGCAAATCAACTTTTCAAACTTTGGGGCACTCAATTGTCAATGGTGTTGCAAATTGAAAGGTTAAGCCAATATGATTTGATCACCATCGTGAAAATATCATTAATGACAAAATTAAAAGGGCAATAATTACCTCACAGTGCAAATAAGAAACAAATATGCTAATGTCGTCTGTGAGATACTGATTATCTTCCAGAAAAAAATCTAAAACAGATTCCTAACGTTGATTTGATTCCATATTACCATTATTAAAAAAAAATCGCATTTTAATAAAAAAATCTGAGGGAATATGCCGACATTAAATCAGATCTGACAATACGAATATCTAGCAAAACTGAAAATGGTGAATGAAAATTTTGAGGATTTCAAAACTGTGCACATGACAATGATATGAGAAAATAAATAAGTAGCCTCCTGATGTGAAGCTATGATACCTAACAAATTGTCAGTCAATTTTGACATGGATAAGCAATTTCAATTGTGGCAAGCTACTCACGAAGAAAATTCAACCTACTCGAATATTTGTGACCAATGATAAGTTAGGAAGATGATCGATTGACAGTAAAATCATATGTGAAAGAATAATTTGATTATGAGTCAGTATTATGACAATTGTCACCACACTTACAAAATTTCATTATAGATACATTTTGTGTTATATGCATTTCCATACTATCAAATGTGCTGTCTTTTTGCTACTGGTCCACATTTATATGAATTCCACACATAAAACCAATCAGTAAAGACAAACAATGACCAGAATATAGAATGACTACTATTCTCTTGTAAATAATGTCCGGCTCTCAAATTGTCCCTCGGAATATTACAAACACATGGGATATCATACTATGCTGCTACATTGGCCCAAAAATAGAAGTAAAAGGAAGATGAACAAAAAAATAACATTCAATTTTAAGTCAGCAAAATGACACTATAATGTGACCATACACCGAGCTAGATAAGTCATGTAAAAATTTTGTCAAGAATTAATGGTAAATGAATGGCATCAACATTGCAATACTTCTCTGTTAAAATGTATCATGCTGCAAATATTTGGCAAAAATAACTGAGTGCTGTGTTACATCTTGGAAGTCAAATCATAACCTGACCAGCAGGAAAGACAAACTAGAAACAGTAGCTGAACAATAGTGATCTTCTATTGGACACGATGGTAGCGATGAAAAGCTAAAACCACACTTGAATATGTTAAAGAAAAAGCCATGTAATGTAATATACTTATGTTTGAAAATAAGAGAGCAAAAAAAACAAACAAGATATATGATTGATTTAGCAAGAAAGAAAGCTAATTATCAACTCCCCCTGTGTTTAGATACATATGTATCGAGTTGGAACAGAGAAACATAAAAGTTTGCTTAATAATTTTGAGTTTAAAAGTTTCGAGTTTACATATGTGATTCGGTCATTACACATTCAAAACGAGTTAACGAAAAATACAATCGACGAACAGGGAACTTATAAGAAAAAAAAGATTGACAGTACTACATTGCAATAAATAATATCCACAAAACGATGTCAATGATCACAGAGATTTCTTTAGTATTTTACTATTTTGTGTATCAAAACGCTTATTAAAGCAACAGTATATAGTCTCGAAGACATGTAGTAAGAATTGGTTGGAAAAGTCAAATTCCCGAATACAGTGGAACCACTCAAACATGAATTAATTGATGAATCAAACTTGATAAAAAAATCGAAGGTTTTTGGGTTTCGCCATCGACATGCAACATCTTTCACTCTATACCAGATTGAAGAGGTTGACTCAATTTAGACTCTGGTCCCCATATGTCAAGGACTCGAGTGCCCAGACCCAAAGCGACTCGTGTCATCTAAATAAAATAACTCGGACGCACCGTTAATCAACCAATTAGCTTAATGATTGACTCAACTTCAGAACATGGACTCCAGATTCCGAAGATCAGTGATTCGAGTTCACAATACCAAAATGCAATGGCACCACCAATAAACCCTCAATTTCTATCCAAATGTTGTGTGCTTTGATCAAGCATGATTCAACAATACAACTCATGGGTGGTGGATTGGAATGAAACAATTGCTTTATATGTGATGGTTACTGTACAGCACATAATTTTGTTCCAACATCTTCCTCTCCTGTCGTGCCAACGGGTTCTGCTGCTACGGAGACTCCGACCTTAAAATTGAAAAAAAAAATATATATATATAGAATTGATATTATTGGAAAAGTGAACATTTCAATCCCATTGCCATTTATTTTTGACATAATTGTAGTACAAATCAACCACGACTTCAGTCTGCAAAAAAATTGACTCCAATTCTGAGATGAAAAAAGCTTCTCGTGAGGAAATCAAATTTTTTATGATATTCTTCAATAGAATTAGTTGACTAAACCTTTTTTTTTTGGTTTTTTATGGAAAATTTTTGAAGTCTGAAATTCTGATTAATAAAAAAGGCAATGGTCTGCACAATATCAATCACATTATACATAAATAACGCAGAGAATACATCAGCAAATGAGAGTGAACCACAATAACATGGAAGTAAATGATATAATGTAACATGGCATGTACTAAATATAAAACATAAAAATTATCGGAATACCTTATAAAAGTAATGTGATTGATAAGAAACAAACTTCTCAGCACGATCAGTATTTGGTAAAGATACTGATCTCACACAGACATTTGATGCAGTAGGACCAGGCATTGTATATTCAACTTCACACCATCTGTATTTGCTGTCCAATCCACCTCTATATCCATCTCCCTTTGTCTCTGCATTATCTTCAGGTGTTCTCAATCGTTCCAGATCACGATCAGAACTTAGTTCTATTCGACAGGTGAACACACGAGGAGTGTTTTGCACTAAATACAAAAAAATGATGTGATGTAGCTAGCCTGAGCAGAGGATATTCCCAATTCCCATATGGCAACTTGGAATTTCCCTTCCTCCTGCTTCGAAAATGATTTCCACAATCATTTCAGCTGATATTTTCCATGACTGCCCCACTGTGTAAAAGAACAACTCGAAATTGGCGTGGAGCATCACATCAATCTTTTAAGATTAGCAGCAGCAACATTTTTTGTAGACATTTGGATATGGATAGCATTTGAGACATGAAACAAATCAAGATACAACGAATAGTATGAAGATTCAGATTTTAATTTAGATTTGAAGAACTTTTTTATTGATAAATGTTGAGGATAAAAAGACTGGAAGTCAGAGATACTTCTAAGATTGTGGATATGAAAAGACGATGAAAAAATTACAATAAATCTTATCTTAATATTAACATTGATGAACTTAAAATAATCAAACTACCTGCATTTTTTTCTGGCAAGCGAGGCATTCTCCATACAATTGCTCTATATGCACGTTCGTATTTCGCAATCCCCACTGAAGCTTCCATTGTGACACCGGCTTCAGTAGCTGGTCTACGTCTTTGTTTTGCAGCTCGTTTCGCTTTAACAGAATGATTTCGAAAGCGACCGTCCACACGAAAGAATGAACCCCATTCATCTGGTACAGGAAATCGTATCATGACGTCTTCACAAGCAATCTGTAACAAAAAGACAAAGACATAAGAAGTGAATTTCAAACAATAGTGAAACTTATATTCGACATGATAGGAACAATGCGAAGATATCTGTCATCCTCCTTATTTAAAATGCCACGATTTGCATATACAATTTATAAAGAGTGATTTTGCCTCCTCAAACCATAAAACAAAATTCAGATATTGATTTACAAAAAATAAAAATTCAAAGTTTATATTGTGGGCGTCGTAGCCTAGTGGTTAACATGTTGGACTCCACTATGTCGGCATCGCATGTTACGGTGACAGAACATTTGAACCGACATACATTTTCACCCATATATCCACGGGTTCAATCTATATGTGGGTGCTAAAATCCATGTTTTAGTATGGGTTCAAATATCCGTAGGTGTTAAATTTCCATAGGTGCAATAGTATGCAGGTGCAATTGTCGTGGGTTCAAATTACTGGTTTCAAATGTACGTGGGTTCAAATGTAATGGAACCCATGCTACTCATCTCACAGGGTTACACAAGTTTCAAATCCCATTCCCACCATCTCATCCAGGGTACAATAGGAGAAGAAGAGAAATGATGAAAACGATAACAACTATTTTTTTTTATTAATAACGGTATGAAGTGTCTCAAAAACCTGTCATAGTGTAGACACGCAAGTGATCATGTGTATGAAAACCAATCACAGACTGTTATCACTGTCATAGCATACCAAGCGCTGCTTTATGTGAGTGTGTGCACGCTCTTACCGTGAGAACTTAGCGTGTATAGGCTGACCCTGTAGTGCGTTATCAGTGAGTTATGCGCGTATAAGCTGCATTTTTAGTGCAATTAGAGTCATACGCTTATAAGTTGACCACTTAGTTTGTTAACTTTATTTTTTGAGTTTTAAACTTGACTTATATAAGAGGATATACAGTAAGTGGAAACAATATGGTTAAGGTTACCACAGTTTCCACCATCAATGTCAATCCATAAAACTAACCCTTCTATCGGGTATCTTAGCCATTTGTCCAGCTTCTCATAGCAAGGCAGACATATACCGTACATATTATATTTTATGTTTATTCCATAGTAAAATGAGAAACATCTTAACCTGAGTTAGAGGATCCTTATTTGCACTATGATTTCCACTCATTCTCAATATACATCTGAGTTGAATTCTTGCACCTTTGACAGTGATTGATGATTTCACAATAACAGGAAGTTCGCTCTCAGCATAGGATGTTGCAAACCTAGCAATTACGTAAAATATTAAAAACTACAAAACAGAGAAAGTACACAATATCGAGAATTGGAAGTTGACTATGGTATGTTTAATGTTGGTATCATTTATATCACAGCTATGCTTAGCAAGGTGGCATCATTTTTAATATCCATACTTCAGATTAAAGTTGACTATGGACACAATTCAGTATTGATATATATTTAGGCCCGCTTTTTGAAAAAAATTTGACTCCAAATCACAGACTCTAAAATAAATTTAGAATCAAACTCCCAGCTTCCGAGTATTGAAAATTTTAACTCTGACTTTAATTATCACTATTGAAAGCCGAAAATTCTGACTCAGACTAATACAACTAATATTTTTGTCTCAGACTTCTGCTGACTCTTTATAATTTAAAAATACAACTTTGGCTCTGATTCAGACTCCAATGAAAGCATGCCAACCTCATCAAATTTCTGCCCTGAAGAGGACTTGATATATCCAAAATTCGGACATATAAATGAGTATTAAAAACACAATACAATTGAAATTTTTAAACTTTTGACAAACGACACAAACCTCATGAGTTCAAATCTGCAAGCATCAGGAGGATAGAAAGAACAAGTTCCAACGTCATTGCTTCCTCCTTCATAACTATCTTGTGTACATGATTCATGTAGTTCAGGATCGCGAATATCAATCCATCCATCTAAGCTTGTTGGAATAATATCTTCTCTTCTGACAACTTCTTTGCCTTCCATCTGTAAATTATGGGATATATGATAATTTATGATGAATACCGGAGATGGCTTAGAAATTAAATTTAGCTGTGTATATATTTCTTATGCAATGATCCAGTGGTTCTTAACCTTTGATGCATTCCCCCTTTCGCCAATTTCGAAACACTATATTTGGCCTTGAAAATTTTCATTAACAAGTATAGCCATTTTGTTACGTCACCACGCATAAAAGGATCCAGCCCCTGATATACAATGTAAAAAAGATTACACAACCTATAAGCAGATATAAAATTGCATTACAGTTCACAAAATATCAAATGGAGAGATGGGATTTTTTTTATATTTATCACATGGTTGTCGAAAGTTAACTTCGTGACTTTGATATAAAGAGTTAATCATATCATAAGAACTGCTAATATTGGATAGTGGAATCAACTAAATGTAACCAGGAGATATATAAACAACCCTACTATAAGTTAAGAAATCTCCCAGCACAGAATTATCCAAAATTTAAACTTGTGAACTCATGCGAAGTGAGGTAATTAACACCTAATGCTTGACAAAAGCGTCATACACAGAACAGTTATTATTTTTAATCTTTCCATCAATATCTCCTACATTTTTAAGGTGGCAAGAGGCTCACAAAATCTAGAAAATTTAGAAGTTAAATTATATGCTTTTCGCTACAGAATTTGAATTTTATATTTCACTGTGATGATTAAAGTTACAATTCCAGTAGAAATAACAAACAGTTGAGATGACTTCTGTGTAAATTACTTTTGCAAATCAAATTAAAATGCTGATGTTATAATAAATTGTTGCCTCAAGGCAAATAAAAAAACATTAACTTCATAATTCTCTACCATAAGTGTGGACACGTTGTTTTGTATAGGTAAGTAAAATGAAATGACATTAAAAAAAATTTTGATGATATACTTTATCATTAAATAACTTCAACCTCTCATAAATACTTTGGCGAAATAGCAGTTAAAATTAGTATATAAATACGTATATTATTCAAATTTTGAAATCCTATTGAATGCAATTTAAAAAATTCCAAATTAGAGATAGTAAATTTTACCATATCAATGATTCACCATCATATTTGCAATTTTTAAACTACTTATATGAAGTATTTATAAGACTTTTTGTCTGAACGAGGCTCGATGCAAGCGGCCACTGCTAGGTAATTAGCTATTATAGTTTGGAAGGACTGGAATCTTTCCGGACTGGCCTTGCCTACCTAATTTATCACACCCAGGGTAAGGTGGTGGACATGGGATTTTAACCAGAGATTTTAACCTGTGATGCCATCATAGTTGAGTCAAATGCTTTAACCACTTGGCCAAGACCACTTAACCACTTATTCAAACTATGACTGTTCATGGAAATCAGAGAAAAAGAAACAAAAATGTGTCTTATAATGTAACTTCAGCAGCTGAATATCAAGAAATTTGATGCTAATACAAATACTATTTAAAGATTGGTAAAATTTGTCATCAGAATTCAATTTATAGGCTGAATTGGAGACACCTCTAGCAAGTCATCAATAACTACAATAAAAAGAACATTAGATTTAAAAAGCATTCCTCGCATTTTTGGAAAATAGCAGCCAGGCGCTTGGCAGATGGGCAAAGATAACTAAGATTATGGTTGCTCAGCCAAACCTTAGATTAATCACCAATGACAACCATTTAGGTTGTGGTAGAACATGAATTATTAAACATTTTCAGGTCACTGGTACATCTGTTAGTAAGAAGATAAATAATGGCAAATCGAGTATGACTTGATGATAATTCGAGTCAAAAATGCATATCTTATCAATGGCGTTTGTTGGCCGATCCACAAATAAAAATACTTCGAAATCTCAGAAGAATGTAAGATGGTATGACCATGTATGGCATGAAATAAATTGATTTCGTCTCATGTTCGACAGTAAATTGAATAAAATAAGAAATAAAAACTTTACAAAACCGTATTAACCTTTCGATCATTGATCGTTATTTTAGCCTTTGGATCTCCTGACAAAAACGAACTGGCAAAGAAGTGAACTCGTACTTTGCATGCTTCCATCAATCCAGATTCTTGCACAATTGCCTTCAAAATAGAAAAAATTACATTACAATTACAATATTACAACAATTACACATTATTAAATGAAGAAATATTTCAGATTTCAGATACAGATAAATCTTACTTGATTAAAATTTTTTTTACCGAATTTCATGTTGCGCAATCAATTTTGAAATGTATAAAATGGTGTGAATTGAAACCACATACACTCGATGTTTTTAAATTCCCGAATTTAAGATTAAGAATAAATTTAAATAAATTCAGTTTCAAAATTAATGATAAGGAGATTGAAAACTCTCAGATGCCAAAAAAACTCCATTCAAATTTTAAAGGCTGTAAAAAAATCTACCAATCCAACCTCTGTTAACTTAACTCTCTTGTATTTTCAAATTCAAATTCATAGATATGCATTGTTTTCTAATTAGTATTTGTTGAAAATGACCCATTAGGAATGAAATGCATTCAATATTCCATATTTGAAAATATAAATCAGAATGTATTTTGAGTAGTAAATTCTTATGTTATAGCCATCCTAGCCTGAAAAATCACCGAATGAATAACAATAATTTTTAATAAATATGAAATTTTTCGCTGTAAGTTAAATATCTCAACACTGTCGGCCTACCTGTAGTTCATCATGTACGTCAATAAGCAATTCATCTCTGGAATGATATTTGACAGTGGTGTTGTGTTCCTCTTCTTTAGACTTCGGAATTCTTTTATGAACATTGAACATGGCGTCGCGAGTTGCTTTACAAAACGACATCACATCATCATGGACAGTAAAACCAAATTTAATACTTTGTTTCCCTTTGCAAGCATGCTGAAAACGTAAAAAAAAAATTCCATTAATAAACACAAGAGCAATGCTCAAATATATGGACATGAAATAAGTTACAGTACCTAGTCTACAGTTAGTTACCGGCATCGAAAAACTTCCGACTTTCGCATAGCACGAGTTCGCAAAATCAATATGGAAGACAGCTGTCATGCTCGAAAAAATGTGTTGCCACGGATAAAAATTAAACAGCAAAACTTAATGTGAAATATCAAATCTCAAAATTTAGGAAAAAATAGGTAATAGTCTTTTAGCGACATCGATAACCTTCAAAATTTCAAAGCAATTGGGTCCAGTAGTTAAAGTAAGAGGCAACAAGAAAAAGAACAAGACGAAGAACAACAACAACATAATAACAAAATGATCCATATGTACACTTTGTGCCCAATAATACTAAATCAATAACTATAATGGAGTGAATTTCTCAACTTCCATTAAGAGGGTACTTGTTATCTCTAAAATCTATTAATCTCAATAAGCAAGTGTACTAGTGTAGAACAAGCTGGGGGAACATATAGTTAAAGCTTCCGCAGTATTGATTTATGTGAGATAAACTTGAGTCGTGTCAGAGCATATGCCATTACGTGACAGCTCAAAACTAACCACAAACTTGACCTAGTTGATTGTCAACAAGGCATTTGTACAACATCCTATAGGACAAAGAAAAGTATCGACCATATCCAGTATGCACCACAATATGTAAAAATATGCAAATCTCTGAATAATTAACAAATGAATATCTAAGTTCTATATTAGGTTTTCGACAAATTTGCAACACTGATACACAAGGTTCTACAATGTTATCCTTTTCAATTTTTCATCCCCTATCTAATAGAAAGTAGTGTGTTTAAAAACTTTCGTTTGCATTTGGTATTCTGAAAGCAAGGTTCCATAAAAATAGATTAGGTTATTCCCATTTATCACTAACACTACCTCATTCAAGCATCCTTATGACAAATACCACAAACTGTTCCAAAGTAGGAAGTTAACAAGGAGAAAAGACTACTCGAAAACCATTAATGAAGTGAAACACATGTTATAATACCTTAAATCCGGATGCATTCCTTGTCAAGCTTCTACGTGGACTGAAAGTTTGCTTTTCTTTGTAATGAACAACCATAAGTTTAACAGCATGTAATTTGCCCTGAAATAGTTACAAGATAAAGAAATAAGATTTGATGTATAGAAAATAGCAACAATATACTACCCGCTAATACGAAATCAAAATATCAGATATTTATTTAGAGCGTTTTTTTTCTATATTTGACGCTTATTCACGTCTTTCGTTTCGAAAAAAGAGTAGCGCGGCAGCCACTGATATCTAATGATATGTAAGGAGCTGCTATTTTTGGATTGACCAGAATCGGCATTGTCTACCCCAATTTATGACACCATGGGTAAGGTAGTAGATATGAGATTTGAACCCAGGACGTATAACCTGCGAAGGAAACACTGTTAGGTTTAATGATTCGACTGTTAGGTTATCGCTCTTATCTCAAGTCAATATCATATCAGAAACAACTTTGATTCAAATTAATGTATTCCATACATCTTTATATTATAAACAGTTTTTAAATTACAGAAATTGACATTTGAAGTTCATCAAAATAATCAATGCTAATTTAACCAGAAAAGAGACACATTCAAATAAATTATAATCAATAAATACCATTTCATGTGAATTGAGTACTTTTTCAACATATCGCTATAATCAATTTATCAAGAATTGATAATACGTTAAAAAAGTACTCAATACACATGAATTGCCAATCAAATGATTAAGTAGTAATGCAAAAAATGTCAACATACCAAAATTTGTCCTTCGTCAGAATAATGAGCTTGCAGTTTAGGCTTCGATACTTGCATTTGATGACTAGCAAGCGACACAGTGCGGAAAGGATCTTGTGCTTTAGATGTGTAATATAGTTTCACTAGTGGATTGTCAATCTGTAACACATAGATCGTAATAAGGATAAAGGACAGATATAAAGAAAAAGTAAAAATAACTCTGAAGCTCATTTGCATATTACACAAAAGCCGTGCATCTATTTTTAGCAGAACACTGGCCCGGAAACTAATTGATTAAGGAAACAGAACTGTCATTGAAATGCAAAAGATGACCTTAATTGAACTTTATGTTCACTCAAAATAGCTCATGTTTTTTCAATCATTGCCTTGCAAATATTTCAGAGGGAAATGTATTCTGCAACATTAATAAACTGAAAACTACTTTGGCATTGCATAAATTTTAAATTATTAATTAAAATAAATATTACACACCTGATCACAATTCAACTTGACATGGATTGGTACCCATTTCCTATTACTCATTGTTCTTTTCGTTGGTGGAAATCTCATATAAACATCCCAAAATATTTTGCTCTCAATAATTTCAACTTCTGGCAGTAAAACACGCTTCGGTATTTGAATTCCCAACGGACTTTCGACAGACGTAACTTTCTTCAATTCTTCCAGTGGATCAGGATTGCCAGAAAGATGATTTGTGCTGTCGTCGGTTATCTCGGTTTCGTCTTCTGCTGAAATAGGATCCGGCGAAAGACTATTTTCAATAACAGAATGGACATGAGCATTTGTATTAGTGTTATTTTGTACAATATTATTACTGGGAATAACTTCTAATTGATCCAATACTAAAGTGATATCCTGAGCATCATCAACGTTTAAATTCAACTCGGAATCGGGTTTTGTATTTGGATTCGAAGCATCAGTTTCTTCATTTTGAGGTTCCTCCATCCAGCTGAATAGGTCGTCTGTTTTCCCAATTTCAAAAGAAGGAATCGGATTTATAGATTCTGTATTAGATTGCGTAGAAAACGGATCAAAAATATCGTCATGTAATGCAGTATTTCCAGATCCTGAAGTTACGGAATCAGTTGTACTCAGAATAATATTATTTTGAATTGGTGTTTCAGCACGAGATGATGGTAATGTGCCAGCTTTTGCACTAGACTCTGAAACGTTGTCAAAATCGATTCTTTTCGCTGATGTTGATCCTTGTGATAAATTTCGTACTCTTTCTTTTGCTTGCGAAGACCGCCTTGCTCTAGTAGAAGATCTTGATAAAGAGAGAGGTGGGGGTGGGATACGAACTAATTGACTGGGTGTAACGGGACTTGCTGTTAAATTAATTCGAACAGGGGTAGAAGATATTTTTGATGTCTTTGCGTCATCATGCTGAGGTGACTTGAAAATAATATTATCAAAAGGTGAATCGACGAGTGAACACTGAGATGTAGAAGACGTTGAAGTTGGTGACCAAAATGGATTGGTAGGAGCCATTGATACGGAGCAACCGGCTGATGCATTGGAATCAAGTCTAGAATTAGCTGGTGTCTCTGGTCGGCTAGAATGTGACGAATGTGGTGTTGATAGGCTTCTTGTTGTTGCACTTTGAACATCTTTAGCGAAATCGAACAAGTTTGGTTCCTCTTCAAATACAGTGTCATCCATTCCAGCTGGACCAACATGAAACGATACTTTCTCACATTGTATCGGTGTCGGGGATTTCTTCATTTCGAATGTATTATCTTTCATGTCTTCTTCGACCGCCACACTAACTCCTCCCTTGGGTCTTTTGCGTTTCAAACTATCTCCCTGTGAAAAGAAATAGATTTGACATATGTGAATTCATTGAGATTGACAAATTTAATTTTCGACTTTCGATTTAATTTAACTTTCGATTTGAAACACCATAAAATAGTGTTAATGTATGAATACATTAATTAAAGACAAAAATAATTTTGTCTGAAAAAGGATTCGTACAAAAATGATCTCTGTGAACAACAGTAATTCAAAAACAAAACAAAAAAACTTGAGTAGATTAAATGTGTTGCGTAACACTTCCTCAAATTTCATTCTGTAACATTTCGTATTATTTATGTCAATATGGATACCCTGGTTTTTGCTTCGGGTCCTAATAGTCGGTACATACCTTACACCAGTGGTTTTCAACCAGGTTTCCGTGGCACTCCATGGTTCCGCCAATGCGGTCCAGGGGTTACAGTTTACATTTAAGTCCCAGAATCAATGTTTTTATATGTATATTGTTTAAATATAGCCAATTACCTATTAGGTTTGTCACTATCATTAAACTTGAAACATTTTGAAGATCATTTTGTTTTGCCAGTATTAGGTTTGTTTTATAAATATTCATAGTATGTAGTTCTACGAGTATTGATATATTTTTGAAAAAACGTTTTGCAAACTACTGCACAGGGGTTATCTTTGAGTCTCCGGATTATTCCTTTCGGATTCCACTCCACCAAAAAGGTTGTCAACAACTGCCTTACACAAACAAGAAAAAAATATGTTACTCTGATCAACCATAAATAAATTGTCGTACCTGTGCAGTGAGATCAAATATAGTTTCAACATCGTCATCATCAGGATTTTCTCGACTTCCAATACTAGCCGCAGCACTTCCTCTATCATCAGAGAAGTCTACGAGGTTGTTTTGTGATCCCTTGTCAGCTCTGTTAAATCCCTTGAGGTCTGGCATTTCTGTAGACAAGCTGTGTGTAGAGAAATTTGTTTTAAGGAATTCTGTTTTGAATAAAATTAAAGATCACATTGCTTATTATTCGAATTTCACAATCTCATAGGACTGGCCTAATCAATTAAACAACCATCTAAATATTCCTAACCTTGAGAACCCAACATAACAATCAATAAAATTAGCATAAATAGCTGAATATAAAGAGGAACTAAACACAGCTTTATAAATAGGCTACATACATTGCTTTTCAGGGTTTAATAATGTAAACACGGGTCAAGAATAGAAAGTCAGTATCGGTTAATTCATCTTAATTGAAGATTACATACTAATACTTTTCTAAGAAAGGCAGAGCATGATAATACGTCACAGCAGCTGTTTTCAAACTGTGGGTCAATAATTTCAATGTTTTGCGAAATATCAATCCATTTCCTAAAATTTTTTTTTTCGCTTGCATTGAAAAATTGTCAAAAAATAATAAAAACTATTAAAATTAATGTTAATCAAATAGACAAACGATTGATGATATTACACATTCAAACCAACTGCCATATTCATTATAAGTTGTCCTACATTAATAAAGTTAAATTCTCTGTAAAATGCACAGTGATATGTATGAAAAAAATCGAATACAATTGTTAGAAGACCTCTGCATTATAGAAAATAATCCTGCAAAAATATAAAGGCTGCTCAGACTAATTGAAAATGAAAAAAATTCCTTTACCGATTTACAGCAAAATCATCTTCTAAATCCCCATCAACATCATTTAAACTTCCAGCCAATCCGCTGCTGTTGATATCAAATGAAGGTGATGAATTTGCATTCGAAATATTTCCAACAAGATTATCTGTTATGTTATTATGTTGATGTTCTTCGTCTTCTTCATTTTGAAATGTTGCCCATTGTGATTGAGGTTTCTCTGGTGATAAATCATTCTCAGGTAGAGTGATTGTAACTGGTGGCGATTTTGTGCTGCCATCTAAAACGGTACAACATAATAAATCAATTTATAATCAAATACCATTAATTATATAAAAAACATTAAATTAGGCAAATATATGGATTAAATATTTAATGCAAGGTTGCAACACCAATAACTTAATTTCAATTTTCAATATTTTAGGAAAAAATTTTGAACTTAAAAAATGGACATATTATCTTGTACGAAGAGGTATTTCTATAGGCTAGTAATTTATGACCATATTTATATTCTCAAAATAACGTTAAACAGGTTTTTTGGATTACAAAATGCCTAACAAGTAACCTTGGAGTGTAGAAGAAACCATTTAATCTAGTAAATTGTGTACTTTAGCTGACTCTAAACATGGCCTAGAGGCTTAAGAAAAACAAGATTCAAAGAAAGTAATAAACTGTAGAATTTGAAAATTTTCTACAAGACAAATTTTATCCTAGAGTTTGCAAAGCATGGGACATTAATACAACATGCCTTAATGGCAGTTAGTGTGGATAGACTATAATCGGCCAAGAATGATACATCGTGAGATTATGTAAAAAAAATTCCCAGTTTTAACTTTGGTGTGTAAGAAACTAATTTTCATTTCTTCTGCTTCAATACAGATCTACTGTAAATGATCAGTCTCAAATGTACACAAGCCTTTCATGCTTTTCTGCATAATTCTGTGTTTTTATTCGAAAGGCCATGCACCTGATATAACCTAGTATGGTATTCAGTATGCATATTGCATCATGTTTGCTATTCTTTTGCAATACCCCATCTTTGATATTCGGTTGTATTAAGATTTAGTTCATAATCTGTTATAATCTGACATACCAACATGTATATCAACGTCAATACAATACATAATTGTGAGTGTAACCAAAGTAAATTCTTGCTGCAAAAATATCATCAAAGTGATGGTGGATCAAGCAAATTAATCATGGGGATATAGGCATTAAAACTACATGATAGCATACAAAAACTCAATTGACAGTTGTGATGTATTGATTATATAGATAAAGGTAAGCTGAAACAACAGTCTTCTGTATTCCCAACAGAATACATAAGTCAATTTTGTGATTGGGAAAAGAACATTATTGATTCCTTGGACTCCAGTGATATAAAATATTGCGACAGGTGGAAAATAGATAGACATCATGAGTGAAGAAAGTGTACACAGAATTCAAAATTAATGAAACTATAATTCAGAAAATTGAAATTATCGTTGTTGTTTTTTATAAAATTTGCTTGTTTTAAAACAACATTACTCTCAAGTCTCAATATAAATTTTTGACATTGAATTTAAATTAAACTATTATTTTTCTTCTGAATAAATCAATTTTGATTTTGATAGATCATATGATTAAATCAGGATCCTAAAACCTGTGTTGGGTACACGTCCCTCAAGTCAAATCTAGTTAGGCAATTTCGCAACATCCCAATACTTTCTGATACAAAATCCCAGTCAGCATACAAATGAAATAAGTAATGTTAACAGGAGGTATCCTGAGCAAAATGTGATCAGATATTGATTTTATAGCTCTTGTCATAACTAGAACTGCCCTCTGAAACATCATTTTATTGATTATCAATAAAGGTGAGAAAAAATCGCAATCACACAATTATATAAATTGACATTGATAATAATCAATAACAAACCTTAGCAACCTACATCATAGCTACTATGGTGGATTAAAATGCTCAAATAGGGGGAAAATTGAATTGGAAAATAGAAACAAAAGACCGATTCCTAAATATATGGACACAAAAGGCGAAACGAAGTAGTACGGGTATGCAATCTTTCACAGTAGACTATCGTTACTGCAGTATTCACGACTTTGCCTGACCACGAGATAGCAACGAAGTGAACGCCACGAGATGCGCAATTTCTAATTTTGATGGGGTCATCGCACACAAAAAACGAATCCCACAGAGCCCAAAGAAAGATTTAAAATAAAAAAAGAGCAATAGCCTTCTAGTGACAAATACGATTTTCAACCAATGAAAATTTCAAAGCAATTGGTCCTATAATTAAAAAGAAAATAGATTTTAGAAGCGAAGATGAAAAGAAATACTAACTAACAACAACAACATAATAATAAATAGATCCATATTATTCCATATGTATACCTATTTTTCAATATGAATTGAAAAAAATAAAAATGTATACTTGGCTGAACTTCATGAGGCTATCCACATAATTATATAGGCAACAATGAAATTTATTTATCGAGTATCTCAAAAACTAATTCTCAATTTTAAAAATTTATTTCATAATATAATCAGTTTCATAATATTTTAATAATGTATACTTTGATTATAGTTGTGTAGTTTCGAAGGAATTTTGAAACTATACTACAAACACCCTCATACTAAATGAGGAAATAAATATATTACAAAAGATTTTTTGAAAATATTTACGAGTCCGGGCTCAATTCAATTCAATAGATAAGCCATACAAATTATATTCTCAGGCCGAACAAAAAGTCTTTTTGTGTGTGACATACACAAATAATAGAAGCACACAATAGATGTGATGGAAATTAACACTAATTTGAATATAAATCACCTCTTTGGGAATCAGTCATGTTTACTGTCGAAAATAACAATATAATAATGAAAATAGATTGGGTAATGTATTGACTCACAACTTGACTGTTAGGCTATCAGGGCTTTGTCAGGATAATTATATTGTTAAGGTAAAAGCAATACACGTGAATGTACATTGATTACAATATTACAATGAAATGTTGAGAGAGAATGAGACACAAAATAACAAGGTTAATGAAAGCAAAGACATAATACACTCCTCAGTGGAATTCAATCCCAGAATTATCAAATATATATAAAACAGAGAGATCTCTATCGATTGCAGATTTTATATTTTCAGTGCCGCATGGTGAAATATTTTAAATTAAAATGGTCACAGTAAACCAACTTGCAAATCTACTTTCAAAATAAGAATACAATGGAGAAGTATTAGAATGATTTTCCAGGGTCAAGGGTCAATGAAGCGTACATGGTATGACAATGGAAGTAACATTTTTAACTAACCTATATTATCAGAGGATCCTAGATTATCACAATCATCATTTTCTAAACAAAGATATCCAATTCCTCCTGCTCCTTTCTTCTTAGATGCAGATGCGCGAACATCTGGAGATGATGATGGTTTCCTCCAATGAGAATCTTCATCCTCTTTCAGAAGATCCCTAGTAATAGAAAGAAAGTGGAAAACAAGATTAAAAAAGCTGTACCTTTCTGAATATTTACTAATATCAATTCATAAAATCAGCAGCAAAAAGCATATTTTATTGTTACATGCATTTTGAAAGGGTCAATTATATTTGAGTGTACAATTTATTGTAAGATATACCAAGACCAAGAGTTTTAATAATGATTTAGTAAACCGCTGCCAGTCTTTGGTAATCGGGTGAGAAGGTTTCATTAGAGTAACTTTAACTGCTCATGTTCTCGGAAATATTAAATCACTAAAATGCAATAGGTGAATATATATGATGAAATTAAATGTGTAGATCGAGATAATATAATAAATTGAATTTTTTAATGCTGATTTTATATCTATACATGAATCTGTTCAACTCAATCTTAAACTGGACATAAGAAAAGTCCATTCATTTCTGGAAACACAACAGCTTTAAAAGAGAGATAAAGATATTGATTTCTGCACAGAAGCTTTTGTACTAATCAACCTTTATTGATTTTTGTGAAAACAATGTCACAGGCAATGCGCGAACAAAAGTCGCAAAATAGACTAAATATACCCATACTGGCCATACTGAAATATAAAATCCAGTAAATATGAAGATAAGAAATTATTGGAAATCAAAGTTTTCATCAGTTACAACTCAAGAATTTACAAAGTTATTTATAAAATTTAGTATTTTTAGCAGAATTTAAACAAAAAAATTTCTCACAAATTTAAATATACAGTTATCAATTACAATGCCTAATGAGGAATTTTCTTGACAGTTGCAGATACTTACGCATCACTAAGAGCCTCATTAGTTTGTTCAATTTCAGAAATATTGAAGTGATCTTCATTATCTGGTTCTTCCTCATGAAAATCTAAAAAATACCACAAAAACAGATGAAAGTTATGAATTGTATGTAATGTATTATTTATTCAAATTCAGCAGCACTTTATTTATTTCCTATAGATTTGTGCCTGCAGATGCACAATAGTGTAGGAAATTGCAATAATTATGTCATGCCATATATTATAGACTTCTGACAAAAATGCGCTAAAAGACTTGACATTGAACAATTAACATTCCATCTATTAAGCCAACCGAATAAAAAACTAAAACTGTTCTAAAAATAAATGTGTGGGTAAAAGACATAAATAGTAATTTTAAGTGGAAAAATTAGCAAAAGAAAACATAGTGAAAGTAGATTTTTTCCTACAATTAACACTAATATGTGTAATTTATACCTGATATTGCATCTGTTGGTGTCAAAGTTGTTTTGAGTGGGGTTTTTGCATCAGTATCTTCAAAAGCAACCCATGATGGACTAGAACATGTAACATCAAGAGAAAACGACGAGGCAGTATTATCTTGTAAATGTGAAAAGGAAGCAAATTGTGATGATGAAGGCTGAGAATTTTCAGCAAAAAAGTTCTCTGTTTGTGGTAGTGGTGGTACAGGGATGTCTGGCTTAGGTATAGTTAAATCTTTCCTAGGAGGTACAGGAGGCGCTGGAGTACCTTTTGACGCACTTGTCAATAAACGAAAAGAATCAATCGGAGAGCAAGATCCACTTGACATATTATGTGCAAGATTAATATGACCTTCTGGTTGTGGTAAAGATATTAAATCATGGTCCGAATCTCCAGCATGAGAATCACTTCCAGACACAGTACTTGAAGTAGAAAATAAATTTCTCCTCGGTGGAATTGCTGGCTTCACAACCACAACTGGTTGGGGTACTGGTGAACCAGCATCAGATAAATGCATTTCTAGATCATCCATATCCATTGTTAATAAGTCCGCACTCGGACTGGGTGTGGGTATCGGTGGCTGAGGTAAAACTTGTGGGGAAGATTGAGATTCAATGTTCTTGTTACGCAGGGAATTTCTAACAGGTATAGCCGGTGGAGCACGAACTGGCAGAATCTGTTTTCTTCCTGGTTCTGGTAGTTTATTTTCCTTATCTTCACCAAATACTGTCCATTGTTTATTGTTGGATGTCTTCTGTTTAGATGACGGAAACTGGATTGGAGAGTTCGGAAAATGTGGCGAAGACGTTCGTGACAACCTTGGTGGGGCAGGTGGCCGAGCAGGACTGGTTTTAGGACTGTACAACACATGGTTGAATGAATTCACACCATCTCCAGTACTCGATCCACTTGTGATACTCATTGCATCCTGAAGATATTAGGACACATTAACAATTCATGTAATAATACTTGAAAATTCCAATCTTCATTTATTTAAAGAGTTAGGGTGGAAATTTTGTCATTATGAGGTAAGAATTTTGCTCAGTATTTGCTGTCACAAACTACCGTACTAATATTCTTTATTATCATTACTATCATTCTCATTTATGAACACATAAACTGTAAAAAGGCATGAGTGCTACTGACAAATAAAACTAGCTAGATTTCCAAAAATAAATTATTAATTTTTATGCATATCGAGGGGGTAATAAAGAGTTTCAAAATAATCAAAGGGAGGAATTTATTAACGAAAAAGGTCAGAAACCACTGCATTTAACGATAGTGTTATGATTCTTTGTGAGATCAATCTTATTTTGATTGAATCATTCAAAATATAGCAAAGTTTCTTGCAATCAGAATAACTTGAATAAGTTGCACAATACACTTGAATTGACTAAAAATTCTCAAACTTCCATCTCTACACAGTAAATCCCGAAATGCACTATAACAACAATCAAAACATTAGTGTAGTATAAAACTAACTTGTTGGTCATGTTCATTCAGCAGAGTCATGTAGTTATTTCCTAGTTTAGCCTTGAAGTGTCCAACTCTGTCAGAATCAGATGTATCTTTTGGTTCCGAGGAGATAGAATGTCGTGGTGGGCCCAATGTGCCTAAAAAGTAAATTGAATAAATTCTGTACAACTGTACTAACTATAAATACTATGTTTTTCCAAGAAGTGCTCAGATCTTCACTCATACAGTATTTATAGCAATGCCGGGAAATGAAGTTCATAATATACGAAGGTTTGTTACTCTCAAAACGTGAAGTCAATAAATACATTAAGAAAGTATCACTGTCACTACTACCAATTCATTGATCAAGAATTTAGTTCTTCATTATGAGGCTTTACAAAACCAACTTGGAATATCTTCATGAAATATTTACGCCTAATTACCCAAAGAGACTAAAAATCCTTGTACAATTTTCATACTAATATAGCAAGATCATCAAATATTTAGGAGCACAAAATTTATTCAGATACATGTCATTGATAACTTTCGTGACAATTTGGTAATATTATATCAGAAATATACCCTTAATAAAAGAAATGAATGTGAGTTTTGAGCATAATTCAAGGCATGATTTCAAAATTATTAACAACTAAGGATTGTCAAAACTGAATACTTTACTAAACAGAATACGTTCTGAAAAAATCATTTCTAAAATATGGAATGTTGAAAATATTCTAAATAAATTCATGTTCACTAACAAACACCATTGTACATTCATAAGAACAAGATTACACATACAGCAAGGACAAAGTTCCTAATATTTCAATCACCGGTATATCGTTATATTTCTCATTTGCAATTCCAAATCTAGCTCGAAGCTCCTCAACAGTACACAAATTATCAAATATTAAATACTCACTTGACGATGAAAGTCTTGAATTTGTGCTCGATACAGAACTCTGGTCTGGAGCAAATATATCCATCGCACAATTAATATTTCCTTCATGATCTGGAGTAGTAACTTTCTTACAATCCTGGACCAAAGTTTCTTTTAAATTATTCAAACCAAAATCCATATCTTCATGTACAGTTGCTTCCATGTTGCCAAACAATATGGCATTGCTCGTGGTATTGTGAGACGTCACATCCACTAGTAACTCGCTATCGGGACTTTCCATTGTTTGTTACTGACCAACTATTCGTTAGGATCACACAAAGACACAATGGGAGCAGTAAATCCACTGTTTGTTGTTCTGGTCGTTAGCTTTCTACTAAGCTAATAATACGCAGAGGCATTTCTATCTACTTTTATGCCTCATCATAGCCAATACAACAATTTTATAGTAACTGAAAAAGGAATGAAGACACAAAGTTTATGAATGGGTGTGTAAACCATAGGAATTCCAATCAAACATTCTAAGTGAACCAAATTATAGTTCATGTACACAAGTGAACAAAGACCGTGAACTGAAATTCACAGTCTCATGAGTGAATTTTTATTATGAATCGAGGTAAACCACATACAGCATCATAGCCAGATATTGAAAAAACTCGGAGGTGTATATTGCTAGTATTGCATTGTTGCAAGCAATTTAAACAAGCTTTAATGTAGGAGGCAGTAACTACCGGTAACACTATATTTTTTTAAAATCTTGGCAAATTTTAATTGGCCAAGCAACTTTTGTTAGACTAACAATAAATCTAAAACCACTACATTTTGTGTCATAAAACATTTCGATTGCTTTCGTATACCCATGAAATTTACATTAAAATGGCAGGTAAAATTTACCTATGTTGTACTGATAATCTGCTAATAATGTTAAAAGTGGGACATATATATATATATCCAAATCTATGAAAATTTATATTTAAGATACTAGTAAATTCGTATTAGAATTGAATTTTTTTTGCACCTAAATGTGCATGCCAAATTACCACAAACTATGATTTTACAGCAAAAATAACATAACCTAGTACTCAAGTTTTAAAAACATTAGGTACCTATGGTCATCAGAAATTTTGGGGAACATTTTTCAAATTGCATTAGCAAAGTTTTATTTATACACATTCCTTCAACATCTCTTATTACAATGTATTGATAGAAAAAACTTTAATCAAATTATCTTCACCACAGGTTGCAATACACTGGCCAAGCGATCCATCACCAATCGGCCTCCAGCGTATTCTCTTCACTGCAGCTGAATGTGAGTCATAGATACTCAACTTATACAACAAAGCACATTCATATTCATTATAAGCACCATTGAACAAATATAGTTCTAATAATCCACTTTCTTTTCCTATGGCAAGTTGATATTTCGTCTGGCTTGTAAAACAATTTCCAAAAGCAACAGCAGTGACTGCTTCTGCAACAGCTGTAAACAGAATTCTGGTGACCGAGTTCTTTTTAGAAGTTTCCTCAACTTGATTTTCTAATTCATTTACTTTCCAAAACATTATCTTTTTATCTCTAGATCCTGTACAGAAGAATTTATCATCATGCGTCCACGATGCAGACCATATTATTCTAGCATGACACGTTGATTTTTCTGACTTCGCAAATATAGAAACAGAATAACCATTACTCTGATCGCTGGTAATTTTATGCAACATCCAAGTTCTATCCCTTGAAACAGACAACAAAAACTTGCTATTGTTGCTGAATTCCATTTGTGTAACAGTCAATGTATGACCCTGTAATTGTGCTACTTCTTTCCAAGATTTGGTACTCCACAAAACAATAGTAGCATGCTGGGGTGTAGCTGACTTTGCTGCTGATGCTACAAGAGCTCCAGAAGAATCACAAGCAACACAGAATATCTCATAAACATGCCAATACAATTTATTTGTTTCTGGCCAAAGTGAGTTTTGTAGCAGATGTTCTTCAGATGGAGGTTGTTGAAGTACGAGACTTTTAAATTGATTTTCAATAAACATTTCTCCTCTAGACTTTTCATTCGTAGTTGAAATTTCATTACTCATAACTGCTTTGTTGGAAAGGCCCAGTGCAGGAATAGTTGCACCTTCAAGAACTTTATGAGATATTTCCAATTTAGTTCCAGTCAAAGTTTCCAAATTTTGAAGAAAGTTTTGTGGAGCTTCGAATACCCGTAGAACTTTTTCATCTGCACCTGAAATGAAACTACAACTGTTAACCATTGATACGCATTGCATATCATAACCATGAATCTGAGGCCTCGCAATTTCATGCCAAGAATCCTGTCCACCTTTTTTCCAAAGAGCGAAAAGTCTGGTGGTTTGATCCAAACTGGTACTCACAAAGTAACGGCCATGTTTTGGTTCCCATGAAATATCTAGCACATGATTACAATGTCCTGACATAACAACACCAGTGTTCCAACGACTGCTTTGTCCCTCATATAAAATTTCTTCCCAAAGATGGAGCGCACCGTTATAACTATGTGCCATAAATTGGGTCCCAGAGCAATTAAACACTGCCCCATAAAAGCCCAAAGTGTTCCCACCAACTTCTCCAAAACGAGACTTTTCAATCCAAATGCCACTTTCATCATCAACCTCCCATAATATAATTGATTTGTCCATTGAAGATGACAAAAGTCTTATCCTACCCATGTCATTTTTATTCCACTGCACACTGTAAACCCATCCTTCGTGACCAGCTAATACAGCTTCCAAATGAACTACATAGGTTTGTTCATGATTCTGAGAAAATGAAACAAACGTCAATTCTCGTATTTTTAAAACATCTGTGACTTCTTCATCAATTTTCCTTTTAATTTTCCATAATCGAACAAAGCCATCTTGAGAGCATGATGCTAACATTAGATCTCCATTTTCAATAGTAAGAAAATCAAGGCCTCGGACCCAATCTTCATGACCAGTAAGCGATAATACAGGTGAAAATAAATCCCCATCACCTTGTTGATTCATACAATACAAATCTATTCGCGAACTATCTAGCCCACAAGCGAGTATTGGGGTTTGGTTTGGTAATACATTCAAGGAAATTGCCAAAGCTAGAGAACGATTCAAATCAATTTTTTGAATGAGCTTGAAATCTTTAGGATCAGTGGATTCTAAATTTCCCCAAATAAGAATTGTTGAATCTACACCTGTTGATACAATAATACTCTTTTCTGATTCTCGATTTTCATAATTAGAGAACATACCATCAACACTTGTAACAGTCGATGTATGGCCTTTCAATGATACACAAGAATTGTAAATATACTGTTTCAACTTTGAACAAAATGATATTTCCCAAACTATAATAGTCTTATCAGTAGAGCCAGATAATAGATAAGATGTTTCAGATTGTATATTCGTAGATTTCAATTCATGCATCCATTTAACACAAATAACTTTTCCAGTATGTTGATTTAGAGTCTTTATCGCACTTCGAAATGTTTGTGTTCCTTCTTTTATCATTTTTTTGCTGATTACAACAGAATTGCTTGAACCCATTGCGACCAAATCATTATCTCCCCACGATAAACAACCTGGAGTTTTATTTGTACATCCAGCAATATGTTCTAATTTGACCACACAATGTGGAGGTTCTTCGCCCTGCTCCATGTTGGGTGTTAACTATAAATCTAAATAAAGAAACAAAGATAAATCACACAATACAGCAATAGAACCTTTATTACAGTATTATTCTGTGACTATGTTTTTATTATTCACAACTAACCTTACTCTTAAGATGAAGTGTCTTATTCTTTATACTTAAATTATAAGCCCAAGCTGCCAAGTTTGTATTGAACAAGCTTGATGACAGAATAGGGCCTTGCAGAAAACACTAGATTACAGACATACAACATTACTAAGTGACTGTATATGCTTTATTTTCAAAGAACTAGGATTGAACAAAACCTAACACAGTAACACTTTACAGTTTTATAAAATATTCAGCTGGATTGTGACTACAGACTTGATTTTATCTTTATCTAGCCCAGTACAGTACCCTAGTACTTATTCACCGTACATTAATTCTGTAATTATAGTACCGTATTAGGATACTGGGATAGAATAGTATTGCCAAGCAGTGACCGAATAGCATATTTATGTTGATCAGATGATCTTCACGAACAACCCGGTCAGTAAAGTTACCGTAACTAAAATTTATTTTCAACTCCGAGCTCATAAGCTGCCAACAGTACCGGTACCGTAGCAGACGCATTTAAAAATTCGTTGGTGGTGCAACTCTTTTTTGTCAAATATCCGTAGCCCGTTTTAATTTATGGCAATCACAAAATACAATACGTAGACTTCAGTAACGTTCCGTCTTTTTTTGCCCTTAAAATTCCATGTCTGAAAGTCAAACTTATTCTGGATCTGGATTCGATTTCGTATTTAGATCTGCGCGCCGCTATCGAATCAGTTTTGGCGACTACCGGTACTAAAGATACCCCGGTACGCATGTTACCGAGTTACTCTCCGTCCTAGAAAGTGCCGGTACTAAAGCTGCTCTATATTGCCACCACGTATAAAGAATTGAAGGAAACTGGCTTGCGAAACAAATTAGACGAATGTCAGCTTTGATCACAGTATGGATACATACGGTACCTATTTCAAAACAAATTTTCAACATTTTTTTTTTCATTCAGTTAGAAACAGGTTCATACGTCTTGTTCAACACTATTTCACTCTATTCGTGCGTGCATTTCACTCTAATCCTACCTTCAAAACAACCTACCGAGATAGATGAAATCGGGCGCTTGTGTGGCCTCGACAAGGCAGAATTGAATAAAGGATATAAACATAAAACATATATACACAACATTAACACGGACATTATGGTCCGTGATAGTAGTTATTAATTCATTTATTGCGAGGAGCGGGGCACTTTTTAGGAGCCTTTCGATTCGAACAAGGCCAGTTACAAGCAGCCACAGATATCCAATGATATATTGAAAAAACTTTCCATAGACTTAATCCGCCGTCGGAGTTATTGGGGTCTGAGTATTGTGGTAACATTCGAATCTGCATTATGAGACTCCGACCACCCGTTACACGTGCGAGAAAAAAATTATATTTTGCTCTCTTCTTCGGCCGTTGGAATAGAGGTCGTCTGCTTTTCATTTGTGTCTGATGCTCCTGCTATTTAAAATTTTGATTTGCCGTTTTCAATAAATAACAAATTCTGAATCTTGGGTCTTCTGATCTTATTAAACACAGTGAACAGAACCTATTTGGAACACTACGTTGGCAACGCCCTTGTGACAGTTTACCGTATTTGTAACAATATATTTCACATTGGATAATATTTTGCATAATGCATAAAAACCGAGGCCCTATATATATATAAAATATAACATTTTTCCATGAAAATACTTTTTTTTCTTGAACCACAGTTATTTATGCAAATGATTTGCAACCGTTATATTTGGATCCTGAAAATATGCCAATAGTAGAGAGTATCTTCCAAACATTTTGACTGAATGTTTATAATATACATTTCATCTGGATATACGTTTCCATAAAAAAGTCATTCCTCCACACGAACCTGGGAAGAAACCTTTTCTAGACTTCAACCGCTCATCAAATTTGTCAGTAAACTAAAGATTCGACCATTTACCAAGTAATGTGTTGTAATTTATGAACGAATCTACGCAGCTACTTTGTTAACTCACTATTCTTTAAATCCATATTTTAGTTCGCTACGCAATCTTTGATGTACCATTAACTGATGGCGCACTAATAATTGAAGAAAGGCAGAGGTGAAGAAGAAGAAGAAGAAGAGTTGACCTTTTGCCCTTATTCTTTAAGACTAGCCTACATGTTTACGAACCTAAAAAGGCATAAAATAAAGTTTCGCGTTAGTCGTAGGGATTGCGGTACTGGTAGTGTACTGTGACAGATTGCGTTTCCATACTACTTTTGATCGGCATTCGTGTTCCTATATTTGAGCATTGGTCACTCGTTTTAATAATATTGGCCAGATGTCTATGTTCCTTTCCCTGACCTTTGACCCCCGAAAAATTCTTTCTTTACTTTACCATTGCAAAATTTTCGTGAAAGTGCTTTTGTGAGTTGGCGCCTGTAAAATGTGGTATGTGCTTCAATTCATCATTATATTTAATCGCATACAACAATATGTTTTTTAAAAGTACAGGTAAAGAATTTTAGCCTAATCTATCACAGCCATTTTTACACTAATTTTTCATTACTGCAATTAAATTATATTTCCTAGGAAGACAGAGTATTCATTGAATTATCTGATTTATGTTTAAGTTTACGAAACACAACTGAAAACTAACAAATAGAGTTTGAAAACACGAAAACGAGGTAATGTTCACGACCACGCTTGAAAATCTGTCAGAGCAATGAGCCCATTGGTCAGAGCAATGACATTAAACAACATGATAGGCAACTCTGACGTCACTCCATAAGACTACAGGCAAAACATTGTATTTCATGATACGCTCCAATGCACATATTTCTCGTCGCCTTTCGCGTCCGTTTTCCGCTCGCTTTTGCTACTCGGCGTCTTTTTTACGTGTAGTACCTGCCTTTTTGCGCCTGTAACGAAACAAAATAATCTCTATATCTAAGAAGTTTTGCTTACTTGGAAAGCTGGAATAACAGGCAAGCTGTGAAGAGCAATTCTGGACATCATAGACGTTTTTTTTATCAGAGAAGATTACAAACGCGATAGCGGAAAGATTTGTGTGGAACATTTTGCAGATAATGACAAAGTTCAAAGTTAGTAATTTTAATGTTTGCGCTTAATCATTGAAATTTCATTTAAAGAGGGTGTCATACAAAACTGTGCTGCGATACAATTCCATAACACAAAGTTTGCACCTATCGAACTTGCTTTTGTAGGTGAATTTATTAGACATATTACATATTCAGTTAATCGTAGGTAACATTGCTGGTACATAATGCATCGTAGATAGGTTTGTTTAAATTTAGGAATTTAGCTCATAGCCCACTAATTAATATTATCTTCTATGCAGGAGGTTGCAGGGCTGAATTCAACTTGCAGCCTTACCGATCACCTGACGATGCTCATTTAGTTTGGCTCGAGCAAGTCTTCTTGAAATGCTTGTGTGGATGGAAACTACCTATATTTTTTGCCTTCCTCCGATTTTAGACAAATTTATTCTGAGGGATTTCGCATATAATTCTCACTGATTGTTGGCTGTTTATAATTCCTATTGATTGTGAATTCTGATTATAACAATGAGTTGAAAATGTTTTTACCTAATTTACTGGCACCTTTTTTCTTGTCAATACTCCAAGCTGAGGTAATAAACATGACAATACATTTATGTCATCTGGAAGCAAAATATGCACACTAATTAATAGTTTGGCACATTGAGATAATACATCATGACAGAAAATACAAGTTAAAGATATGTATGACCATCACATGGTAATTAAAATTAAAAAAAATTAATAGGGGCTGTGGAGTATGGAAAGTTCAAGACAAAGAAAAGAACAAATGTTCATAGCTCATGAACTCTCAAGTTTGCCTCCATTGCTTTGTGAAGGCCAATATATTTCGAGTGGCTGAATTGGTTTACCTTTATGATAGCAACGATTTTGTATTTAATATAGCGAGATTATTTCAATTTAATTGAAGTGATATAATTTCCCAAAGCAATGCTTGAATCGTCCTAGAATAGATCAGTGGTGTCAAACTCATGGGTTTTTCGAGAGCCGCATTGCATTTTGAAAATTGTAAAAAGAGCCGCAAACAGTTTTTGATAATGTATACTTAAAAGATATTTTTAGGATAGTTTTAGTTTGTGACATATATTGTGATGCAACTAAACAGTTGGATTAAGTTTTATTATTTTCTTCAATTTCAAATGCAATTACATATTAATATTTGCATTCCACTATTATTGCAACATTTGCAAGTTACAGTATTTATTATAAAAAATCGTAAAATTCTATGTACAACCATCAAAATCATTTTTGAACAAGCTTTGAATAAGGAAAGAATAATACATACACTAAAAATAACTTAATCTAATATATGAACCTAAAATTAACAAAAATACTACAGTATAAACTCAATGTTTTAATAATTACATTTGTCCTGGCGTTTGGCATCTTTTTTGTGTCACCAGCATACTAAGGCCAGTCTGAAATGATTTTATAGTACCAACTCTAACTAACGAGGCCACATGATCATGGGTTTATCTGGATCTTTACGAATGTTTAATTAATTCCAGTAATGCAAAAAAAGTTACTTTTATCATTTCATGTATAGATCAGTAAAAAAACAAATGACAGATTTTTTCGACAAGACATTTCGCACTACATTGCGTGGCATAGGATTGCTTGAATTATTATTGATATTGATTTTAGTAACTAAGTCGTTGTATAATTATATTAATATACAAACACATGGAAATTTTCTGTTCGAAGTTGGTCTTCGAATTTGTCATATTGACTGCTGAGCTTATTGTGTTTTTTGATTGTATTGATGGAAATATGACAAATTAAACAATGTGCTTCAGAATTTTGTGAAGAGCAGAAATGTTACAACTCCCATTTTCTTCGAAAATGCCACCTTCTTCATGTACTTTGCGTTTAATTTAATTACTCAAGTGTTTTTATTCAAGTATTCTTTGCTAGCTTGATGTGTATTCTTAATTGGGTCAAAATGTGGACAAAAAAAATTAATATTCCAAAACTACTTTCAGTAAATTGTTTTCTGTGTGAATAATCAATTTCACTTTAGAAGGTTTGAAAAATCTATTACATTTAGATAAAAAAAAACTTCCAAAATACTATTACAATTATTGTTAAGCGTTCGAGGGCCGCACTGGAAGTTCTCTGGGGCCGCGAGTTTGAGATCCCTGGTCTAGATTGAAGTTGTTCAAAAAATATATGATAGTATTTTATCATGAATGATGATTATACCCCTTCCGGAATTTCTTCTATAGTACTACCAAAAGTTGATGAACCAAATATAACACAGGTGCAGTGAGGTACCCGTAATCCTCATTTCCAAAGCTGTTTTAAGTATGTCTGGCGTGTTTTGTGCCTTTTACAAATAAGACCGCTTATGCAATCTTACGCTTTGGAATTTTTAGTTATTTTCCTCAAGCCCTGCAGGATGTGGGGGCCATACACAACTCTACCGGAGGGTCAAATGTCTTTGCATGCCTCCATAGGTTGTTTTTCTATTGCAATTTTCTATTTCAATTGCATTATATTTCTTGGAATCACACTGTCACTGATATGTCGCCAAACTTCTGATATCTCCCCGTCTGCTATAGTTGTCCTGTGAATAAATAATAGGAAATTGAGATTAGACGAATAGTTGAAACTTTTGCTTTCTGTCGGCTTAATTTCTTGATTGATATACTTACTATTTCTGCTATTGCCTCTTGTGCTGCAAGAGTCTCACAATGCTTAGACAGGTTTGTCCACAACTTTCACATCTGAAGAGAGAGAGGAGATTTATTAATTTTCGTTAAGAATAAATAAAGCAGTCTATATGATTCAGAATGGAAAAGCTAATAAATCCAATATCTCATGTTTTATTTAAAAAATATTTTACTGAATTTGGTATATAAACCAACTAATAAAAGGTTTAGTCAGAAAATTACAAGCATTCGTGGCTCCAAATACTTGAGAAATCAGACTATACAATATAGACCGGTATGAGTGAAATGTTAGGTGAACTTGTTAACACTTTGATTCAATACGCAATAAAAAGTGAATGCGTAATAGTATGTTACAATGAGCAGCAATCAAACAATGAGTATATATCCTCCCTGATTAAAAAAATCTAACTGGAGGTGCATGAACTATTTGAAACCATAAGGGGTAAGTAAATATGTAATTTTCGGCAAATGGGCAACTACGTACCCGTACTGAATTAATAACTTCGTAGTATTTGACAAAGGCTGGCTTTCCCACATGTACTTAACAGTGCGATGCCCGGGTGTGATATACAACAATAGTATTCACCTTACCTTTTGCCGATTTCTTTTTACCCCAACTTTCAAAAATATCATTAAAATCGACAACAACTGTCAAAGCAGGCACGAACACCATTCGTGCTACGCCTTGAAAGCAGCACACATCCGCTCGTTTTCGTCTCGTCAAGTATGTGCATTGGAGCGTGCTATCGAATACGATCTTCGGACAAAAATGCCGGAGTTGCGCATCATGTTGTTTAATGTCATTGGTCAGAGTGAGAAAAGGGTCTGAGCTGATGCGAAAGGGCATTGTTACGTCACTTTTTTTATCTTGCGGATTAGCCAAGCAATGTCACGATTCACGAAGTAAACAAGAAAGTAGGTTCATAGGGACGTAACAATGAAAATTTTAACAATTTCTCAGACCCTTCTTTCACTCATACAGAGTTCTAATATCAGCTCGTGTTCGTTCCTTTATTAGCAATTCGTCAGTTTTAAGTAGTGTTTTTGAAATTTAGGTATAAATTAATCAAATCAATGGTCATTTTTTCTTTCGAAGAGCTTTATTGTAAATAAATAGAGTAAAACCCGATAACGTTATGCTAAACTAGTTTCAAATTAGCTATCATTACTTTTAAATGACAGGTAGTTAAATAATTACCATGATGGCTATGATACTTGTTAACCATGCTATAAGCGCCAACTCGCAAAAGGACTCTCAAAATGAACATGGGAAATATGGCAATGTATGTGTATAGGTCAAGGATAGGTGAAACATCATTATTGGTCGGAGACTTCCATTTCACGTTTTTAGATTTGGGTCTTACCGGCAGAAATTTAAGTCACTCAAGATTCGCCGCCAAATGTACGACTTACGGAAGCTTCTTTGAGACATCGAATGTTGATCGTCAGATCAATCCCACTAACTTTCAGTCCGATTTTACTAATCACGCATGGATCATGGCGCTTCATTTGCATGAGATCAGAAGAAAGTATGCATCTCTGCATATTATATATATATATATATTGTGCAATGCAATGATGTTATTATTTAGAGGTGTTTAATTGCACTCAGAACATACACTTTATCATAAATATATTATTTTTCTCATTCTATGAACAACCTGTTTAATCCCCGCACTTGAAGATTTGGAGTCACTTTCCGAGCAAATAATTTGTATTTCACTTTTTAAACATCGTTCTGGCATAACATGGAAAACTGTATTTCAGTACGAACAGACAAAAAAATTAGATATATATTATTGTTAGGTTGAAGTTTAATATTCATAAGCAGAGCAATGCTCTGATACTTTAACGTGTAAATTTTTATTTTGAATCTAAGTACTCCGCGAATGTAATTTTTTTTGCCAATATAGCTCCCCCAATCACTTTCAAACTGAATATCCATTCTTGTACTTGGCATAGACTGGTATCCACCCGTACAGGTAGATGTTGGCTCATGATTAAGTCGTTTTACCACCAATCCTATTTCCTGGTCAACTATAAAAATCCTATATTACGTGATGAGATCTAATACCACAGGTCTTGATTAATAGTATATATATGTAAAAAAAAATTAACTACAACACAAAAGGTACACTACAATTCAACTAATCAATCAATTCAACATAATCGCTCCAATCATTAGAATTATTGCAGCTTAGCTTCGTGGTTTGTTCTTTTATTACCATTGCCAATCATATTGTCTTGGGCTGTGTCGGAGGAAAGTTCAAGACGTCGCTGAATAGTGTATAATATTATTAGCGAAAATCAATGCAATAAACTTCAAGATAACAATCAACATTATTAATGATTGGGCCCTATATTTTAGAACGATGAAGACAAATATCCAAGATACGCATAATATATACTAATGATAACTAGGGGGTTAACACGATGATTAATTGCGTCACATACCTTCCTTGTTGTTTTGCCACATTTGCATTGAATAATATCGAACGAATGATTGCCGAATCAATTCCCTTTTTTGTTTCCCTTCAATAAAAAACAAAGCCATGTATAAAATGACGATTCGAAATCAGGATGAGGCAATCACATCTCACATGATGTATATAAATTGTATCAGAGCGATAAAATATCTGGCCATCAATGATTTTAAGTTCAATCTTATGTTTGGTTAATCAGAAATATAAAAGAAAAAATACACAAATTAACATACGCTTCTGCAGCAAGGCAAACCACATCTTCCAAGTCGTCCTTGAGAGCGCGGGATAACCAAGAGAATAGAGATTTTAAAAAAACATCCGGAAGGTCCTGCTCTGTGTCCACAATTTTCAACACCACACTCTCAGCATCAACAGAACACTCCCTCAATAACAGCTTAAGTCCAGGTAATACTGCAGTTCAAATAGATATACGTATTTTAAAAATAACCGCGTCAATTTCAATTTTGTATGCGATGAAAGCTTGAAATCAGATCTTTCCATTAAAGCTTTTCTTACTTTCGAGTGTTTGGTTCATCACCATATCTGTGATGTTGAGGGTGTATCCTCCGTTAATGTTGATAGTTGCCTCGAAGTCGTTTCCCGTACTTCAATTTGAGATCGATAAAAATAATATGAAATGAAAGGAATGTTATATTATAAAAGTCTGTTGTCCAATGACCAGCTGAACTTGACTAGATGTCAGAGTAATCAATCAATTTTTTTATTCGTTTATTTCACAATAAAGGAGGAGCAAAACATATTGGTAAACATAACGGAGTACTTTAATGTCTTTTACAGTCCCATACTCTGTCAATACACACACCAAAGAATAACTTAATCGATGGATGGCATGAAACTATATTAATTCAAATCAAGAAAACTTACATTTCCATTTCAGTACCAAACTGTCCAATGATAAATCCTCCAGCATCAATAGTATTGAGCTTAACAAAACCAGTTTCCTTATCATTTTTGAGTGTTCCAACGTTCAATTTGAGATCAATAACTCGATTTCTGTATGTGAAATGAAAAAGATTCCATAAACTAATTTGATAAGCTTCAACAACACTGGAATTCGATACTATATTGATATCGAAATAATCAAGTTTTTTAGAAGAACTTTTTTGGCAATTTCGAAATTCGGTATGTTTTTGAAAGTATTGTCTGGACAGTAGTCAAGGTATTTTTGCTATCGAAATACAATTTTATTGATATTGAATAAATATATATATATATATATGTACAAAAAATATTTCAAAAATAAGAAAAAATTGATTTTTTTCCATGTCAAATCGATACAGCAACGTTTTATAAGTTACAAACTGATTATGACATCGCTTCAAAACAACTGTGGGGTGATGTGACTATTTTCCCATATCAATTTGAAACTCGTCAAACATTGGTACTCACGATTTTAAAGAGTACGACAATTCAACAATTCCTGGAATACCATACGTTCCACTAAAATCAGGTATGCTGAATCCTTGTTGGGTATAACTGGAGAATTCGCCGGGGGCTGTAAATGTCAACGAATTCTATATAACTTGTTATAAACAATGTAACGCATGCACAATTATTATAATGTAATTTTGGTTTAGAGAACTGAAATCAACTCTTTGCAGTCGTGATTCAAATCCATAAATGTCCCTAAAATTGTCACCTAACCCGACTAAGCGTATAAATTGATGTTTTTAGTTTGTTTTTGACAAATATTGATTGCTTCTTATGTGTTTGTGCGTGTGTCTGTTTTATGCATGGGAGCACTGTTTGTGCTTAATATATGTTAGAGCCATCAAGTATTTGGTTTGAAATGTAAACTCGGTGATAGATTAGAATTGCAAACCTTCAATATTCCTATTATATATATGAATATAGCGCCTCACTGGTAAAACTTCGCGCTATGAGAAAATGCGCCAACTGAACTTACCATTAGTTGGTGCAACTTCCTGACTTTCACACAAAGATAAATGTATATTGAAGACCAAAATAAAACTGATGATGACTAACTCGAAATTTGTTCCAGCCATGAGTTAAAGTATCCTTATACTGAAATGACCTTAGAAATGGATTAATTGCGATGAATAAATCTCGTAATAAGTCGTTGAAAACTCCTATTCTGTTTATTCTAACCTTCCTAATTTGACACTAGCATTGTATGCTTGTTATAATCAGTCATAGTCGTTGAAAATAACTGTTTATTTTTACTATAACTAATATCAGAACGTTATATCTTTGATTTGAACTGTGAAATAAGGTATTTGATGTGATTTAGTTAAATTAAAATTCGGCTGGTCAGTTTTCGAATTTTACGTAACATTTAAAAAAAACACCTTTCGTAGATTAGCAACAAGTTATCAAGATGAAATTCCTATATATACATATAAATAAACTATTTTGTACGGCAGAAGTCCTGCATATATAACCTACTGATAACAAGTTTTTGCCGCATAAAATCGACGTGTTTCCATAACGCGATGTTCTGCCCGCTGGCTGTGTGGCGGCGAATTTTTGACCGATAGTGACTGTCGGAAACAAGTTCATGAGAATCATGACATCACCAATTTTTATTTGACAGATATACTATATACTTTAGTAAGTATTAGTAAATACGCAGATATCGGATCAACGAAAAACTATGTAACCTCAAAGATGATAAGATAAACTCGATATATAATGTGAAGATATATACTCCCAATTATCCATAGAGTTTTTCACAAGCTTTGTAATCCCTGTGAGCTACTACAGATGTAGCAAAAGCTACAATTACCTTTAAGCGCTGTTGATATATTTATATAGTATTTATGAGATCTAAATTTTTGTGTTGTGTAGATCATTGTACTCTGAACTTAGACCTTTGATTCGACCACTGCGATACCTCAAAATAAGGCTACGCTACCAGAAGGCGCCGATATGGCGCAGTAAGTCAGCGCAAGCATAACTCATAATGGTAAATACAATCAAAAATGGTAAATTTAGGATATATATACAATGATTGGTTACCGCTATATGGTTATGCATGTGTATTTTTTCATGACTAGTGATGAATAATACTGTAACTGTGTTTTATATATTACTGCAAAGTAAACATGAAATAGACCTGGCTATGTATAACCGAGAGTTGCTGCTATTGAGCAGTACCAACATGGATTCGTAGAATAATCAAAACTTCACATACACAGCAGCAAGCATGACTAAGTTGCCACCGAAAGGGTCGTAGTCGATTGACTCAGCTTATCGGGCACGTCAGTGTACATAACGATCGTTTCAATATTATGTTGTTGTTCTTGTTATTAGTATTATTCTTCTCTTTCGTCATGATGGAATCGCTTTTCTCTTCAAATACTGGACCAATTGCTTTGAAATTTTCAGTGGTTAAAGATTGATTTTTTTGCCAGAAGGCTATTACTTTTACTTATTTCAAAAATTTTTGTGGACTTCAATAGATTCGTTTTTTTATGTGTCAGAATAAAAAAAATAGCGACACTTTGTGACGTGTCCATATATTTGAGCACAGCTCTCTTGTTTCATTTTTATTGGACACGAAATGTACAATTTTTTTTGCTTTCATTGTTGGGAAAATTGCTTATCTCCGCAATTATTGGACCAGTGTCCAAAGATGAAAGAAGTCACTAGAAGATTTTTTTTCTCAATTTTCCATATACATGTATATTTACACAGAATTTTTATTTTAATTCAAGAACGCAGTTTTTGTGACTTATTCAAAACACATTATTCTTCACGCTGACCATCGATCCTTGCAGAAAACTCAGTGCTCAGCTGTGGCCTCACATGTACCGGTGCGCGAATTTCGTATCAATATATTTGACTATTGCTCTCTTGTTATTGAACACAGGATGGTAATCAGTAAATCTTCACCATACTGAAAATACGAAGTATACATACACAAATTCGAAGAAAATTATAAAAATAGCAAGTACTTCAGGGTGAAAGAAGAAGCCGAAAACCAATTCTAGTTGTCGAACGGCGGCATCGTTGGGACAGTCTAACAGAATATAATACATAGAATAAAACGAATAAATATGTTGTTTAAAAAAACAAGGTAGTGCTACGTCAAGGCGATCTAGTATATATCAAGCAGTCACCGTTTCGACAAAAGAATGTCGATTCCAAGCACCGCAGTCTAGGTAACCATGGAAACAGCAGTGCAAGACAAGCTCGCAATGTGGTCACTAACTAACCTTCTTATATTATGTGTTTATATTGCAGGTACCATCATCCTTTATAATAAATACCGTATTTTAGGAAAATGAGCTATCATTTATGATGGAACCATTTGTGGATTAAATATTTCGTCATCTTACAACATTTTATTCATTGAAAATCAACAATTCCGAGAGTAGAGTGCCCAGTTGATGGGCGTGAATGGATGTCACAGGACTTGGATGCAGCTTTAGCGGATGCCCTAACCGCCGCTCTCCAACTACATGGCAGGACGGCCCACCGACGGCAGCAACACCTACACCGACGCTCAAGTTGGATTCCCCCATATTATCTACGCGGTGCGACCCAGAAGAGTGGTCTGCTTTCAAAAGACAATGGGATATGTATAAGATTGGGATGTGTATCACAGATAATATGATCCCTTTCATTGCTGCGACCAGGTACTGAGGAGAGACAATTAAGCGCCTTGCTGTGAATGACGAATGCACGCTTGTTCACAGGATAAAATTGAGCAAGAGGACTCAATCACCTGGAACTAGCGTTCGCATCTTTCTGGCCAATCTTCGAGGGCAAGCTGCATTATGGAATTATATAGCAAAATGTAAACGAGCTGGTTGTGATCACACATTTGACTATAGCAACGAGCTTATCAAGGACAACTTGGTGAGAGGCAGTGGCGTAGCATCCACCCCGCAACCCCCGCGGTCGCGGGAAGGCCCACAGCGCAAAGCGGCCCAAGCGGTTAGAATTTAGAAATTTAAGCCGCAAACCAAAGCTGCAGTGCAAAACAAGTAATGCACATCTTATAACATTGATGTTAGTTCTGCTCAAATCGTTTTGTTACGTAACAATGTCAGGAAGTCGTCGATTTTCGACGTCTTGTGGTTTGATCGTAAATATATACTGTACTACTACTAGATGTCCAACTCCTCTCGCCGTATAATGAACAAACAAAGGCGATGTTGCACCTCCAAGTGGCGGGCGTCACGGTCGGTAGGTTCAGACAAGGTGCTAAACGACGACGACGCTCCTGCATCAGAGCTCGCAAACTCCCCTGTTCGTTGATGACTGATCGAAATATTTGCTGAAGGAAGTGGAGAATTTGATCAAAATGAACAAATAATTGTGAAAATGAAGACACTGTCTGTCTTGCAAATTACCAGGATGATGTGACAACTTTCTTGTCGAAAGAAAGCAAGGCATCAAAAATCTTAGATTGCAAAAAATTGCATTGCAAAAAATGTCAGTCAGATGTAGGTAAAGTGGTGACGAAAATGAATTCATTGCACCTTATTTAAAAAAAACCTTAGCAGCATAGCGTTTTGGTCTCACTCTATCTCAAGTAGGCCTATTGTACCTTTTACAGAAGTTTCTTTCTCAACTTGACCTATAATCAGGGCTGCCTTAACGTCCTTATTCCTAAGATTTGTCCTTATTTTAAAGGCCTTTGTCCTTATTTTTAACAAACGTCCTTATTTTGACATGTGTCCTTGAATGAATGAATACATGAACATGAATGAATATACCGGTAAATTAAACTTTGAATTTGGTTTAGATCTGGAACTTCATAAGATATAAATTGAGTAAACGTAAAAACATTTGCCGGGATGACTATGAGAAAGAATTCAGCGGGCGTCAACCAAACGAAGGGCCAGTGATTTGTTGCACTGCAGCTTTCCTGAATGTGACATTAATCTGGAACCCATAGGTAAAGCAGCATTTCTGCTCACAATGCAAGCCAGAAGCAGAAGCACAAGGGACTCTGCTCAAGAAATTGAATCAAACCAAGAGTCAATAGTTATACAAGGGTCGCACTGCATGAACACATTCTGTTTATTGCATTTCATTCATTGTTATCCTATTAACCACCAATCTAATCTCACAGTCGAAAGAAATCGAAATTTAGATAACATAGCAGATATGTTATTACAAAAATTTATCACAGTGAAGGAATTTCAGCTAGTCATAAACTCATATTGTTAAAAAAATTACGCTTACGAAAGTGACAGAAAGAAAAGATTTCACAACAAAACAGGCTTATGGGAACATTGGAATGGCTATTTCAATACATGCAAGCAGCTGAATTTATTTCCATCATCACATCATTGAACATCTGACACTTGATAAAGAAGAAAAACATTTTCAAATCATTCATGAGCGAATACCTCAATGTATTAATCAGTGTAACTGAATGTCAGGATGTAACAACACTACTTGAGAAAGTATTAGAGAAAGTCAAAAAAATTAGAGCACATGTATAAGCAAAGTACTGCAGCCAAAAATAATAACAACAAGATGGACAATAGGATTCGTAGAATACGAAAACAATTAAAAAAACAACCACTGAAAATTTCAAAGCAATTGGTCCAGTATTCGAAGAGAAAAGCGACTTTTTAAAAACGTGTCAAAGAACAAGAACAAGAACAACAACAACAACAACAACATAATATTGAAACGATCGTTATGTCCACTACGTGTCCAAAAACAGCAGTTAAAACGAAGATTAAGATATATGTGATTACAGTCAAGTTTCTGTACTCCTGAAGTATGAGTACTAAGAATTGAGGACATCGGAACGTAGTGTGTATACCACTTTAGGGTTAGGCCATTTCCAATTTTTCTTATCTCCGTTCTATTACATGTTCGGAGACTAACCAAGTGAGTTTTGTAGTATTTGTACCTAAAGTTATGACCTAAACCTAACCTGGTACACATACGATGTTCCATTGTCCGCATCTTGGTACACGTACTTCTGGAGTACCCAAGTTTTTTTCCAATAATCCATAGAAATACAAATTATTATTTTAATTATTAATGTGATTAAATATTGAATATCGAGTAATGTTAATAGTGGTATTGATGTTTTTTGAGGCTTTGGGAGTGGTTCTTAGTGGGGGTAAAGAGGCAATTTAGGTTCTATCACATGCACATTGCCACATATTTCTTTGAGTGATCGCTGCTTTTCAATCAACTTCCTATTATGTGTGAACTGAACCACCGATGGATTCTCAGCCCCGCAACCTGCAAAATATGCATCTTTCAAAACTGAAAATCTTTTGGT